GAGTTGTGTGTTTCATGCCCGGTGATACTGGAAGGGACGGTAAGTCTACATACATGGTCATCGTTTATGAGTTGTGTTTTCATGCCCGGTGATACTGGAAGGGAAGGTAAGTCTACATACATGGTCATAGTTTACGAGTTGTGTTTCATGCCCGGTGATACTGGAAGGGACGGTAAGTCTACATACATGGTCATCGTTTACGAGTTGTGTGTTTCATGCCCAGTGATACTGGAAGGGAAGGTAAGTCTACATACATGGTCATCGTTTACGAGTTGTGTTTTCATGCCCGGTGATACTAAATTTACTGCAATTCGTGTATCAAGCTGTAGTTTTTTTGTTGATACAATGAGTTGTAATGGCAATTGTTGGCCCATTTATCATTTGAGATTAATTTACACTACACAGGGTCGTACGTAGGTTACTTCATCTGATGTTTTCTTATGATGGAAGACCTTGTGTCCACCTCCACAGGGCAATGAACGTATGCACATGTCTCATATCTCGCTGGGTAGTGTTGTGATTATAGCACTTGACTTACAATGAGGTTTCAAGTTGAAATCTCAAAATTGGGGAACAACAACTCAGCTTCTCATCCCTTCTGGACTCGATACAACAATTACCACTTCGTGGGAAATCTACAATGTGCATCCTTTTTGGTGAATAGCCTCTGCCAAGGGACGGCAGAATTTCCACAACTGACTTGGGACGACCTGCTGCCCCATGGCTTATGCAGGGGGGGTGGGGACAATTTGACTTTTTAAACGTACATTTTCCAAAGTTTTTTGTTGATGAACTCTGATGGAGATACATTTTTTGTGAACTTCAGGATCCTGACATTGAGGTGAAGAGGAAGGCAGAGCTGCTGAAGATTAAAAAGAAACGCAAAAAGGAAAGGCTCGCATCCAGAATACAAGAAAAGCTCGAGAAGAAAAAGCAGAAGCAGACGTGAAGGCAGTCGGAAGCCCAATGCACACCAAACGACGTAGTTGTATAAAAGTAGTTTTAAATCACTTTCAAATATTAACTGCGAATTACTGACATATAACACCTTTATAATGCTACATTGATGTCATGTGGGTTTTCTGGGGAGTAAACACCATGATTTGGGAAATTCACCAGCCATTTGTGGCTTGCCACAAGCTCCCATTGAAATCCTGTAATTTTTCAGCTGTTTTTTTTAATGCAACACGTCCATCATTGACACTGCCGTAAAAGGATATAACGCTCAGCATTTCGGGCAGTGGCACACATTGGCCTGCTAGAATTTGATGAATGAACAAGCCGTTTGATTCCTTCGGAACTTTTCGGTCACTTGCCGATGAAACATGTATTATGTTCCAATGTGTGCTTCTTTGCCAAGTTTTTGAATGTTCCCGCTTTTGGTAAAACGTAACAAAGCACACCGTGTATATATATAAAATTTATATGTATTTTTTACATAAAATATTTAATGACTCTCAAAAAGTGGATAACGTTTAAAAACAAAAACTAATGTATGCAACTCCGTCACGTCATAAATTATATTAATAAAATATGCAATCACAAACCACATCCTTTGCCCATGTTATGTTCGTGAATATTCCTTACGAAAGAACCATTTATTGAGGTCCTACTAAAAACTCCTCGGAGGGGCCTGACTAAAGTTTTAATGGAAGATGATTCCTGAGTGTCGGAGTTAATTTGACAAGCTCTCGTCACCAATGGCAGCCACACAAGTAGTATGAACAGACACGTTCCACATTAAGAACCGTAATGCCTCTCAGAAGGATGTACGGGGCAATGAGTTCTGAGTTATGCTCAGCGGGGTGGGAGGTGCATGTTGAGCTTATTTCCCACTATGTAGCTAATTGGAGGTGTAGGGGAAGGACAACAAACTAAGCCCAAAAAATCAGTTGTGAAGAAATTAGTTTTCAATCTAGATTTAAAAGTGCATGGCTCCAGTGGCTGTCTAATATCGGAAGAGCGTTCCAAATGGCCGCAGAAGCGCATCTGAAAGCGTGTGATGCGGTGATGATGACCAGCCAAAAGCGGCTGCTGCTGCGAGGATGGCCAGAGTTCGTGTGGTGGTTTATGCTCCTTAACGAGATTTGCAACGAGGTATTGTGGCTCATTTGTGGTAAGGTGGGGGTGCAGGGCCCTGGGAGTTGTCAAGCGCGAGGCATCCAGGTGTGTGGACGTGAGGAGGACCTTTGGTCACCGGTGGGCACTTTTGCTACATAAAAAATATTTGCAGGCTGGAGGGACGGACAGAGGGTGATGTCCAAAGGACAGGCAGGCTGCTGATTTGTTATAAAGAACGAGCCTTTTACCCGTCCAAAAACGGGTGTATTGCAGTAAATCTGAAACTTGCAAGCGAAAAGCAGACCGCGACGTGATATTCATTGCATCAATTCGTGTGCAATTTGTAAGGCCGCAGTGACACGGACCTATTTAATTTTAAGGTGATAATCCCTTGTTCATCACGACGTCCTTTTTACTTCGATGTCTCAATCGCGTTACGGAGATCACGTGACGTTAGGGTTCTGCCTTTGTGGTGAGGCGCCTCGATCCATGTGGAGTGACGTCAGCCGCTAATTATTACGAATGGCGGGGGGGGGGTCATTTGGAGGACGTCACCTTAATGATTATTAATGAGGGGGGCTGTTCAATGTGGAGACGTCACCTGCTCATGATTATTAACGAGGGGGGAGGGTGCTCCAAGTGGTGACGTCACCTGCTCATGATTATGAATGAGGGGGGCTATTCGATGTGGATTGACGTCACTTGCGCATGATTATTCGTGAGGGGGGGAGCACTCTATATTGAGTGACGCCACCCACTCATGATTATTAATGAGGGGTGGGGGTTGTCCATTTGGAGGATGTCACCTGCTCATTAATATTAATTAGGGGGGCTGGTCTATGTGGAGTGACGTAACGAGTGTTAAGGACATTCCTGGGTGATTATAGTAAGCATAACCTGAATATTAAGCTTTGTGCTATGCCATGCACTGGATTTAAAACTTAATTATAAACAAAGATACCATTCAGTATTCCAGGCCAGATTCCAGAATACTTGAAAGGGGAGGCTGAATTTCTGAGAGATGATAGCACTTAAGATAAAGCAGAAGCTGCGATTCAACCACTCTTAAGCAGTTTATACAAATGGATGAGGAATTGGGAAATTGGTAAAATGTTACACCAATAATGGACTAGTGGATATTGCACTACCTGATTTCAAAGCATCTGGAAAGGCACCAGACAGTGAAATGTGAAAAGGGTTCTCGGTTCACTGTTCTCATAAACCATCAGTGAACACGGCTAACCAATAAGGATGGCAATAAATATAAAAAAACAGCTTGCATTTCTTTTTAAGTCTATCTTTAGAGTAAGGGAGGATATAGCAATGGGCTTCATAAAGTTAAAGCGCATGTGTGTACATTTACATTAAGATTCACAATTCACCGGTTATTACTATTCTGGCCGTTATTGTCTGCCTATTCTTCGCTGTTCTCGCCAAGCGCTCCCACGAGAAACGGGTTGCCTCATGGACATCTGGCTGAGAGTTACCAGCCAAGGCCCGTGAGCAGCACTGCCACCGCCAGTGGGCATGGTTAAGACAATGTTGTGGGCGTCCTTCAGGGTTCCCAGTTGCACGTCTGACAGATTCACAAGTCTGCCAGCGGAGTTGGGCGGGGGGGGGGGGGGTAGAATGTCACCACTGGGAGGGCTGGCCATTATTCCACGTGTGCCCACTGACACAAACACCCCCTAAGCCGCCAAGCCACCCGTACTCCCACGAATAATGGTTTTTGGCTTCTTACATTTCCCAAGTACCGTTGATAAATAACAAAATTACATGTACAGACGATGTTTCCTGCACATCCCTCCACGTAAAAAAAATGTGGGTTCAATATATTTGGCGGTTGGTCATCTTGCATAGTTGTGGTGCGCTATACTGTTGTTGCCTACTCACCTTGTGAACTGTCAGCACATTGGATGCACTCACGGGGCGGTTAGTATGACTGGCCTGACAAGAGGCTACTGGCGTGAACCTCAAGTGGAAATTTGGTTCTAAAGCTTCTCATCTCCTGGATGTTTTCCTGCTGCCGTTGCTTGACAACCGTGGAAGGAGGCACTGTGGTACCATGGCTCACAGGGTTATTCCTAATAAATGAAATAAATAAATCATTGGTGCCATCTGGGGAGCGTGGGGAGTTGAAAGCTGCTTCGACCATTCACGCTGGTTTAACCCCCACCATCGTTGGTGCATCACCAATGCATGACTGATTAGCTGGTACAGAAAACCTCCGAGCCAGACTCGTCAGAATTTGGGGTCAGCTGGAGTTGTACGAAACAAACCAAAACGTAAATTACAACAAAAACCTCCAAACTAAATATTCTTCATGCGTTTAGTCTGCAGTTAAACCTGCATAATGCAATAGCAATTCTAAATATATACTTAGCTACCCCACATATAGTTTCTTTTACAAATAAATTATTCAAGCCTGTAAGAAAAAATAACTTCACCCTGCCACATATAGTGACTCTCACAGCCTTTAATCTTTGCCTCAGGGTCATGGGAAGTGACTCGGGTTAAACTGTAGAACTGCACATTAGAGGATGTGCACTGCTCACTGCAAGGTTAAAAGTGGCAAGTTTTGAAAGAGTTTGATGGATGGGGGAACGTAACAAAAGATGCGGTAGGAGCAAAGGTAATAAGGCAAATATGATTATGTATGATGTACACACCGTTTTTAAGAGACACACACAGGTCTTCTCCCAGAGGGTGAGGTGGACCAGTGATCCCATAACCATCCTGCTTAGCGTTGCTTCATGATTAACATTGGACAAGCAAATACAAAGACACCGGTAAAGTCAACGTACAGACTCGGACTGAGAACCAACATTGCTTTTGAGCGGTCCGATTGTACTAAGAGAAAGCGGTGGATGCACAAATGAATCAATGCTTGCCATCTGTTCTAGGTAAAATAATTCTGAAAAAAAAGTAATGCAATAAAATATTGAAACAAAGTTCAAACTTTATTTTCGACAGCCTAACACCAAGAAAAATGTGCCGTTCCAGTATGCAGCCACAAACACGAGCACAAATTAATTCTCGCAAAAAGGATAACCAGCCAGTATTGGTGGATCAGCTAAACGAGATCCTTTTTCGTGCAAAAAATGAAGTCAAATCAACCACATTACAGCTGCATTGTGAAAACATTGTGTAACTTTGAATTTTAGTTTTTATTTTGCTACAAAATATAAGGAGTTGCTTTTTTTCTAATTTGAGATAAAGTTGGTGACCAAAACATACTTAAACTATTTGCTATATCCAATCTGACAGATAAAAAAGCTTTGGAAAATCTTGCAAAGCAAAATTTAATTTGAATGCATAATATAACGTTCCAATAGCAGGTATCATCAAGCTATCTTATACAGCTCTATGATGAGCACAATGCAAGTTTAAACCCAAATTACTGTTCAAATGGATTTTTAATTGCATAATTTATAGAAATATAATTCACATTCCAGCCCTTGCATGTATGGCCACTGTTAATTTTCTCAGCCTTTTGAATTTAAATTATCTTGCAAGTACAGAAAAATCCGTGACATTTTTTGGAATATTTGATTTACTTGTAAATAAATAAAATGGGCATGAATTCAAATCTCCGTTAAATCGTAGTCTACATAACCTCTTTCATGAAAAATGTTAAAGAGTCCAATTCACGTGGTAGTGAATAGTATTTTTAATCATTTGACAAAAAATGTCCAAAAGCTGATGTTTCAGCTGTTTTGTCAAAATGTTAATCTGGCCCAAAGTTAGTGTCCCCACAATCAATGCTCGTTGCTCCTCTCGGTTAACGGCACAGCCAGTTAAGAGAACATGTAATATTCCTATGGCAGAATCCTAAACGCGGCACTCACATTAAGGACAAGTCAAATCCTTTGGTTATCCTGAACAGCCAAGAAGTGCAGTAGTTGCCATGAAGACCATGCATGTGGATCATTCACCACAACCTCATTGTTGGACATTGCGGGACTGTTCATTGGGCAGCACTGTGCATTCATGTCAAAAATTAAGCTCGACGCACAACGAAAACATTGGCGCTTTACAAATTGGCCATCTGATAGTTCAAAAAATTATTAGTAAAAACTGTTGTTCCTTTTAAATCTTGGTGTTTGTGTATACAAAGCGTATTTATTGTTATTCAATATTGTTTAAAAGCTACTACGAATATTATAGTCCAATTTATATAAAACTGAGGTGGGGGGACGGGGAACGAAAACTTTAATGGGGGGGGGGATGTCGAAAATGAATTGTGCATCAACTGCCTACGTATAAAGCTTACTTACAATATCATTGACGGAAAGAGATGTCAAACCCTCATTTAATTAATGTCCAGATTGTTGAATTCATTGCTCCAGTGCATTTTGCGAAAATATAAAGCGAGCAAAAAAATAAACACCACGTCAACTGTGGGTGGTGTAAGGCTGAGAAAATTAAAATGGCAAGACAGAGAAACGTCATCACATCAGTGTAAAGCTAATGATCTGACTGCCAACTCAAAACATAAAATGAAAACTGCAGCGACAGATTAACTACTGGCGAAAAAGCACACACATCAGCACAAGATATAGATTTTTGGAATCATCAATCAACTGTTTGACATTTAACTTCACACTTTACTGTGTAACGTAAGATCTAATTTCAGACTTCCAACTGAAGTTAAGCAGTGCAACATGCGGAGTTTAAGGTGCATAACATGGAGCTGCAAGCAAGTACTGTACTTTTCATTCAAAGTTGCAGGCTCCTTGAGCAATGTTTAACATACGGCACTACGTAACCTTAGTTGAGATGCACAAAGACAGTGTCGCACCATTTAACTTCAGCTTTAACCAGTGAAAGGATAACTACTTCTAAATAAGAAATCTGAGCAGGCTAATATATTCGTGAAAGAAAATAGCCATTGACAAAAGTAACACATACTGATGAACAGCCTCTATGTCATTAAAATAAGTCACAAAGAACAGAAGCACACCGCACATTACTTTCAACATACCCAAAGAACAAGAGTCTGCTGTTCCCAATGGTTCCATGCATATTTTGGAGCATCGCAACAACGATGGCGCTCACAACTGCGAGCAGACGCAAGCTGCAAGGTGGCCCCTTGTCCTGCTAGGGCCTCGCTTTAGGTGTAAGTGTTGAGAAGTCACAGAGATAGCCGACCAGAAGCCTTGCTCCAAACAGCTGGGTAGTGCAGTCCTAAAGCCTAGAAATGTTGCTGCACAATAAGACCGCTACCAGCGGATGCAAATGGTGGAAAAGATTCTGGCACTTCTGGGGAACCTCGCCACAGTTGTACCTACATTGACGTGATCATTCAACTTCAAATCAACTGGCCTCGCGGCCATGGTGAAACAACGCTGTGGTGGCTGTCCCCATGATTTTCTGAATGAGGTGCTTACGGAGCTCAAAGTGGCATGTTTCCACCACTTGAATAAATCAGTAATTCCTGCCAGTTTTTTTGTTTTGTTTGCTTCTGTCTCAAGTTCTTTGAAGGGGAACCATACCAAAGGCAGGTTTGCTTGGACAGACCTCCGCTGCCAATTTCCACTGAACACCACAGGCAAGTTAGACCATCCCTGCTTGGTCTCGTGCTACCGTTCGCTCACCGAGCACCTCCCTTGTCCATGCTGGCCCTCATGATTGGTGGCCCACGGTCCGTCTCTCTCGCTCCGGACTGCTTTTTCTGCGTCAACACTCCCGACCGTACAGGTGGACACACGCACCACCCATGGCAGAGCTCCCCCTGTTGCGGCATGGCCGAGCCTACCCTGTGCCTCGCACATCACGCGACTTGCGTCCGTATCTGTAACTGCACACGCAACTGCCAATGTCAAGCCCAACACGCTGGCCTCTTGCAGAGTGATGCTATTAAAAATGCCTTTTGCCTTTACATTTTAAAATAAAAAGAATGAAATAAAAGCAAACTGGAAGAACTGCTCTAAAAAGATAAATGTATTATCTCAAAGCATTTAGGAGCTGGTCCCATGTTAGGTGAGATTTGCCTGCTTACCAAGGAAACTTAATGCAAATTTATGAAAGAAGCAAACTACATGGGTACTGTAGTCATTAAACTGTCAAGGACTCTGAGGCTGATGTGATTTACTCCACTGATTTACTCTGCCAAAGTCTAGTCGCTTATATGTGACTCGGTTAATAAAGAAAATAATAAACAAAAATAAAATGTAAAACAAAGGCAACGGTGGCGTCAACAAACTAAGCAATACAAGGGCATAGTCAATCCACCAGCTTCCACCTCTCCCACTTAATTGCTTTGACACTTCCTTCTCAGCTGACAGGTCTAGCGACAGATTTTCTGACCGGCAGGGGCTTCCCTGGCCGTATGCACCCTTACCACGCGACAGCCGGGCAATGCCAAGGCACGCCAGGTGTTCCTATGGCGTCCATGCGTGTCGCGGCCACAGCTCGGGGCGACCGTGCGCCTCCTGGCGTGTGCGCCACACCATTCCGTGTGTGCGCCACCATTCCCCACCCCCCTCTCGCATCCCTTCACTCGTGCGTCTGTCTGTTGGTCACGCGGTCCCTGTGGTCTGCCTCTTCCTCCTGCATTCCCCTCCTTCGTCAGTCCATTCTCCGATGGGTCGGTCGATGCGGCGGTAGCAGTTTTTCCTCGTTGTGTTTGCGATTTCTCTCTTGGTCACCAAGCCTTCTCCAGGCCCAGCTGCTTAGACCTACACCTGCACAAATTAAATTGACGTCACATTACATTGCTCGGGCTCAGTGCTACGCAAATACATATACTGATACGAACTGAAAATTTCTCACCATCGTCAAGTTTCCTCCAAATAATGCATTCTGGGTGAACACTTTGCTTCAGGCCACTGCTCAAAAGGTTAATGACACTAGTGGTGAGGTATTTCCATCTGTGCTTGCACAAGGATGCCTAATACAGTCCTATTAAGTTTAATTCTGAAAAATATTGCATGTATATCTTACTGCTTGCCCACTTTCCATTGGCTGCAGCATCACAATTTAGCAAAACTCACAAAAAGCAGCTATTCAAAATACAGCGACAGATTTAGATTCATATTCTTAGCTCTTTCGGTAAAGTCACGTTGAAGGGAAACAATAAAATAATAAAATACATATAAAACAATAAAAATTCTCACGAGGTTTCGACCATAACACAAACGGTCGTCATCAGGTGTGTGATGACGACTGTTTGTGTTATGGTCGAAACCTCGTGAGAATTTTTATTGTTTTATATATATTTTATTATTTTATTGTTTCCCTTCAGCGTGACTTTACCGAAAGAGCTAAGAATATGAATCACTGCAGTCATGAAAGCTTTAAATCAAAAGATTTAGATTCCCCTTTTAAAACCTCCAGATGCAAATCTTTCTCGGCCTATGCTAACCCCCAAAATATTGGCAATAAAATGTTTGAACTTAGACCTATAATTGGTTTATATGGAGGTTTTTAAGTGTGCTGAACTAATTGACATCAGTTTTCAAATAGAAAAAATGCAAATGTTGTAATTAAAAAAAAAATGCTTTTTGGAATGTTTTAGGTATGAGCACAGGCTCGACTATATGGGTACCACATTTAATCTCTCCAGCCATTCTACAACATCATTATAATTGCCATCCCTCACTCACAACTAATTGAGATTGTTGGTCAATAAGATAAAAAAAAAATATCTAAACCAAAAAAAGCTAATTAAATGATCAGATTACATGGCCAATTCCTTACACAAAGCAACAGGTACCAATACATACACACTATCAGATGACAAAAAACAAAACCTGAACATTGCGTACACTTCTCACTGCACAACGATGAGATGCAGTGTACAGGGTTGGTAACTCTTTGGGGCCCCTCACCTGCTTCCTAGTACTGCGACAGCCCCGCCATGCCGCTGTGCTGATAGGCCCGCTCGCCCTGGTACGTCGAGTCCTGAGACAGCGCCACATCCATCTGCGACTTGAACTCATCCCCGAGGTAACTGTCCTGCAACACCAAAGGTGGAGGCACAGACGACGTGACGTTGCAGGACTGTGCAGTGGTTTCTTGGAATTGCTCCTCGAGGCAGCTTCAACACATAGGTATCAGGCAAGGCCAAGCCAACATCAAGCAAACACGGCATTCTTAATATTCAGGGCTTTGTTTGAGATTAGTCATCTTCTTCTTTGGTATGGCTGATGTAGATACAGAGCAACAACTACAATTTCACATTCAGGTGGTCGAGCCAGATCACTGCGTCAGGAGCAGTGGAATGTGTAATCGCTGTGATGTCTCCTCGTATTTGTGGAATTGGGCATTGTGTCGTTATAGGTGAGTCACAATGCAACCACACAACGCTTACAATGACAGCATAAACATTGGCATAATTTACCTGTGAGAGTTCGGGCTGGGAAAGGCCCGGCTGACTCATCTGCGAGGGCTGACTCATGGACATGAAGCCCTGTGTGAGAGGGCCCTGTGAGAAGGGCTGCGAGCCCACGTCCTGGCTGGCCTGGCTGTCCACGAGGCCGTTGCCGGTGCTCCGTCCTGTTCCGCGCGGGCGTTGCTGTTTGCCCTTGCCTGGCTTGCCACGGCCCATCCCGCGGCCTGAAAATCACAAGGGCGCAACCCCCCACACGCAGTGACAACGCACGGAGCTTAAATAACAGCTATTTTGAAAAACCACAATCGTGAAAACAACTCGCCACAGATCAATCAACCAATAAGTGATGCTGTCACCACATTTTCATGGTTTTATTCAACTGGACAGGCAAAGAAGCAAGAAGATGCCTACCCATTGGAGGTCCGTTCATCTGGCCATAATAGGCTGGCGGAGGCATCGGTGGCATCATCATGTTGAAAGGGATAGGCAAGTTAAAGGCAGCTGGGTGTCCTGGATTGGGCCCAATCATTCCCATCTGGTCGTGAGTCTGAAAGTAACTGTTGTGTGGAGCTCGACCTGTACAGACACACAAACGAAGAATTACCCTCCGCTATCACAAACAGAAAACTATTCACAACGATCAACACCAATGACGTTAAGTTATTATTGCTGCTTCAAAAGAATGTGCTCTGACCCGGTCCGCTCCGGTCGTACACGCTGCCCGGAATCATGGCCTCTCTTGCATCATACATCGCCGTGCTCATGAATCGACCGCCCTGCATGCGCGCACACACAGATAGAGCACAGAAACATACACCCCATTACTCCTACCAGAATAAAACCTAACTGAATTTTCTCAACGTCACACTTCTAATGGAATCCTGGACAAGTGCAAACACTCACTAAATATTCCCAAGGTTTTGGCAACAAATAATATTTTAGCCGTTCAATTGAACTGAATAATTACTTTTTTTGGTACATGTAATCGCAATTTATGTAGGCGTTGGTGGGGGAGCATGCTGTGGCGACATACGGGGTTGACGGTGTTGACAAGCTTGCGAGGCTTGCTGAACTGCATGAGGCTCTCGCGCAGGTTGTTGAGAGGTCCTTCGACAAGCACCTTCTGCTCCTTGTAGTAGTTGAGCAGATGATTCCACAGAGGCTGCTTGGATAAAGCCTTTGGGTTGCCCACAATAATGACACCATACCTGCACGAAAGTCATCGCGATCACCATCGCAACCACATGCATGATTGTATTAAGCAAAATAAAATGTGTAAAATATTATGATGCATGAGCATGTTGAGTTTTGAATCCATTTCATCACTTGAAATAAATAATCCATGAAGCATGCCGACATTGAAATTCCGTGTTACATGTGAGCCATTAAGCATCATGGCAATTATAGTTGCAATAAATGGATAGGTGCCAAATAAAGCCCTGTCACAAAAATACCGAATGACATTACGGTTTACCCATAAAAGTGTTCACATCATCATTTAGAACCCACTAAGGTGTACAACTTCATATTTTACAACCACTCTTAACAAAATCTTTACTTCCATATCAGAACACAATTTCAATGCTATATGTTGTGCTGTGGAGCAGAGCAAACAAGAACCAAAGCCTGAGTAACTAAATTTCAGAGCAGAAATTCACTCCGCGAGCGATCAGAGGGGGGATGAACACATCATACTTGGCTCGCGTGAGGGCCACATTGAGTCGACGAGGATCGTTGAGGAAGCCGATGCCCTGGTGCTCGTTGGCACGAACACATGACAGGATGATGAAGTCCTTCTCGCGACCCTGGAATGCATCTACACTGGCAATCTCCACCTCCTGCATGGTGGGCAGGACACACGAAATTAGCACCATTTGTGAGAAGTACTTTTATCCTGTTTTTCAATTTGCTGCTTCAGTGAACTTACACATAACATAACGAGTCAATGAAATATAACAGGTTTTTAATAATGTCACAGAGAAACAATAAATTGCCATTTTTGCCAACTGGTGTTAACAAAATAGAGGTTTACAAAGATACTCTTAAACACATTTGGTAGGTGATGTTGGGTTGTAGGTAATGTCCGATTACGGACTCACAAAATGAGAATCCGTCGAGAAAGACTGACTAGGCTGCCATGTTTGTGAGGCAAGGTGAAGTAATCGTGTTATGCTTGAAACAGTACAAATGGTAAGAGATGCATTGGCTATTTCAGGACTTGTTAACAATCTTCAAAAGTCGTAAAAAAGTCACCTATAAAGATCCGAGTAAAGTGAACACATTATCATAATCAGAATATTTACTTATACTGGAGGAATCCAATGAGCTTCAAAAGCTATTTTTCACAGATGTCCAGTAGGTTTCATAGATGTCCAGTAGGTACACACACCTGGTAGAGCTTGGCATGCAGGGAGCCGCTGAACTGCATGTACTGCACCAGGTACGAGCGCTGACCCTCATAGGGCGTGATGATACCGATCTGGTCTGGCTTGGCTCCAGCCTTCAGGAGGCGTGTTGTGATCTTCTCCACGTTCGAGGCCTCCGTCCTACACAACAGTTGGCTTTAAGCATGAGCCTACACACACTCTCTATTCGGCCTGGTGGCTCGGCTGTAGAGTGAGCAGCTCGCAATCGCAAGATTATGGGTTCAAATCCTGGGTAAGGGGGTTTGGGTGGGGGGGTCTATAAAACGATTGCCACGTTTTGATTTAAAGCTTTCGTGACTGCAGTGATTCATATTCTTGGTTCTTTCGGTAGTCACGTTGAAGGGAAAACAATAAAATATATATAAAACAATAAAATTCTCACGACGTTTCGACTGCAACACAAGCAGTCATCACACCTGCAAAACAAGCAGTCATCATCAGGTGTGATGACTGCTTGTGTTGCAGTCGAAACGATGTCAGAATTTTATTGTTTCATATATATTTTATTATTTTATTGTTTTCCCTTCAACGTGACTTTACCGAAAGAACCAATAATTTGATTGCCACGTTGTAGGGAGTAAACAGTGGTTGCCTTATAGATAGACTCACTCGCCATAGGAATGTTGAATTGCCGTCACTAGTTCAGGGCTGTAAGCGGGCGATGAACACCACCACAATGTTCATTTTGGCATAAAATCACTTTACATTTTTTAAAATATACTATAATGTGCGACATCCGAGACCAAATCATAGATTTAAAAAACATGTCCTGCGTACATCCAAAGTGTTATTGTACATATAGAAAGCATAACTTGTACATTTTCCATTTCTTAGTCTTTAGTTTTTGGTCACTGACCCCAAGGATTTGCTTTAATCTTTCAAATGGGAAATACCGAAGAGAATATATATAACGCATACATTTATTTTACATTGATGTAAATCTCTCACAGCATGTGGTAATATTAAGCCAGAGTAGACAATTGCATTGACCCGCAGTGGGGTCAACATCTCTGCTCCTCATTAGCGAGTGGCGCAGCGAGTGAAGAAGCTTGATTCCATCTATCACTCGGCCTTAAGATTTACATTGAACTGCCCATATAGGACTCACCACTGTGATCTCTACATTGGGTCAAACTTAACATCTCTTAATGTTCGCCGGCTTGTGCACCAGATCTTATTTATTGACGATTTACTTACAAAAAAATCCGCAAACTACCTGCTGGATCTCCTCTCTGTTTCAAAGAACAAATTTGACCTCAGTTCTTCGCTCATTTACCAGCTTCACATTCCCTATTGCCGTACAAAAACTGGAGGAAGGGCCTTTGCTATTGATGCCCCCAGGGTCTGGAATGCTATTGCCAATAAACTGCAACTTGAATCTCTACCAATGAGATCTTCTCTCAAAACTGCTCTAGAGGAGTTGTACACCCCTAGCTGCCACTGCTATTCGTTGGCGTAAAATAAAATAAAATGTTTCGCTCCGGATGACGCTGCAAAGTATTATCTGTATTTTGATTTAGCGTGCTGATCTTAAAGGTCCATTGAAAAATTTGATACTCCGACTGATGCTTCTGTTGTTGTGGAGAAACTCATGCAGCCAGCTATGGCTCTAGGGTTTGGTGTTACATGTTATTTATGTAGTTTATTGTAGAAAATTCGGTCACAGTCCCTGTGATCACTGTTACGTTGCAATTATGGCTTTATTTTTTTGGTGATTTTGAAAACGTTTTTTGGTTTGGACATGTTTGTTTTGTTGTAGTACAGAGTTAGACTGATGGCCTAAATCTAAGTTTTTTTGTGGTTGTTGTTGTTTGACTTGCATCCCACTGGGATTTTTGCACACAGCGTTGGTGTACGGTGCTTTTTCAGGAATATTTTGCTGGATTTTTTCATGGATTTTCTGTTTGCACAGTCACATAGTCACTTTAAGATGTTTTCTTGTTCGTGTTTTTGTTTTTTGTTTGTTGCGGTTGCACCCGATTCAAGAGCCGAATGGCTCACAGGGCTATACCAAATCAATAAACTAAAACTGAGTGAGACATCACCTGTTGAGATAAGAGGTGCCAGAGCTTGCTATCTCCTCCTGCCCTTGGGTCACATAGAAGAACATTGGCTTGTCAGGCTGAGTCCACGTGAAGTCAAAGCCTTTCTTGACACGCTCCGCTGAAACAACAAGCCAAATATCTATATGTCAAGATACGCTGTTTGTTTCTGGCGTTGCATCTTACTTTCAATAAATGTGATACTTTCCTCCTAGATATGTCATCAAGATAATATGAAATAGTGAACAGGTCCCTGCAGGGTGGGCTGGTAGGACAAGTCTCTGCGCTGTCTATTGCTGATTTTACACCCAACAGCACGAGATTTCACTTCGTTAAAGTATTGAAAGGGGACGGACGGCCGGACACATTAATCTATTGCAGGCTGGTACACTCAGTTTACAACTTCGTTCCTACCAGTAAAATATGATATTTATTTACTTTTGCAGTTTCCTATTAACAATACACTCTAAACATTTCTTGGCCAATGTATGAAATAATCCCACAACCTATGTTATTATAGGCCGTCTACTTTTCCACTTAGTACTGCTGTAATCTAAAGCCAAGTTTCTAAATCAACAATATGCCAATAGCCAAGGAGAATAATGTGTAACATCAGGAAAATAAAGCTGCTCAAAACATGTTTCCAACTTACAAACACATCCACTCTAATTTGAAAATAAGACTGCATAAAAACTGTACTTCATTCAAAGAGCTTGCTTTATCAAAGTTCTTTGTTTATTTTAACAGTTACACGCACTGCCATTTTATACCAAACCTACAAAAACATCCAGAATTTTACTGTGAGGGAAATAAAGCACAAAGCATATCTGTTAAATTGAACACGAAGTCATGCAGAAGACAGCTGTGCGGAGTATTTTGTACCAGCAGTGACGCCATTCTGAAGCGAGCCTTCGTAGAAGATGTTGGAAGGGAAGGCACTCAGCGCTGGGTGCATGCGGTACTGCACTTGCAGGCGGATAGGCCGGATGCCCAGCACCACCAACCGCTCAAACAACGACTGGCATAGTCCGGCCTTGGCTGCCTTCTTGCACATAACCACGGGACCCAGCTGGCAGTGGTCGCCCACCAGAATCAGCTACACACACACAGATGCAGACGCCACGTTTATAACACCCCTCCCTCCACCAGCAGCAGCCACTTTCAACACAAGTCACATTTCTTGCCATAAGAGGTATTTTGGGTTAGATCGCGTAAACATATAAATGTGTCGTTAAAACCCGCCACCACCCGACACAGCCAGCTAGTAAGGCTTGTCATGTAAACAGAACATGCCAATTCGTCACTAGTAGTGACGAATTGGCATGTCAATTCGTCACTAGTAGTGACGAATTGACATGTTACTACACTTAAGGCTAGTAGTGACGAATTGACATGTTACTAGGGACGAATTGGCATGTTCTGTTTACGTGACAACCCTTACTAGTTGGCTTTGTTGGGTGGTGGCGGGTTCTAACGACACCTCTAATTATGGATATTGGTCGCGAAAGCCGACGTGTTAAACTCACATGTCTTGCCGTTGGCATAAACCTCCATTCTGCCCTCATATTCACCGTGCCATCCAAACAAACAGGCTGTGTCAGAGGCACCTACACTTGAAAATTACATTTTACAAGGAATCTGCCGAAACAGCCAATTCACCAGGTACATCGCTCGGGAACATGAAAGCTAATTATTTGCGGCTAAAAAGGTCCCACCCAAAAGGCTGGCATTACTTAATAATGCCAAACCCAAATGAATACCACTGGCAACTATTTTAGTTCTATAAATAGGCATGGCTTAATACTCTGAGGAGCACACACAACTCTGAATACACCAAAGCTGCCACCTTTCGTGCCATACCTGCTTTGCACCGAGGACAGTGGGCACCATGCACTCGGGCTCCGTGGCCTGGGTGCTCTCGTCAATCAAAATGGAGCGGTACTGCATCTTGGCCAAACGAGGGTCACCGGCACCCACACACGTGCAGCATATCACGTCCGCATTCTGAAAAACCAACGTTCTGCATCAACACACATTGCAAACGTGCCTTGCGGACATCAGGGCCACACGCATACACTTAAGGCTTGTTGCAAATGCCAAAAAATTAGGTGCAATGTGATTAATTAAAAAAATCTTGTTAGTTTAAGAATTGATAACAAGAACAAGTAATTGGATACAAGGAGATGCATATGCAGTTTCGTGAAACTGTTTTGCGTGACCGTCAAAATTAATGGTGAACATTGAAAATCACTTTGATGAAACGGTCTGGCTCTGGGGGTCTGAAGGAATAACTCCAAACCTTAAGAATCATAAGAGAGCTTTAACCTGGCTCTATGAGCCTCACACATGAACAATTATTAGAATCCTGAAGGTGCCTTTGTTTATGTCTCTGAGCCACAGCTATTACACGATGCCTAAGAGGTCTAAATGTTCCTGAGCCTGGCACACTGACCTTTGGGAATTAACAACGAACACCTAGAACAGACATGGGCAAAGTACGGCCCCCGGGCCGTACACGGCCCGTTGGGCTTTTTAATCCGGCCCGCCGAACTTGTCCAAAAATTCTTATTATTAAATTAAATTTTACCTTTCTCCTGTAATGCCCCTATTTCCCCATTAGATGGCGCACTTTGACTGTCAAATTTTAGAACCCATTGTGGCCCACGAGTTAAAACATTTGCCCACCCCTGACCTAGAATTATGAAGGTGTGTTAAACCAACTTCCTGAGCCCACTGTGCATTGTGATATCAATGGCCAAGGAGTGATTTGACTTTATGGTAACAGGTGCAACTTATTACTATAGATTAGGTAAAATTAACCAACAATATAGTTGTTTCATTGTATTTTATACTTTACCCTAAAAAAAACAGCTATGTTACGAGTGTAGCGTGATTCCATTCATACTCGGCACAATACATTTTCTGAAGACATACCTCCTCCTTCAGGTACAAGAGAGATAAATCAATAAAAATAATTGGACTAGCATGTGGGAAGTGTCAAATTGTTACCGCAAGTAAAACCTAAAGACATTTCAGGATTTACAGAAACTCTTCAGCGAACATTTAAAAAATCAATGGCTTGTTTAACCGGTCCCTTAAGAATAAATTGCAAAACCATTTGTCTTGCACAAAACTACACAAGCGCATCGGAATGCGCCGCGATTGTTGGCGCCGTAATTCACATTTGAAAGTTGTGGGGAGAGCATGGGGGGTGAGCACAATTGCTGTGAGCGTGGGCATGCAGGTGAGTGAAGTGTCATGTTGATCATGACAACGGTAGTTGGCATGGAGCTGTTTGGTGGTGGCAGAGTTGTGGTTGGGTGGGTAAATATATAAATGTTATAACGTTTTGACCTGCCCCTACTATATATTTGTAAAAAAGAGCTTTATAGCTCATCGGATTCCTCCAGTGTAAATAAATATTCAGATTCTGATTCTGAATATATGCTTGGTGCAGCCGTTTACTTTGTGCCCTCACCATCAGCAGCTCACGCTCCGCATTCCTCTTTAGGGCCCGGTACCGTTTCTCATCAGCGGAAGACAGCTCTCCGGTCTCATCCTTTAGCTGCTGCAGCTTCTGCAGCTCTGGCAAGCTACACCAAGAGCACACCAGTTCATGGTTACGACCGTTGTTAAAACAGCGCAACTTAAATGATGCGTGAGAAACCTCAAATGTAGCACGTAGATGAGAGCATGCTACATAAAACGAATCCTAAAACATTGGGGTAAAATGAAAAATGTCAGAACAAATTAATAGCACAATGCCAAGGTGTACTTCAGAAATAAACAAAAACGATCATATCAACTCATTGGCACATACACCTCATGTCCACATTTCCTGTAATTTTAACCAAATTGGTACGATTTATTTTTACCGAAATCACCAAAATGTATCTGTAATTTTAAATAATCTTGGGAAGTTTCCCCGATTCCTTTTTAAAATATACATTTACATGCAACAAGTGGCATGGCACATCTTGTATTTACTTTCCAAAAGCAGCAAACCTAAGCACCCATCATGAATCACTTTGCAAATTGCACCAATAGACTTTACAGTATGCAACAGTGGGGCAAAATGTACTTAAAATGCATGTCAACAAACTAACTATTGGCAGACAGACTAAATTATAGATAGGTTTGCAATGATAATTGTATAACGTTACGTAACTTTTTTGTTGACAACTTTTATACGTGCAAAATGTATGTATGTATGTATGCATGTTGAACTTCTTTCGCACCATGTAGCTAACCGTGACAATCGGAGGTGCGGGGGAAGGACAAACTAAACAAAAAACAGTTCTAAAGTGTTTTGTTTCAATCAAGATTTACAAGTACATAGCTCCAGTGATATAAATACATAAAGATAATGCGTGAAAGAAGAGACTACAGCGTGGTAGAACTCACCAATCCATATAGAACTCAGCTTAACACGTAGGCTTTCGCGACCAATATCCATAATAGAGGTTTATTTGGGTTAGATCGCGTAAATATATAAATGTGTCGTTAAAACCCGCCACCACCTGACACAGCCAACAAGTAAGGGTTGTCACGTAAACAGAACATGCCAATTCGTCACTAGTACAGCACACCGGTGTGTTGGAGAGCAAAGCCACAACATTTACAATCTGAGTATGACGTTTCTCCAGTAATTACAACCAGCTTCATCAGGCAACAGCCAGATTTGTGGAGAAGTCCACCTGTTTCATTCCTTATATAGAGGCAGAGATGTGGTAACCACACTTCTGCGCTCTTGCACAGAGTGGGGGGGGGTTAATGAGTCAACGTACATTATGCATGCACATTATGCGAGCCCTATGATCTTGTCCTTCCTGTCTAGTGTTTATTCAAATAGTCGTACCAACGGTAATCCATATTGAAGTATGGTGCCCTGTATAGGCATGCATTTAAACAATTTATTATTTGAGGACTCGCTTCCACGCAGCACTAAGGCGGTAGCTATCCGAACGGTTAAAATTATTTCTTTCAATTTCGATATATTCTCTAATTAGTCTTGGCCAGTAGCAGCTCGTTTTGCAAAGAACTTCAACATTATCAAAATCTATTGAGTGCCCTTGTTGGCAAACGTGTTCTGCTACTGCTGACAGTTGTATTTGGGAGAATTTAATATTTGTCTGATGTTCTTTTAGTTTCGTGCTGATCATTTGTCCTGTTTGCCCAACATTGCATTTGCCCCAAGTGCAGTTAATAATCCTGTACACACCTTCTGTTGATAGCTTCGGGAATGCATTTTTTGTACCAGATATTAATTTCTGTATTGTATGTACCGTGCCAAATCTGACTTGGATGTTTTGTTTTTCCAAACATCGGCTGGTTTATCAGTTACACCTGCAATATACGGTATTTTTATCGTTTTAATTACTTGGGCAGTTTCAATGCTCGTGTTATTTGATTTGGTTTTGGCATTAAATTCCCTGTTGATTTGTGCATCATGGTAACCGTTCATTTGCAGCGCTTCTTTAACATCATTCATTTCACTTCTCAGACTGTCACCATCTGACACTTTCTAAGCTCAATGAATGAGCATTTTGATAAGAGCAGATTTCTGTGCCGGGTGATGGTGTGACTCTGCATTCAGATAGGCATCAGTATGCATTTTCTTTTGGTAAACGCTGTGTGTTATTTTACCATTTCGACCCCGTCCGAGCAGAATATCCATATAAAGGAGAGACTACAGGGGGTAGAACTCACCTGTCCATATTGCGTATTTGGTTGTGCAGAGCGAGGAAGGAGACGGGGGAGTCGATGGCTTCCCTGCTCTTGGCACACAACCGCACCACCTTGAGACCCGTGCGGTGGATCTTCTCCGTCAGCTGGTCCACTGCGATGTTACTGGGGGCGCACACTAGCACGGGCCTGTACGCAGAACAAGCACCCACACCAAGCTTCACCAACAGTACTGACATTAGCAAAGATTGCCAGTTACTCATTTTAAGCAAGCTTAACTCATAGATGCCCAGGAACAGCAATGCCAATGACTCATAGCACACAATCAGTAGGCATATGAAACCAACAATCAAACTAACACACGTAATTGTACCCAAAGTCACAGCGTCACCGCCGAATTGGATGACTATGCATAAAAATATGTTGTGGTCAAATATGCACATGTACCACTTTTTCGAAGGTAATCCACTGCTCATGATAAATCCAGTCTAACTTGCAAAATTAAATATAATTCGAATGTAATAATGATACGAAAATCTTCAACCATTTAATTGAAAATAAAATAACATTAACCCACAGACCAGAGATCTGAGTCAAACACACTCACAATTAACTACCCATCCATATTAGATTCCAAAATGGAATGTACTCCAATTAGTAAGGGTAGCATAAAAACAAGGCAACCTCATTTTCATAATTAGTGTAAATCAGTTGAAGCAAGCACAAAGAGTAAATAACACAAAAACATTCAAAAGCACATCCAACATTTTTCACTTGCATACAAAATATGCTGAATAGTTTAAGGAGAATGAGTCAACTGCACTTCTTCCGCAGACTGTGATGCATGCCAGCACACTCGACTGCATGGGCAATACTATTTACAAGCAATAAATAACTGTACACTAAACCAAAGATACAAAACCTTGGTAACACCTGTGCCATTGCAATGTCGTGTGACTAAAATGGAACCCACCATTGCAGCACTATAAACATTTAAAGTTACATTTTATTTAGTTTCAGGAGCCCCACCCTTCCCAATGCCTTCACCTTATTGAAAATAAGCAGCCACTATTATGCCCCTATGCAATTCCAACAGCATGGGACTGCACACTCGTGCACCCACTGACTTACGTTTCTACGAATGCTCTTCACGTTCATCAATGACACGTTACTACGAGTTAGACTGGCATGGACTTTGCACACAACTTTCCGACACAGCAAAACAAACTGGCACTGCATTTGCCAAGCAAGCAGAGGCACAGGGGGAGAAGACAATCTTCCACTGAATGTGCCAAGCCAGCAGAACCCACAGGGAAAAAGACTGTCGACCACTACACTACTTTACATATGAAAGCACTGACCCGCTGTTCTGCTTGGCCAAGTGGTAAACGATGGTGGCTGAGGTGACGGTCTTCCCAGTGCCAGGGGGACCCTGGATGAGGCTGAGTGGGCGCTGCAGCACAGTCTTCACAGCGTACACCTGTAAACACACGAGGCAATGGGTTTGCATATTTTACACTTAGTAATGCGTGTATAGCCTTCTTAGAATGCTATTTTTAGACATCCCGTTTCACTTCTTCAAAATTATTTTTTTATTGACGAAAGATGAAACTTAGCAGAGGATTACCAGCTTACTGTGAAATAGTTGTGTACTACATGCAGTGTTTTGTAAATGTAAAAAAAACGATGTAAGGTATTTCGTATGCAAGTAAAAACACTCACCATGCATAACCTCAATCATAAATTCATGAATAAAAATATATATTTTGAATATCATATTTTGGTCATTGACTGATAAAATGGCTGTCAACTTCTTTAGGTGAGAACACGATCATGAAAATACAAAACACACCTCTCTTTTCCCATGTCATTGCAGGGCAAGACCAAAATAGGATAGAACCTATCTGTGCCCCTGCCTGCTTCCCAGATAACATCGCTCAATGTAAATTTCACGATTTAGTAATAGATCTGATGATCTTTCGATTTAAAGCTTTCGTGACTGCAAGGATTCATCTTCTTTGGTTCTTTCGGTAAAGTCACGTAGAATGAGAATAAAATAATAAATTGATAAAATAGAATATTATTGTGTTATTTTATCAATTTATTATTTTATTCTCATTCTACGTGACTTTACCGAAAGAACCAAAGAAGATCTGATGATACTGCCGTTATTATTTAAATGAAACCCACGTTAAAAACTGAGACCGTGTGCATTTGTTTAATAAAACTAATCATGAACAATGTACCAACGTAGCAGCAAATGAAAACGAGAGCCTGAAAAAATGTGAAGCAAACTAAAAAAGCATTTTTGCTAAAGGAACTGAAACTTAAGGAAAAAAACAGAAAACTGAACCTTAACACCACACAGTAAATATACAGAAACATCCTGGTCGTACCATCTCAAATAGTATGCAAAAATTTTGACTTAACAATAATACCGTTTAATTTATAAATGCTTAAACTTTATAGATTATGCAGAATAAATACCACATTATCGTGAACGTAGACAACCAAATCCCTGTAATAATCAAGCGAATGCCATTTTTACCTCGCAAGCTAATCCCAGCTCCTTTTTTATTTTATTATCATCAAAGACTGTCACAGCAGGGGACACACACACAAAAAAAAGAGGTAGAATTGTCAGCAGCGTCACACCTGAGAGTGGTTGAGGTCAGGCAGGCCTGGGGCAGTGAAGCGCTTAGGCAGCATACACTTGATGAGTACATCCTCCACCTCGTGGCCCAGCAGCTTGTGGTAGATGTATCCAGACACCGAGGTCTCGTCCACCGCAAAGGTCTTCAGGGCGCTCTGCATCCTGCACACGTCACCAGACTGTTACTAAAATCGCCTTCATCTCCAAGGGAAGACCCTAGTTTCAGGAACGGGAAAACTAACTTTTTAAGCACAGCCACATGACAATAATACAAAAAAATTGTAAGCTTCATTGGTGTTGTGCTCGTATCGAATTGTATTCACATCAGATGTAAAAACCGAGTGTTTATAGGCTATTATACGCAAGCTTTCACGACCATAATTATGTTTCTTAATTGGTTTCTTGCAGGCTAGGTTGTGTAAAAATGTGTCGTAAAACCCTGCCCCACCTGACAAAGCCAATTAATTACGTGCACTTGCAGAAATTGTTACATTGGTCAGACAGATTGCAAAATTAGTATAAAGCTTAAAACAATCAATGAAATATGAAATACAGACTGAATTATCTGTGATTGCAGAACACGCATGTCATGAAGGGCATCAAGTTGACTAAGGTCAAAGTCCTGTGTAAAAATAATTATTACTGGCAAAGATTAGACAATCATTAGCGATTTTGAAAAGCACAAAATAACTTCAACCAAGCAAACAGTTATACAATGAGTGCTGCCTGGAAATGAATTATAACTAAAAAATCTTGATGACAAAAAAAAGGTAATTGAAAGTATTAATGAACACTTACTTAAATTCATAACTCACTAAACCTCTATAATCAACAATTATTATGACATCTTAATTGTACTGAAACCCTGAAAGTGCTAATTTAACACATTAAAACAAATTATAAATCTTACCACTTTAAATTCATCAATTATTTATTATAATTTAACAAAAACAGCAAAAAATATTTGTTTATAAACACCAATTATTCAGTGATTATCCCCATAACATTAACTACATTAAATCTTAAATAGAACCACAACAGCATAGAAATTGGAGCTTCATGACTTACACAACACACCTTAACATAATTAAGGATATCCTATTTTCACCAATCCGAAATATATTAAACTTGTTACACTAACCTAACCTGCCAGTCACAACCAATCAACGACCAATTAACCAAAGTTATTAAATTAGATTACGTGCATGACTGTGCCCATATCATGCAGAGATCCATACTCTTTGGTTCTATTGGGTAAAGTCACGTAGGTAAAAAATAAAATAACAAAAATCACGACGTTCCGGCCACAACACAAGCGGCCTTCATCAGGTGAAGGGACGAGACTGTCTGGAGGACAGCGCTGGAGTGAAAAACCACGATCAGGAAGCGCTTTTACATCAGAACCGAGCTCCTGTTGACAACCTGATGCTCGATGGAATGCCCATCGAAACGTCATACCCATTTAATTTTGAGTACTCTGCAAGAACAACACCCATGTGCTGCAGCAGTAATGCATTTGGCACATATTATGCACGTTTGATTCACGTGACACTTTTATTAATTGGCTGTGTCGTGTGGAGCAGAGTTAACACAGTTTTGCATTTTTACAAGATTTAACCCAAAAGAAACCACTTATATTTCTAGACTCTCCCTTAGCTAAGAATGTTATCATTTGAGGATAAAAAGATAATTGTTCACCATAAGCCATGTTTTTATGAATTACTGTGATATTTAAAGAACAAAAATAATTACGGGGACTAAACATTTACTCTTCACATTTGTACACTGAACACCAACATTTCAAAGTAGATTTTTGAACATACGTACTAATCATACTATGTATGAACATTATAAATATTAGTTTTTTTCGAAGGCCATTCAGGATGCACCGACATTGAGTAAGCGCTTATCAAACAATACCTTGCTTACCTGTCAAAGGAGGTCGACTTCCACACAAAATCAACCTGGAAGTTGTGGGTGCACTCTGCTGGCACGCCAGTGTTACTTCGCAACTCAATTGCAATTTCATCTCCAAAGTCTGGGTACAATGTAAAGGAAATCAGACGTATGAAAACTAAACGGCGAGGCTGATATTACAGTGTTACAGCACAAAACACACGCACTGCTCTAACTGGTAGGTTGAAAAGGATTAACTAAATTCAATTTTCACAAGCAAGGATGTACGCAGCTTTGCCAATGCTCTTGGAAGCTACAATTATCATATTTGGTGAAAGTTGTACAAACTATCAATCATACAGCAAGTAGCATTATCAGACATATGTAAGCAATTGTCAAAACATACACATTGTGCTAGTTCAAGAACAGTTTATTGATCATCATTATACAAACATTTATGGACTTTATGATTTGGCAAAATCAGGAAATGGATACTGTCCGGGACTTTGATGACATGGCCAATCCCTTTCCAGGGAGCAGCCAGCTCTCCCTTGTAGCGCAAACAGATCTCGTCTCCTTGCATCAACCGCATGTCTGCTGGAAATCACAGGTAGCAGACAGCACAAGGCCAATGAAAAATTGTTCCCAAGTTACTTAATACAAAATTAGCCACAGCGTTCTGGCAGAATTATTTAATTTGTTGTGGATAGCATATCATGGACAAAGGGAAAGCAATGAAAATAATGTAATGCAAACTTAAAAAGTAAACATTATGCTCACTTACATTACTGAAGGTTATGAGCAATATCTAAGCAAACATGAACATATATATTGTCGATAGATACCGATACATCCTACGAAGAGCAAAACTAGTATATGGTGCTAAACAAAGAATTACAAAGCCAACCTGAGTCAGTTTTAGGCAAGCTGAAGAAGGCAATCCTCTTCTTGTTCAGCCCCACATCCCATCTCACGGTTATGTTATCTTGAGTCTAGGGAATGGAAATGTGTGTCAATACACAGACGTTAATCAGTATGTTTCAGGACTGTACAACTGCCAAAGTGTTACACAAATGGAACAATTTGCTGTGCAAGCAACTCGTTGACACACGACAAATAAGCAGCGACATAATGTGAAAACAAAGGTTAATTATATAATTAAATACCCCTGGAGGTGAACAGTGTACCTAAAGTATTCTTTTCCATAAGCCTAATTACTGCCAAACACAATTATCCTCCAAATGTACTGTGTCCAAGCTTTATTTCATGATGTAATAATCATACTACATGATACAAAACATGCGCTTAACGCAGTGTAGTTAAGCAGGTTGGAAGCAGCCAATCTCGATCGTCATAGCTCTAGTTCTTCACAGAAATATACAATTAGATGCACCATGAGTGGCAGAGTGGCACAGTGGTTAACACGTGCGCCTAGAAGCAGGAAGGATGTAGGTTCAGTTCCTGACTCGGGTGCCTTTCTGTGTGAAGTTTGCATGTTGTTCCCCTGTTCTGTATGGGTTTGTTCCGGGTTCTCCGGTTTCCCCCAATAGCTAAAAACATACAATGTAATTGGTATTGCCCATAAACTCCAATGCAGGCACTTCAAGTCTTCCGCCTCAAGTGCAGCTTTACTAAATAAATAGGTAATTATTATGCTACGCATGAGCATAACCTAGTGACCAGGTATCTGAAATCAATAATTGAGCCACTCAAATTTTTAAGATCTACCAAAAATTTGATATTTCCATCTAATAAACACCTGGCATTGTACCCACTTGCATCCAAGCCCTTGCACGAACCTGGGATTCCTTGAGCTTCTTATCATAGTCGGCCTCCAGCTTGACAAGCGGCCCAAACACATTCTGATACTGGTAGGCATCCTCATAGCGTAGTAACACCGGCTGAGGCTCCTCATCCACGCCTGGCTTCTCCAGGTCCTCCAGGGTGGCATTGGGGTTTTCCTGTAACAGACATGGCAGTGATACAGATTCCCTGGGAGCAGAGCTCCCACCTCCACTGCATCCAAGGTTCAGCCAGAAATGTTGGTCTCGGATGCATCAAAAACAAAAAAACAGCATATTGTCTGCACACACGTGCACCGATGTAAATCTTTATATCAGGTTGACAGTTTTTTAGTACATCTTTAAATACAGCTGACAGTTTTGTGTGTGATATTTTTTCTGTGCATCAGTGGCACAGTGGATAATGGCTAATTAATAAAAGGTCAAAGGCATAGTTATTTGTGTATAACAAATATTGCCTAACAAACTAAAGCACCAGAAAGTGTGGAGCTTCCTAAAATGTATGTATGTTAAGTCCATGCTTAACGCATTTTCGCTATAACGTGGTTCTTTTATTAGGGAACACTTTTCGCACGTGGAATGCGCACCGCAGTTTCTGAGCGGTTAACGACAAGATACTTTGTCGAGTTGTGTGGCTGAGCAACAAGGGAATTCTGGGTATACGCGCAAAATGATAGTGCGTGGCGTACCTTCATCTCAGCTTTTTATCCCACCATGGGATAACCACAGGCTTATTTCAAAGTGCAAATGTGATTAAATTTGCATTATTTAAATTTATATATGCCCAGTAATGTCTAGACAATTCCTCACAAAGTGTTTTCGTTTAAAGCTGCATCTACCGCATTCAACGAGGAATGACTGAACGTACTAGGCTAGTAGTATGCAGGTCGATGTGTGTGTAAGTCATATGCATTCCACAAAACAGTGCCTCTTTTATTTCAGTTTCATTACCATCTGAAAATAGCCACTAAAAAGTAAGCAATGACTTTGAACGCACGCCTGTCTCAATCTATACTCTGCACATTGCTCAAATCAAAAACTGATTTGACATGTTGCCAAATAGCAGGCTCCACCCCCTATGTTGCCCTCAAAACACCATTATAAGGTCGCACTCATTACACACAAAGTGCTTGACACAAATGAGCCACAATACCTTGCTGATCCCATCAAGGAGCATAAACTATAACACGGACTCAGGTCATCACCGCAGCAGCGGCTTTAAGCTGGCCATCGAACAAAGACGGTCACTGCATCGCACGCTTTCAGATGCGCTTCTGCGGCCGTCTGGAATGCTCTTCCTTCCTATAATAGGAAGCCAATGGCGCTATGCACTTTTAAATCTAGATTGAAAACTAATGTATTTATGAATAGCCTTTTGTGTTTAGTTTGTTGTCCTTCCCCCACACCTCCGATTAGCACGGTTGGCTACGTATGGTGCGAAAGTTCAACATGATTACATACATTTGAATCTGTGTTCAGACACCTGTTTCCTGTTATAAGCAGCCCTTTGCCCTTTAGGCCAAATAAGCTATTTGATCCCGTAACTTTTCAACAATATGACTGATGAATATATGTAGCAGTATATATAAACACTGCTCCAAAAGCTTTCCTTAGACCTGTTTTTTTACTTTTCACCATCAACCTTTATTTACAAAATTACTTTGCAGCATGCACTACACTCGGTAGATATAGGAAATGTAGCTAATTCATTCAATAATCATATGAAATTAAATTAGTCTAATTAGTCTTGAGCAAGATCTTTCAATAAGAATTTTATTCAAAGTAATGTTAGAAATGTTCCATAATTTCCCTTTGACCAGTCATCCTTCCCCACACTGCTAAAGCGTGCCCAGTGTCAATGTTTCCAAATAGACATGTGTTTCATGCTCAAATATAGAGCAGTGCCTATCTCAGCCTATTCAACTAAAACTGTTTATTTTACCAGGTAAGGCCCACTGAGCTATATAGCTCTTTTTCACAAGTGACCTGGCCACAAATAATAGCTCAAAAGTGGCTTATCATTTGGAAATTTATAGCAGCCAAATAATGTAAATGCATGTTGATTTTAAATGTGGAGGGGAAAACCGGAGGACCTGGAGAAAAATCCACGTGACCACGAGGAGTGAGAACAATCAAACTCCAAATACACAGGCGTCAGGGTCAGGATCAAACCCACAACCTCCTTCATACCAGGCGAGGTAGTTAACATCTCACTACCGTGGCACCCGAAGCCAACGTTTGGGAACTTGACATCTTATGGCGGACGCCAGTCTGACTAGGACAACCACCCATGTGTTTTAGCACTACAGTAACAGAAAAACAATTCCATTTTTGCGTTTCCACACTGTGGTCTTGTATTTAAAGTTATGCCCTTAAAAAATGTTTGATACAAAGTGACAATATAAAACAGGCAACGCATCTCGCCTTTTCATCACGACAGCTTATTATGTCACGTCACGTGATCCTCTATGTTTTTCCCTGCTTCACACAGCAGCACCGGCAGTCACACAAATAGAAAACTCCCGGCATCACCTTCCACAGCTCCTCCAGCTTGTTGATCTGCTGTGCCGTAATCTGCCGTGCCCTGAGTTGCTCCTGCTCCGAGGGGATCTTCACGAGCCAGGGCAGAAAACAGCGGTCCTGGATGAGTGGCTGCCACTGCGTTGCATCCCAGTTCATGTCCTTCAGGCTGCTTTGGCTGGCGCATGGTTGACTGCAATGGTTGGGGGGGGGGGGAAGCAGTGATGCATTAAATCCAAAATGTAGGAAAAATAAACACAATAATAATGGTGAAATAAAATGTGGCATGTATGCAGTGACCGTAGCTGTCAGAACATGCTCCCTGGATAGACGCTAACTTCACTCTGCTGTCTGGATATGGAACTGCCTCCCTGAACATATTGTTGGTGAAATCACAGATTCTGGTCTCCAGGCCTTCAAATGCCGAGCACATGGACATCACCACGCGCCTTGTAGAACTGAGTCATTGAACTACAGTGAACCAATGATTATGCTGATGAGATGTACTCATGTCTGATATTGCTGCTGTTCACAATTGCACCCAATAAAAACGCTTAATATATCTATAATGTCACACTCCATTTACAAGGACTGCAGAATGTGAAATGAAGAGACAGCCCACAGTGGTTTAAAGGTAATGATAATTTTGATTTACAGAAGAAAAAAATCTCGTATTCTATCATACATTTTGAAATCACATGAAAACCCTTAAAGAACTTAAACTCTATGGACTCATAAAATAAATTAAGTTAATGCAAGGCTGTTAAGCATATATAGCCAAGCTACTGACGGCTAGAGGCAAACAAGAATAAAAACAACCAGATGTTGGTTGTAAAAGCCTGTTATGTTTTTATAAAATATCTTAAAAACAGCCAATGTTACGCAAAAAAAATAATATTTGCTGTTTCATTTGCTCAATGCCAATAAAAAAAATCCTTAAAGAAATGTATATCACCAATGCTTTGTTTAAAACAAAATGACTAAACAGTAAAATGTTAGAAAACTGCACAAACTGCCACCAAATAAAATTGTTAAATTTGATTAAAAAAATCTGCAAAATCAACATTAATCTTGTTAGGGCACTTTGAATTTCAACCATAGTAACCGTACACAAATGCGAGTTTAGTTTAGTTTTTTTACAGATTTGCAGCGTACAAGGCTATGCCGCAGCAATAAATTCTACCCACACACGTCCGCTTGGGGAACGCTTAAGTAAGCTCGCATTTCTCATGTATACTGTATGGCTAAATGCTCCCCACGACCTGCCTAACAATAATCCCCCAAAAAAAATTGACAGTGAGGACATACCATATTTGAATCATACATCAAAAAAACATTAACCAGCAAAAAAAAATTATAGCTCAAAAACCAATGAGAATGCCCCAAAACATACGAACCATTAAAATGATGTGTAATAAAAATCGAAGACTTCAAGCACACATGAACACACTCATTAGTCTACAATGCAAAATTCCTATGGGAAATTGCCCATGCTCATTGTTTAATGTTGTGAAAGACAGCCATGATTTCAAAAAACACAGTGGTGTGCAGTATTAAAGGACCCATTAGGTTTCCACGTGAAATTATTTGCTGATAATGTAAATGTTAGTCATCATAAATCTTAAATATAATGGAAAATATGGCATGTAAAATGTCAAGATATTTATCCAAAAAACTACTGCCTTTAAGAAGACCATTTGAAAAAAAAGCATGAATGCTTTAGTCTCAAATAGCAATATCATAATTAAATATAATACATATTTGAAAACTAAATTGGACGCATCAGTACCATCATTAACAACAGGCCTTGACTGCAAATAAACTACTTGAATGAGCATACATTACTCTTTGTTGCACTTACAGAAAAGAAATATGTAATTTAAGGTACACGTTTTTCTTTTTAAATTCATGGTAACTACCAGTCCTTCACGAGCTAAGCTTTATCAATTGTTCTAAAGTTATGTTACTGTGATAAAGTGTGGGTGTAGCCGACCAAACAGTATTCTGAGCAAAACAAATCTGTTCCACAATGAGTGTCATATTTCCCAACTACCACTGTTGTCAAACAAATGTGTTCAGTCACTGCCAGCTTAACACCACCACAGAATAGATACACAATTCATTTTAACATGGATGTCAGTACAGTGTAAGCCTATTGTGCCACAGTACAAACTACATTCCATTTTAATCCCTGCAATACCGATCCTTTTTGATATTCACCAAAAAGGATTTAACCCGGTGTTGCGTCTCTCCCTGCAAAATGGGTTGTGAAGCTCATATTGTGCAAAGACTCACGTGGATAATCGCAGTGGGCAAAAAAACGAATTATGCCCTTGACTGTCGTGCATTGCAATTGAATGTTAACAAAAAATATTAGATGTTTACTTATTGGTAAGTAAATATCTAATAAGAAATTAAATATTGCTATCAAAATCTGGGCAGAGTCCATGGGTGCTGAGAACAAGTTGAAATAAATGAGTCACAAAGCATTGGAAAAGGAGCCTAACCTGGAACGTTTTTTGGTTGTGTTCCATCGAAAAACATGACTACAACACTGCTTCTCATGTAAATGATGGCGAGTGCAAAAAGTGCAATGCAGTAAAAACATGTTACGTAAACCAGGACCATGCCTTGCATAAACAAGTGATGCAAAATAAAAGACCAAACAGGTTTTGCTCATGCATGCCGACTGCGTGTTAACCAATCATTGCAGAACATCATATGCGAATGGTCAAGTCAAGACCAATGCTCAGCGATAAAGCGACAATCAGGCACAAATACAAACGGCACACCCATCACTCGCTATAACCAAGAAACAAGCTAACGTAAAACTAAAATGATAAATTGTGATATTCTTGGTTCTTTCGGTAAAGTCACGTAGATATAATTTTTTATTGATAAATAAATTCAAATTAAAAGCAAAAAAACCACGACGATTCGATCGCAACACAAGCGGTCTTCATCAGGCGGACTTTACCGAAAGAACCAAGAATATGAATTCCTGCAGTCACGAAAGTTTTAAGTAATAAATCGTTGCAATGCATGCTGTGCATATGGTTGTATTTGTAGGCGTACTGAACTGCAACAGGTGCCAAGAGCGTGGTGAACCAGTGGAAATACTGCAGTAATAAATGCATTTGCATGCACATATTATCAAGGTGAATATGAATCAACTGTTTACAACAATGTTGGAAACTTCTAAAAATCGTATCTTTTCAACCTGGCTTTTATTATTTTTAAACTCACAATTAATAACAGTAATGTGATGGTGCTGCTAGTCAATATTGTAAACGGCGCAATACAAGAAACGTTCGTATTCCGTACGTAGTGGGAAAGCGTACCGGCACAGCAGCACCACGACCGAGTCAGCCTTGGCAGGGATGAAACCCAGCAGGAAAACGTTGCGGCAGCCACAATTGTAGCACTCCAGCACAGTCTCACCAAGCGCCCCGTCCTTGTGCAGTGTTACCTCCTTGCACTTGGCACGCACTAGATGGTTCACGATGTGGCTGCGGGGAGAAAAAAAATAATCAGTAAAAAAACACGGGTATAAAAACGAAGTGTACATTTTCATCGTCCTACCTGCATACATTTTGTACAATGAGGTTAGGGGAAGGGGTGATGGAGGCTAGTCGTGTGAAATGAAAGCTTTAAGTCAAGATTTAAGTTAAATACATTGTTTCGTCCACTATTTTCTTATGTTTTAAGCACTGAATGTGCTTTATAGGCGATTGAATTTCTGTTTCCATCTGCAGTGCCCTTTCGAGGCTCTAGTATTTTGCAACCGTAAAATTTAATATACTAAATCTTGACTTAAAGCTTTCGTGACTGCAGGAATACATTATATGGTTCTTTCGTGATACTTTTTATTTTTCTATCTACATGGCTTTACCGAAAGACCCATAGAATTTGAATATACTAATGTGGGCATGTGTTTCACATCGGCTTATTGCACAGCATTTTCCCATTGTACAGTACTTGGGTAATTTATTTTACATGTAAACTGGTTGGTAGGCAATATTTAAAATTGCGTTCCCTTTGGTCATTCACAACGGTGTGGTGGATTAATTAATTTCACCTTCGTTAAGTTTTTAAATTATTTATTGTGACAAGTATGGATTCTTCCGATCCAATAATTCCACCTCCGCGCCCTCATCGTGGAGGCCGCTCTCCGATCTAATATTGACATGCTAATTTATCACATTAACATCACTGGCCCCGCCCACTATGTCGATGACCCTTGGGCTACACCCATTTTAAACCTTTAAAACAGTCTGCCTCAGCAGCTTTCCCCCTCTTTTTTCCTCCTAATGACGATCGCTTGTGTTGTGATCGAAATGTCGTAGTTTTTTGTTCTTTTCTTTGAACCTATCTACGTGACTTTACCAAAAGACCCAAATAATATGTATTTAACGGAGATGTCTACTATACTACATATTACATGTAACAGCTAAACACTACCTAGTCTAATTTCGCATTAATATATAAAATGTATGCATGCACACAATGTCATTGCATCGCTCTTGCAACATCATCCTTTGATTTCAAGGACCATGTGACAGCAAGTACGTAAAACCCTTATGTGCGAGACATGAAGATAACTCGTGAAATATTTAACATGCTACCACAAATAATAATGGAGGAGAATAAGCTACCCAGTCACAAGCTTCAACACCCGTAATCAGTGTTCAATTTAAACACTACAATGGAACATAAGTCATCCGAGGCTTTAAGTGACCCCAAATAATACCATTGGAAACCGAGCCAAAAATAGTAGGAATAACATTGATGGTTACACCTGTTAAAATGCTTGTGGACCAAATGCAAGTCTATTTTGTGTTACACATTCTAACCTGTACGATGTTGACTGAATCTTCTTTTAAACATTTACAACGTAAACATGGAATTACATACGTCTCCAGGGGAGACAAGAGCTGCTTCTATGAATGTACGTGGTCGCTTACATTTTTTCGTGAATTTATACCGCCTGGTACAGTGCTTTTTTAAGTGCCCAGTTCAAATTTGTCATATACCTGACATTTTGAGATCAAACTGGTTTGGCCGGACCAGCATAATAGGTACGTTTTAAAAGTCAACTAGTAAACTTTATCATTGTCAGATTGTATTTATTACATTTTTTTTTATTGCACATGGGGCAAAAAAGATGTTGGTTCGCGCATTTTTCAACTTACGAATGGAATCAACATACATCACCAAATTCCTCCACTAATTACAAGAAATGAATTTAAATGTCATATCTATAACATTATTAACTTTGCACCACAGGGTAAGTGGACTTAAGCTGCTGTATTATAATTTACATTGTTTAGCCAAATGGAAAATAATCAGGAAATGCTGTCTGATTTGCAAACATTTGCTTTGATTATAAAATTAGCTTAAACAGTACAAGTAATACATCTGTCCCACCTTCCGGATGTGTTCCCACGGCCGTTGCAAAACCACTTTTTGCTGGAATTACAATACACCACGCAATTGGGATCGTGAATTCCGCAGTAACTGCAAAAGTAAAAAAAATGAACATATTTCAGCAATCAACACATCTCTAACTATTAAATGAAACAGGTTTTACTCATTTTAACATAATCAGTTTAAATGAAACTATGTTTAAAATATCATGCAACAGGTGTACTGTTAGAACAGCATGAAAAAATGTAGCTATGTAAACAACTGACAAATTCAATAAAAATGCACTTTCAAAAATAAATAGAACTTGTTTAAGGCTTCTGCAGTTTAAATTACATAATTAAATGTGCTAGTTTGAGGCAAAAAACATATGGTACAACAAAATATCGAAACACTGCAAACTGCAAATGCAGTGTCCTTAAAAGTTATTTAGAGTGGACCTCCCTTTATTCCACAAGAATGTATTTCCTCTAAAACCACCAAGCGGAAGCGACAAACGCCTACCTGCAGGCATGCGATGGGAGGTCCTTTGAGTAATAAGCATCTTCCTCGTCTTCTTCAAAATTGAGCTCGGCCAGAGACTGAGTCGCTTTTGCCACCGTTTCATCCATCCCATTCGCGAGGGCCCCATCTGGTCCATTCAACTAAAATGAGATCGTAGACAGCAACATCTGTATACAGCCTACGCTCACGGCATATTAACAACGCGCGATACATCTCTCTTCGTAGTCTTCGTCAAGTGAACGCGTGCAGTGGTGCTCAATAAACCTGCTTAAAAATATGACGACCGCAACACATGTGGTGTGTGCTGGGCAACAATGGGATCACTTGTCTCAAATGTATTCCGTTCGCGCATATTGGCACCTGATCCTCTAAAGGCTAGCAAAAAACTCAAAATACGGCAACAAAGTTGTAATATTTACATTACAATATAATCGGTACAGTCGTTGTGAACAGGCAGTGTTGGCACCCATATGTATGTAACAAAATCACATTTTGACTGCGTATTTAAGCAAGGTAACCGCATGCGTACAAGCACAAAAGGCATGCATTCATTCGTATTCAATTCACAAACATGTACTTTCAGAGACCTAAATAACTCTTTACATCTTGACATGAATTTTGTTTACTATTAAGATTGTAACACGGCAAAAGGAAGGTGCACTTAAGCACTGGGCTTATAGCACGGACATGTCAACTAATTTATTAGAAACGTGTACGGTACCTGGCAAGACGACACTATTTACAACTTACTCATGACAGCTGCAACCTGCCTAAATAACCCTCACTCCTTCCCAGCAATACCAATGACATGGTCATTCATAATAACGTAAAACCAAATGTCAACGGGTTGTGTTTGTATTTTTTGTGTGTATATATATAAAGTTCCCTTAATTGGAGAACAGGTTTTTGTAAAATCGATACGCAGTTGTCCGCTGCATTTTCAAGAAGGCGAGTTGAATTGGTTTACAGACTAAGCCTACTCGTCACCAACCAAGAGTGCGTTTAAATCAATCCGCTCCCCATCCTATCCCACCAAGCAGTGTGCGTCAAGCCTCACCGGACCAAGGCAGAAGCCGTTTAAGATCTGCAGCCCATGGGAACCTGCGTGCAACAGTACTGCGGCACGGCTTAGCAAGAGTGTAGAGGTCTCCCGGCAACTAGGACTCGGGACCAGTTACCGGCTGATGTTCGGGATCTATGCTTGAGTATAAGCCAATGGAGCAAAATACGTCAAACACTGTTATTCCATACAGCCAGTAAGGTCTGTCACGTAAACAAAACGCGCCAATTACTTAAACCCACCGGTGTGTTGGAGAGTAAATCCACAACATTTACAATTTGAGTACGGCGTTTGGCAAAATCGCCCGATTATACTGGATGTAATTAGCAGCGAAAAGTCGTACTCAAATTGTATATGTTGTGGATGTACTCTGCAACACACCGGTGGGTTTAAGTAATTGACACGTTTTGTTTATGTGACAAACCTTGCCGGCTTTGTCGGGTGGTGGAGGGTTACGACACATTTATACTCACGCGATTAAATAAAAAAAACATTGTGAATAATTATGAAGGCCGCTTGTGTTGTGGCCGAAACGTCGTGAGAATTTTATTGTGTTATTTTATTTTATTAATTTATTATTTTATTCGCATTCTATGTGACTTTACCGAAAGAACCAAAGAAGATTATGAATAATATTTGTCGCGAAAGCCTGCGTGTTAAACCGACTTATTCCAAAGAGCCTTATATACTCTTTGGTTCTTTCGGTAAAGTCACGTAGAAAGAAAATACATTCAAAAATAGAATATGCCGTTTCGATTGTAATCGAACCAAAGAGTAATTCCTACAGTCACGAAACCTTCAAATCAAGTTTGAGCCTTATATACATAATTAGCGCACATTTGTTATTGAGTGGACTCATTCATTATGAGAATACGATATCAATATTAAGAGTTTAAAAAAGTCGTGCGCGCGTCTTGGGCAGTAATTCGAATAGGGTATATTTAAGAATGTATAGCGCAATTATTCACACAATTTCCGAATATTTTAGGAGAATATACTTCCTTTTTTTTGCAAATAAAATGTACTTCTCAATTTGTCGTAAACGTATTCGGGAAAAATAAATTATGTAAAATATCCTGGTCTCAGGTAGGTTCTAAAGAGTTTCCAAACCCCATTTACGCGGAAAAAATGTAAATCAATCACTAAAGCAAAAATATGCAAATAGCAAACCAAATAATAAGAGACATTAATTTGTTGTTGAGTAATTTCTCTAACTTTTAATTAGAAATCATATTAATACTCAATGTATTTATTCGTGTAAGCGTTATATCTTTTTTTTATCCCGAACTGTAACCAACTGTAAACCATATGACGTGTGAAGTGGACTACGCATGTAATAATGCACTGTACCCGGATTGTCACGATTGACACATCACGATTCGATAAAAATGGGGAAATCGATCGTGTTTCATCTAATATCTTCACTGCACTCTGTACATCCAGTCCGTTTAGTCTTTAATGTCTTCAAGAGCCATGGTCGAGGCACTCTGAGGCCTCCCTAAAACCACGATTCCTGCGATGTAACATTAACCATCTTTGCTCGTATTGTCTAATTTATCCGTCATCTTTTCCGCCTCGTGCAGAGTCATACGTACTTGTCTTTCTGTGCCCCGTTATAGTGACAAATCGTTAAAAAATTAAACCAATTCTGCCACGTGCATGTCCACACACACACACGAGTACGTCACGACTGTGACATTCCACTTTAGTCAACTTTGTTCAACGTCCCATTAAACAGTTAACCAGCAAGCCACAGAAGACCAAAACACTCTGAAGAAAAACCCAATGACATTAACCTTAATCACATTCTAAACTCCCGTCGTACAACCCACGCAACCACCCACGCCGCTCGGCCCGCACCGCGAAGCCGCGTGTGGGACTTGCGGTCGCCACACGCGCTTTAGCGGGCAGTCCCGCTAGGCGACACCGAGGCATGAGCGCAGGCCTCAACACAACCCACCCGCCCCCCACCCCGGCAAAATAACTCTACACGGGCACAACAACAAAAACTTCGCCGAGCTGTGCGTCCACACCTGTCCGTGCGGCGGCGCGTCGAGCTGCCCGCCCTGGCTGGGACCTCCCTGGCTCTGCGAGGGCAGCGTGAAGTCCGTGTAGTCGAAGTCGGTGGCCTGCGTGTCCGCGCCTATGAGTTCGCCCTCTTCCGTGTCGAGGAACGTGAGGCTCTGCGAGCTCGGCCCGTACGCGTCCACGCTCATCTTTGTTACGGCTTATTAATAGTTGTACGGTTATTCGTGACCGGTTGTGCTTTTTGTTTTTTAAAACGAGCGCCCGTTGTCGTCGCTCACCGCTCGTTTCGTACAACTTTGCGAGCGCGGCGAATTCTTTTTTTTTGCTGCCAAAAACCACCGCGGGATTTCCGAGCGCGCGCTAATGGCGGAGCGCAGCCGTTCACCGGACGCGGCGCACCACGAGCGGAAGCGCCATTACCAAATCTCCTCCCCCACCCTACGCGCGACGTCATGTACGCGCGGAACGCTGGAATGACGTCACGCGCGCGCGGGAGCGAGAATGACGTCGAACGCCCGTGCTAACGCGAGCGCGGGAGCGAGAATGACGTCGGGCTCGCGCGCGGGTGGGAGAATGACGTCACGCGCGCTAGAGAGTGGACACGATGACGCGATAAAAGGGGCAACGCGGGAGTGAGTGGGCGAGCGGTGGGACAAGGTAAACGCGCAACCAGTCGGCGATCGCAGCCGACGTCACAAAAGCGTGGGGGTGGGGGGTGACGTCACCCGCACGTGCCGAATATTGACGGCACGCGAGCGGGTGACGTTGCCGTCGTTTGAAAGTGTTCCTCATGAACCGTCGCTGAAGTTTGAATCAGCATCTTTATTTATATTACAGGAGGAATCCGATGAGCTATAAAGCTCTTTATCACAGATGTCTTAGTAGGGGCACGGGGTTAGAACGTTACAACAACAAACAGTACAAAAACATACGGAGTGCAAAGTATAGGAAAGGTAAACAAATAACTTAAAAGGTTAATACAAATAAAACAAAAAAAATGTTTTATGTTACCAGGTAAAGCCCAACTGAGCTATTAGCTTCTCAGAAGCGACCTGGCCACAAATTATAGCTTCAACGAAGTGGCTCATCAAACATAATTATTGAGGAATGTGTCGAGCGTTTTTATGACAGTAGATCGTTCACATATCGTGTGTTCTCACAAGCGCGGCTCGTTGTGCACCGCGTGCGGTGGTGCTCGAATTATCGTATTGAGTACGAATCGATTAATCTACGCACCAAGCTTGAGGCACACTCGCATGTTGGAGTGACGTCATTTTTGAGGATTCGTCTTCCCGCCAAAAAAGCGAGACGAGGGGTGGGGCTTGAAGCAGGGGGCGGGGCCTAACAGCTGTCTGGTGGCGTTATGTCTGCTGGGAATGGAAGTCACGATCATCAGTCGCAACGTTCTCTCTCTCGACCATTCTGTCGTGTGCGATGCTTGTTTTCGTATATATCTCCATATACATATAAAAGGCAAAGTTATTATGTGTCTGTTCAAAATGTTTAGCGTACTTCCCGACATGCAACAAACTTGAAATTTGCCATGTGGGTACTTTCCAGACTGTACACCATGCAAAAAATATAAAAATACACTTTTGATTTTTTTGTTGGGGGGGGGGGAGCTCAATAATGCATTTATTTTTTGCACGGCAAGTGAGCTGTGACGTCAAATCTGTCACGTGACCCTCGCATGTGGAAGCGTAACGCATTGTAGTGTAGTGGTTAGCGCGCCGCGCTACGAACCCGGCGACGCGAGTTCGAGTCCCGCTCACGGCCACCATCGGTGACGATTATTTTAACCGGTCCTGGGCCTCCCCTAGGTCGACTCAGCCTCAAACGAGTAACTGCTGTGGTGTGTGAACATAGCTACCGGGGAGACAAAGGCGGCTGGGCGTGGTGGATCCAAGTCCCGGGCGAAGCCGGGTAGTACAGCTAGTAGCTAATAAATTTAACTGAATCATCGTCGTCACCGACGGTGGCGCAATGCGTAATAAAAAGTCGTTATGCTTAATTGACAAATTCGCCACGTGAACAAAAGGGCATTGTGGTATTTAAAACAACTCCCGCCAAGTGTTAAAGTTGCACACCCTCTTGAATGTTGAGTTACATTTTAAAGTTTAAGTTTGACCCTTTATTATTCTGGATTAGACCTCAGACGTGTGTTTTGCGTGTACTTCCCCATATGCAGTCAATGGATAATTGTCAATGAATAATTTCATATTTTATTAAAATACTGTTCATTTATTGTGACACTGTGTGTATGTAAAACGCAAGGGAAGCCTGCTGGGTTACATTGAGAGCAATGCACTTAGTTGAAATAGCCAGCGGAAGGCGATGTAAGTGAAGTTTCTAATCACATCTGGGTACAAATTGAAAATATTTGTCAGCATCTGCAAAGTTAAGCGGGGACACATCAGACGAATAGGAACTACGGTGATCTCACTGGCCTCTCGGTTTAAGAAAATACAATTCTATAAATTGCATATCTGTACGTATGTGGTGATATCATCGGGCTCTCTCGTGTTTAAAGAGAACAGGCTTTCTTGGTGGTTTCACCAAATTCAACAACAAAATGAATGTGATTATTGCCATTGTATGTTGCGCTGACAGCATAGAGGACATAATAGCAGGGTTTGTTCTACCAGTCTTGCACTCGTCACATAATTTGAGTACATTGTCATTCTGTCCCAATCAGGGACGGAGCCACAGAGAGGGCTGCGGGGGGGAGCTCAGCCCCCCCTGAAATTTTGTGAAAGTCGGTGATCGGGATAATCGGATATCCGGCTGCTGCGAAATGCTGCAGGCTGCCACCTTGTGCTGCCCTGCAGGCTGCTACCTTGTGCTGCCCTGCGGGCTGCCACCTCGTGCTGCCCTGCAGGCTGCCACCTTGTGCTGCCCTGCAGGCTGCCACATCGTGCTGCCCTGCAGGCTGCCACCTTGTGTGCTGCCCTGCAGGCTGCCACCTTGTGCTGCCCTGCAGGCTGCCACCTTGTGTGCTGCCCTGCAGGCTGCCACCTCGTGCTGCCCTGCAGGCTGCTTGAGCGGCAGCCTTTCGAACTTTACGAACTTATTAGTCACATCCGCGGCTCCGACCTATTAATAAACTCCGCGTTCAAATCCAATAAAATTTGTTTTAGACATTTGTGGCGCCCATTGGAAAACATAAACACTGGATATCTCAGAATATTGAAGTCAGCCCCCCCAAAGTCAAAATCCTGGCTCCGCCCCTGGTCCCAGCATCCCATTAGCTCATTACATCCTCCAGCAGATACAAACCTTCTCACTCCCCCATCATTCTCAATAAGCATAATTTGCTCTCCCTGCACCACGGTTTTTGACTCGCTCTTTCTCCAGTCTAGTCCACTTGATGATACAGCACTTAAATTGTGTGAACCTCATCAGCACTGTATCTAAATTTGCTAGCTGCTTGTTTAGATATCCGTCTTAGCATGTTCTTTCTTTGACATTTTTTCATTTTATCTCACTATTTATAAAGCTGGAATTTTTTTTTAATTCATTAAATAATCAGTTAATATATTTTGTATTTTTTTGTATGCCAATAAGAAAAGGCAGCTTACAATTGGCATGTCCGTTGTATAAACAATTCCTGCATGAGCTTCACGGTGGTTGGGGAGTGAAAACATCATCGCCGTCATCACTCATCGTCAACCACTTCAGGTTGAGCTCGCATTGCAGTGAATTTCCCACATCTTTGGAGGCTAGATGCCCGGTGTACACCACTTCAAAATATACCGTATTTGCGCTGTACCTTTCAAAATCCTCCACCTGTGCTCATGCTGTGGTCATTTAGCCTCCACACATTTACTGTCATTGTACATTTTGAATGGTACTCTCTGGTTATTTCGGTAAAGTCACGTAGGTATAAAATAAAATAAAAAAATAAATCACGACGTTTCGATTGCAACACAAGCAATCATCTCCTAACGTCCACACAACGCTCCCCTCCTGCTACCCCCCTCCCTTACCGATATAAACTCTTACAACGGCGTCTCTCTCCTACTTCAGCAAAAAAAAATATTGCTGTGGTATTCCCACCTGATGATGATTGCTTGTGTTGCAATCGAAACGTCGTGATGTATTTTTTACTTTATTTTATACCTACGTGACTTTAAAGAAAGAACCAGAGAGTATGGATTCCTGCAGTCACGAAAGCTTCAAATCTAAATTTTGAATGGTGACAAACTGGGAAACCCTACAGGTCGCAATCCCTAAAGTAACATTTAATAGTACTGTACTGTAGTAGCACAACAAATAACGATACGGGTACAGTATTAACAACGCTACCAGCACCTCCGGTTAGCACGGCTGGCTACGTACGGTGCGAAATAAGTTCAACAAACATACATACAAAAGGACTAATAATAATTAATAACTGAGCGCCATTCCAGATAACTACATTATTCCACGTCAACGCTCCCTCCACAGGCACCACAATGAATCTCAATACACTTTCAAATGGTAAAGGTGCAGCCCTGTAATTGCTGGCTCACACCACTGCTGTCAGAATGGCCACCACAGAAGGAACTCGAAAAAGCCCCTCTGGAGGGTAGGTGGCCTCATCCACCCTGGTCAGATATTTTGGAAGAATTGGGAGTTCCCACACTTTACGACAGCACACCAATCGACCGTGGTGCACCCATTTTTTATGCTGCTGGATGAACAGAGAATGAGCTCACCCAATGTTTCAACTGCCGTGCCAGGAGACCAAGCGACCTCTGGATTACAAGTCCAATGCGTTAACTATTACGCCGCGGCAGCAATCCCTTTCAAGTGGAGGGATTAAACCGAAATGTACCCTCGTGGAAAGAGAGGTTTAAAACCATTTGCTAATTTTAGACGTGCTCCAGTCAGGGGCTGTCCATAGATGACGTCACGCGATTTTTGACCCCCCCCCCCCCCATCGTTACACGGCGTCACAAAAAGTCAGACCCCCTTCAAATTTGACGTCACAAAGCTCTGCCCCCCCCCCCCCCCAAAATACAACATGCTTCAAATCGCTTTAAACTATTGTTATTGTAGTGCGTATTTAATGTGGCACTGCACTCTGATGTTGTAGGAGAAAACATTTATTAAAAAGTCTTTAATTAAATAGAACGTATTTTTAGCTCTTTCGGTAAAGTCACGTTGAAGGGAAACAATAAAATATATATAAAAGAATATTTTTTATTGTTTTATATATATTTTATTATTTTATTGTTTCCCTTCAACGTGACTTTATCGAAAGAGCTAAGAATATGAATTACTGCAGTCACGAAAGCTTTAAATCAAAATTTAAGTAGAACGTGTTTATATTTATTTAAAGTTGCGCATTTTGATGTGACGTCACATTTCTCAAACCCCCCTCCCCCCTTGTCACACATCGTCACAAATGTCTGACCCCCCCCCCCCCCCAGGTCCGTGACGTCATTTATGGACGGCCCCTCACCTTTGACTGGCAGAACAACACTCGTTGAAGAAAGGCGTTTTAAATGTTATAAACTTGCTATTTCTGCACAGGTTTACTTCTAAGCTTACACATTCGTAGATAACTATGAAAACGTGATTTTGACATTCGTGGAACTGTAAGCATTAGGAATAAAAAAAATACATAAAGTTTGAACATGATATATATATATTTTGCATGAGAGATTCAGCTCTCATAATTTACATCCAGGAATAATGAACTAACTGTGCATAAACCGAATACATACACTACACAGCATACCCAATACCACAGCGCCTGTATTTTTACCAATAGATCCAAACAGGATAGAACTTTTACGCCCCATATGAACTCTTTGACCAGTATCTTGTATTCAGCATACAGTGCACGATTAGCCAATCGCATTTAAAGGTGAGAAACCCTTTAGGCACGTGCAGTTCTTAAGAGGGATGCCAAACAATTTGCAGTCTTAACAGTCCCATTTGCTTTAATGAGCAATGGGGTGGCATGCATCGCAATTGAAATTCCAGCAATCTAATTGTGGTGGGTAGGTGTTTTTTTATACGACCAGTGTCAACTTGACCACAAAGTGGTACACCTTTTATTGACACCAGAAAGTTAAATAATAGTATGCAGCCCCTTGTCAAGCCTGGATGAGGGCCTCCCCTTGTCATTCGTTAATGCTTCCTGTGCATTCAGTGTGTGTGTGTGTATTTCACAGTACATTGCCTACACTCTATAAATAATTCTGTATAGGAAATAGTTTGTAGTAGCCAACAATACATCGTTATTGCTTAGTTGTGAAAGACGATTCTCTTTCTTTGCAGAACAAAACTGATGAAACAGCACGGCTTAATCATTCTTACGTGTCTCGTAACTGAACATCTTGCCCAAACTCTTTGGTTCTATTCGGTAAAGTCACGTAGGTAAAAAATAAAAAAACAAAAATCACGACGTTTCGGCCACAACACAAGTGGCCTTCGTCAGCACGGTCCCTTCACCTGATGATGGCCACTTGTGTTGTGGCCGAAACGTCGTCATTTTTGTTTTTTTTATTTTTTACCTACGTGACCGAATAGAACCAAAGAGTATGGATCCTTGCAGTCACGAAAGCTTCAAATCTAGAATCTTGCCCAAAATCAATAACGGCATGGTGAGATCATATCAAGCAATCACACAGAGCACACACTACAATGCATGGCACACGGCAATATACGCCACACATTACAACACACAAAGCACACTATCGTTCCCACAGATACAGTACCGAATATTTTGGAGCACAGCATTTATAATTTCCTTTAAGGGCATTGGTACCATCCAAAATAATGTGATGAGTTGATACTGCAACCAAGCCCAGCATATATTTAGAACACCCTTTGCCAATCCACTGCTGGATGAAGCCCTCACCATGACATGTCTGTCACGAAAGTTGTTTGACCATACTTCACCAGGATCAGTTCAGATGTCACATGTCACTTAAGGTAGCCGTGACTGGGAATCAGTGCGCGGACCACTGCGTCACAACTCTGCAGAATATTAGAGCAGAAATCTAAGGGCAATCTTAAGCACGCAAGTAAAGTATAATGTTATTCCAAATCCCAATAGGAGATCATTAATACACTTTCAACAGTTTTTTTTTTAAAGAGTGCTTTAAAATCAGTGAAGTCCCATAAGGATTTCTGTCAAAATTGCTAAGGTGTAGGAATCTCCATGAATATTGAGAAAAGTCTTGGCCGTGGCAGTTTATTTAAGTGATTTAACAATACCACAATGTCATTGTGTTACTTTATTAGAGTGCATTCCTGTCGTTCAAGTCTCAAGTGCGCAATGATCTGCCTAATTTGTAGATTAATATATCGTGGTACACAGTGATTGCTTTATGGAGAAACAATTCCCTGCGAAAGGCATGTGGAATTCCAGTACTCTACCAAGAATTGAGATGAGTACTGCTGCTGATTTGCATAAGGGGAACACAATCCCTTATTTAATGAGTGGCATGGAATTGCTGAAAAGCGTACCATTCCTACAGGGAGAAGAAGTTGCTATTCTTTCGAAAGTTCACGTGAAAAGCGAGGACCGGGAAAGACTTAGCAAGTGCGTGCACACGTTAAAGTAATGTACTCCCCATAAATCACCTTAATTCACAAGCCCCTTCGGAGCAGTGATACAGTGGCCTGTGCTCCACGTTGACTTCGTAAACTCTCTCGCCTTGGCCGTTATTTGACACCGGTGGCGGTAACTCTGTCAGTCACGTGGCCAGCGTTGGCATGCCGTGGCGCACATTAGTTCTGGCAAAGCGCAATGCGTTTGCCAGATGCCGCTCGTCTCACGGTGCCTGTCGTGGGTGGCTAACTATATCCATCGCGGGGTTGCGCTTCTCTGACCGCGTCTCCCACCACGGCGCGCGTGTCATCTCCGCGCGGGCAATGGTAACAACGCTTTAGCTCCTGACCTTCAAATTTTAATTTGTGTAGACCACCAAAACTCAAGTTAGCAGTGGGCTGCAGTTAAAGATTTGTGAAGTGAACATGATGGCCGCAAAAATGAACCCGAAGATGGATACACGGCATGGAAGAAACTCTGTCCCTGGATTCTCTCGTGAAGTAATGTCTCCTGACAGTTCTTACCAGGAAAACTTTTTGGATGACAAGGATCTTCGAGAAATGACCGAAGGGTAAGAAATTGCACCCCTTGGGAATAATCCTAACCATGTCTACTTAACTTGCATTTTATTTCATATAAGGTATAGAGGTGCATATATCTTCTGCGGCTATCTGAATTGATGCACGTTGTTGATTTACGTCAAAATATATGATTCCATGCTTTTTGTTGTTGCTGCTGGTAGTTTCATTAAGCTAAAGTCATTTGGGTTCTCAAAACGACTAGATATATTAAGCTAAAATTAACAATTTGGTAAGCCATGTGTCCATGAATTACATCTTAATGACTATAACGTACAGTAAAAGCACATTACAGCTTTAAATATTTGTCATAAAGCAGATGTGTGGCATTTATCGGGTAACATCTATTTGATCAATTACGGCCAGTAAATCTACTGTGTAATGCCACGTAGAGCACAGCACACTTTACTATTTACCTACAAGAGGCCTGCAACTTCAGAGGCACTTGAGGTGACAGAGCCCTGCTACTGGAAGCATCACGCGCTTTCAGATGCGCTTGTGCGGCTGTCTGGAACGCCTCTTCCGAAATTAGAAAGCCACTGGAGCTATACAGATTGAAAACTCATTCCTTTAGACCTGTTTGTTTGTGTTTAGTTTGTTGTCCTTCCCCCGCACCTTCGATCAGCACGGTTGACTACGTATGGTGCGAAAGAAGTTCAACATGTACAGTATACTGATACTGTAGTCATGTCAAGTATGCAGTTTATTTAAAACTGACTGCAGACCCCCCCCCCCCTCCTCTCACGATTATTTTGTATAACCCCCTCTTTAAAAAAAAAACGCTCACGGTACAGGATGGCTCTGCAATGTTACATTTAAAAAATTGCATTGAGAGGAATAATTGGCCAAACAATATAATGGTTTATTACCAAACAATTGCTAGACCTTAATCATATAACATTGAGAAGAGTGTATGTGGTGGTGGATTTAACTATTGGTTCTAAAATGTAGGGATGATTGAATATATAACATCGCATCATACATCTGCTGAATATCTCATGCTGCATTGCTAAAAACAAGCGGGCTTTGTCTCTGAGACTGTAGTCATCGCTGACCCAAATATATGATACTAAATGTCAGAATTCATAAATAAATATGGGATTACATGTGTGCATACAACATGGGTGTTTATACTCATGTTCTCCTTTAGATTAAGGTGGCATTCACAATGCAGTTTAAGAAAAGGCTTAACCGACTGAAATAATATCCCAGACAACGGTTATAGACAAATGGTATAATTTTATGTGAGCTGTAAATTATTGACAGCTTAAACTTTTCCATGCGCCTTGTTTTCACCAAGATTGCTCTATTTTCAATGTGGCACGCACATCTATGCAATTGTGCATTGTGCAATTAAACTTTAACTTGACGATGCGCGCTATTCTTAGGCGTGGTGACGTAAACGCTGCAACAGCCATCCCCAGTGTGATTGATCGCTGCCCCATAGTCCAACATTTAATATCCATGGCTGTCGTGATATATGAAGCTGTGTGCTCAGCCCTTGCAAACGACCTTAGGAAATACTTGCCTAAAATAAAAGTGTTGCACTCAGCTGAAAACCTCGGAGAGGAAAACGCAGCACAAGATATATATGTTTGTTGATGAGAGTGGACTGAGTGTTATTGGGAAAACCTTTGTATTGACATATCATTTAAATAGGAGATTTATCAGTGTAGGTTTATATATAATCCTTTTGATATTCCAGCTCACCGTCAAAATTCTGAAGGCAATTATTATTGGAATGCAGGGCTTACATTTATCTTTCAGTATGCATTTAGCTGCTATCAATTTACACATGATGAGTAATTTTCCTGAGCTACAATTTGGCCAGGTTGCTTCTCAAAAAGCGCTATAATGCTCAGTGGGCCTTACCTGGTAAAATAAAGTTTATAGTTAAAAAAATCTAATCACTATTTTATTTAAGACTACAATGATGCTGATAATAATGATTACAGTTATGATGATGACGATTGTGACAGATGCATTGATAACAATTTAAATACAATCGGAATAATATTGTCACTTTCAGTATTTGTTCCATTTTATTCGTGAATGTACATGTTTGTGATCCCTACATCATAGCAGGTAGTATGCACTGTTTAAGACAAAGAACATGGTACAACAACTGAAAGTGTGGAAAGGGAAATGAAGAGGTGTATGCTTGGAAATATTTTGACAGACAAAGTGAGACAAAAACATGATTGTGGGCTACCCATATTTGTCCATTGGCGTAAGAAACAGCAGCATCTTCCATGCGATGAGCGGTGGATTGATCATGGTTGATGATGAATAGTGACATTGATGATGACACTGTGATGACAATGGTTATGGAGAAGTCATTGACAATGATAATAATATTAACGATGATGATGATGACAAGATGATGAAATTAACAACAATAATGCTGCAAAAATTTTAAATAATGATGACGATGATGGCTTGTGTTGGGTGATCTGTGCCCAGGTTCCAAGCATGGACGAAGGACCCGGTGGCACAGCCGCACGTGCAGGTGGTCGTGTCGAGCCCGTCATTCTCCATGCTGAGCGCCCAGGGCAGAGACCGCGGCATGTCCGTTCTGTGGGAGACGGCGCCAGGCCCTCGCTCCTCCTCACGCTGCTCCTGGACCTCGGGGTGCAGCACGTCCGGCGTGTACAGCCCACCGCCGCAGCTGGCGCCGCCACCACCGCCGTCACGGCCCCTGGCCGCGTCCCCCGGTCGCATCATCTTCATCATGAGCGGCAAAGAGGTGGTGCTGGGCCAGGACTGCGAGGGGCTCGCTCCACCGCCCCGAACCATCGCCTCCACCGCCGCCGCTGCCTCGGGTTCACGGCGAGTGCCGGCATCCGAGCCGGGCGATCAGCCATCGGAAGATGAGACCGCCGCCGGCTGGTACGCTTCGGGCGTCTTGTCGGCGGACGAGGGCGTTGGCATGTCGCAGGAGAGCGACCTGGAGCAGAGCGTCGGCCGCTTTGGTGCTCAGCGTCTGGCCGAAGAGTATGGTAATGGAGATTTACTAGCCACGGCCGCCGCTGCCGCCAACGTGGGTCTTGCACGAGCCGATCTGGTGGAGACGAAGAAGATTGCCGACGAAATGTCACTGCAAAAGGATGTCTCTTTGGCTCATGACTTAAGAGATGCAACGCAACTGCAAAAATCCACCTTGTCAGAAGCTTCCATTGAGTCTGTTGGTGAGCTAGCTGCAGATAGTCACGTGACTCCCGAAACACTGGTGGCAGGAGATTGTGGCGCGTTGGGTGATGGTGACGAAGTTTTTAGTGGGTTCACTAAAATAATGGAGGGCAGTGTTGCAGCGATTCTTTCATCTGAACCACTTAGTATCGAGAGCGCTTTCAAATCACCCGACGAGGTTAAAGATAACACACCGTCAGAAAATGCCAGCGTTCATGAAATTCAAGAGATCACCAGTGCGACCACTCTTGACACTGCCGTGCCAAGAGATGGGCTGATTGACAATGAAAATAAAGTCGGCAGCCTTTCATTGGACAAAGGTCAACAGGGAGAGGCTAAAGATGACATCAAGACTGAGGAGACAGTGAAGCAAGGTGCAGTGGTAGGAATTTCAACAACCGTGACTGCATCAGATCTGCCTGCTTTGCGTGCTGATGAATTCCTCCCTGCAGACATGGATAATGCCAAGGCGGCCGATTCAGTGTCACAAATACCAAGTGGGGCTTCTACTGAATGTGTAGAATCGGCGGTTGAAACTCCAAGCGTGCCATCTGTATCACAAGCAACAGCTGTGTGCATCACAGCAGACGTCACGGTGATTGAGGATGGTAAAGATGAATCAGTGGATAGTGTGTCCAATATATCTCACGACGTAGCTGCATCTGTTGCTCTTAATGCACCTAAAATTAACGTTAAGCAAGCCAATTCTGAAGGTGTTCTTGAAGTTCCTTGTTTACAACAGTTAGCTAAAACAGCTGCTAGAGAAAAACAAGAACACGGTGTCTCTGAAGTGGCTCCACAGGGTGCACGTGATGCAATATGCCGAGGAGCCTTCGGCGTTAACGAAAACGTTGACGATTGGGAAAGAATCGCAGCGGCTAGCGACCAAGAGAGGGGGAGCGCAGACACCAATATCCTGACCAGCGACAGACATCCAGCTGATGAAATAACAGGTGGCGGTGTGAAAAGACCCGATGACAGCCAACGGGGCTTTGACGCTACGCCTGACAGCCACGACCCCCCTGTGACAACCAGTAGCACTGACGCTCAAGCAATCTACGGTGCTGATGATAGCGAAGGTCTTGAGAAAAGTAAAGAACCCATGGCAGACCAAGCTGAGGTAATTTCAGGAGAAATCACTCCTAGGCAGACTGAGCATACGGCGCCGCTGTGCTATGAAGAATCTGTTTATCCACTGGAAAATATTTCAGGGGAACACGCTGTCTCGAAAGATAACGCTGCGGGTACATTTGCAACTCTTAAGGAATCTGAGGTGGAAATTTCAAAGCAAATGACCACAGCTCAATTGGCACAGCAGGCAGTGAAGCCATTTGAGGATATGGGGACACACGTTTCTGCCGAACGTGGGGAGCAACTTGAAGCAAGTGACATACCTTCCAATGAACCGGTCACAAGTGAGTGCATTAATGCATCTGAGGCAACATGGGGCGAGGGTAATGCTGTGGGGATGGACACTGCAAAAGAGACCGTCGCTGAAGTTGAATATTTCCATGATATCACTGGCCAGGTGAAGGTGGAGGTGGAGCAGTCTGGAGATATTTTGCCAAAAGAGGGTGTAGCAGCAGGCAAGTTATCTGGCAAAGAACTGTACGGAGGTGTTATCACCGAGGGGCACGATGCGCCTATTGCAGGTGACAGACCAGAACACGTAATCAGCATGCCAATGTTTGAGAAGTCAATTGATAGAGAAGAAGCTCATCTAGAGGCTGATATTATGAGATCACATGGATTCCCTGTCTCCATACAACAGGACACACAGATGGAGTCACTGACAGAGAAGCCGACAGATGGCGTTTCTGAGATCTCTACTCAGTTTGACAACAGTCTACAAGAAGGAACACCTCAACCATGGGACGGTGGGGAAGATTACACTCAGATTTTTGAACCCATACAAGCTGAGACCTCCGCAGTCGATGTAGATGGTCAAACACAAGGAGAAGGATGCAGACCTGTGTCTTCTGAACCGTTTGTAACGCAGGTGTCTGATGATGTGGCTGTCCCTAGTGACCTGATGGATGCTGGCCAACTTGAATTGCCAGTGTTTGTCTCTGCGTTACACGAGGAGGAAATTCCTGATGGAGTTATTAAAATGAAGCCCTCCGATGCTGTTGAGAGTGAAGTGTGTGCCTCATTGAAAGAGGATGTCCCTGAGTGTACAAACGCAGTCTTTATAGAACTTGCAACAGAATTGATGGAAGAGCCTCACATGTTGGGTCATGACACAATGGGGACATTGAAAGAACATATCAATGACAATGTTGATGAAGAAAAACGTGTAGATTTGCAGATGAAAGAGCCTATAGATATATTGGATCAAATATATGTGGGCACATTTAAAGAAGGCATCTTGGATGATGCTGACAAAGTTCTGAAAGATATTGTTACGGAGTCTGCAGAAGGTTTAGAGGAACGTGAGTCCTTGTCCTTAGGTGCCTTGGATGAAGAGGAAATTGGAAGACCTGACGAGTATGTTGACGAAGTAACGATTACAGAAATAGAAAATGTGTATGAAGGTGAACCCGCTGAGGTCATGGACTATGAATCAATAGGAGCATTTAAAAGGAGTATTGCAGAGGGCGATATAGAAGAAATAAAACCATTTGTGATAGAACCTGCGGAGGATTTAGACGAATTTGAGATGCTAGCTGGCTTGGGTCAAGAAAATATTAAAGAGCATGCCCCTGGTGGGGACGTTGGTAAAGATGGAAAGATAATCATTACAGAACTTACGGCAGAGCTCGAGGGAGCTGAGGCGTTCGATGAATTGGATCATGACAACATTGGAAGACTCAGACAGCATGCTTCTGCAAACGTGGAAGAAGAGAAAAAAGCATTCGTCACAGAGCCTGCCGGAGACATCGAGGAAGTTGAATGCATAGATGTCTTGGATCAAGAAAATATTGGGAACACTAAGGAGCATGTCACTGTTGGTGTTGATAAAGAGATAAAAATTACCTTCACCGAATTTGCAGAAGATTTATACGGAGGTGAACATTTCGATATCTCGGATTACGAATCAATTGAAGCATTTAAAGATGACGGCCCCGAGAGTGCCGAATGTGTCTTGGATCCAGAATGCATGCAAGCATTCGAAGGCCTGGCACCCGAGAACGTTAACGAACACGTGCATATAGTCAGCGCTGGACTTCCGGAAGACCTGGGGAAAGAAGAGCCCACTGAAGTCATGGATCAAGAAGAAACACATGCATTTAGGCCAAATGACGATGAAATGTTTGATCAAGAGATGAACGAAGGTGTCACAGATTTTCTGGATGCAGAAGAAGGTTCATTTGAAGGTAGAATGGATGAGATCCACCTTGAGCTGGATAGAGAGGCCAGCTTGGGATCAGAGGTTCAATCCGAGGAAGGCATTGACTTTGAAGTGTGGAAGGCGCAAAGAGGATTAGGGGACTTTGCGGAACTGTATGAGAATGACATTTCCCTGGAGGCTGGAGAATCCATTGAGGACCCGGATGCCTCGCTAATATCAGTGGAGGACGAGGACTTTGACGACGCCATGGACAAGGAGGTTGAGGAGTACATGGACGCGGAGGACTTTGACATCGCCGCGATGCTTGCCGAGCTCGAGTCTGGCTCTGAGGCCGAGAGGAAGTTGAAGCATCCCGACGTGTACTGCATCACGTGCAAGAAGCCCATCCCGGCGCTCGATAAACTCTTCGGAGATCACAAACACCACAGGGTGACCGCTCTTAAGACGGCCGTGAGACTGATCAAGGTACCAGAGTGTATATTTTAAATTAAACACACACACCACCACCACGACCACCACCACAACCACTACGACCGCCATCACAACAACCGCAACCACCACGACCACCACCACAACCACCAACCAAACACCAACCACGCACCTCCGATTAGCGCGGTTGGCTACGTACGGTGCGAAAGAGATTCAACATACATACAAACACGCACGCACTATGCATACGTGCGCACGTGCACACAGTGCACGATTTACAGTTGGGACATTGTTGAGATGTATCCGAGTGGCCTCTAATGCACTTGTGCGTTGTCCAGGCGGTGCTGAAGGAGAACACCAAGATCCTAATGGAACGGAGCAATGATGTCGTGGACCTTCAGAAACTGCTGTATGAGATCTCAGATTCCTTAGAGGCAAGTACTTTCGTTGCTATGAAAAGGCAAAGTCACTGTTATAACAACACAGTATTTTTACGTTCTCTGTTGGATTTCAATTACGTATTATTATGCTTAGTGAAGCTAATGGGTTAATGCTGACCTAACCTTAACCCAGAAAATACATTAATTATTCGCAAATGACTGTTTTTAAGAAGTTTTTTTTATATCACTGACCATACAGAATATACTGTTGAATAATATCAGATACCTTTATGCCTGGCTTTTTTGGACTATGAAAGAGCATTTACTTTAAGATAATACGGAGGTTCTCAAGTCCAGCGAGTTAATGGTCTCAGCACAGCCAGCAGTAAGTTGCATTAAACATTTGCACCTCCGATTAGCACGGTTGGCTTTGTATAATGCGAAAGAAGTTCAACATACATACAATACTACATTTGGTTTGCCCGTTATTTGGCTATTCAGCGCTGTAAGTGCTCATTTGGCAGATTGGCACAGAATCGCACTAAACCGTCTGCCTAAAATGCCATTTAAAGGTCGCTCTAATTAAAGGTCCTTAAAGGAGCTGCAGCAATGTGAAATCTTGTGACGTCACTTTCAAGGTGTCCCCCCCCCCCCCATGCAATGCATGGCTCTGTTGTTGGAAGTTATAAAAAAAAAGATTGTGAATTTTCCCCTGCCTAGATTCTTTTGCACATTTTTACATACACGATTGTACTGTCAAAATTAAAGGCACAGCCCTGCAGTTGCTTGCTCACGCTACCACTAGAGGTATCTCAAAAATGTGTTTTGGCCTACTCTGCCACGCTGTCTAGGTGTCTTAAAAGAGGCTGGAGTACCTAAACTTTAGCTGACTTTAACTAATTACATGTTGACCAATTAACAGTACATACAGATGAATGCATCACTCAAATGTTCCCAGAGATAAGTTCACAACCTATTTGCTCTGCTGCCATCTCCTGGAAAACCGCATAGTCCAGCAGGTGTGGGATTTTCACAAATTCAACGTTGGATTTCAGACATGAGCCACCGCCACACCCAGTATTATGCAATGTCAAAGAAAATCGGCGATGTTTCGGCATTGAACCTTGAAACTGGAGTGCTCGATAAATTGTACGTTAAGTTCCCAAATTATTCTGCAGGCCTTATTATAAATGACTTTCCACGCTTTGAATAAACAGCTGACCGGTGGTCATGGTCCCATCATATAAACACACGTGCTTCGTGTGCCAGTGCATGAGCACGGCTGTCATGGATCTATTGTGGGCAGACAAAACTCCCACCGGGCAGTGTGAGTTCGTCCATTCTACGCCCATGACCTATTAAGGGAGGTTAATTTTAGAAATAGTTTAAATATATCAGTTGGCTCTTCGTCACTGGCCACTGCTGGATAAAGGCCTCCCCATGGCATGACCCCTCACAGTCTCATGATGCCACAATCCATGGCACTCCTTCACATCAGCTGATCTCACTAATCTATTCCGCCATGGTCATCCTCTGCAGCATGTTTCCTCCTTTGGTTCCGTTTCTGTCACCAGTCTTGTTCTTTGGACATAATCACATATAACGATGTCTCCTGCCTCAGCCCAATTACTTTCCTGAACCGTTAACATTATTTACTTAATTTGCATGTTTTCCCAGTTCCTATTTATGTCTGTGAGTGTTGAACTAAGCATGCATCTCCCCCATGCTTCTTTGTGAACTTTTCAGCCTCTATTTTCTTGGTTATTTCGGTAAAGTTACGTAGAAGGGAAACAATAAAATAATAAAAATATAAAACAATAAAATTCTCAAATTTTCTTGCTGTGGTTTTCACACCTGATGATGATTGCTTGTGTTGCAGTCGAAACGTCGTGAGAATTTTTATTGTTTTATATTTGTATTATTTTATTGTTTCCCTTCTACGTGACTTTACCGAAAGAACCAAGAATATGAATCCCTGCAGTCACGAAAGCTTTAAATCAAAATTTTCAGCCTCTGTTCCATTTCAATTGTGCATGGCCCTGCTTCTGATCCACGTCAGAGCAGGAATGCACTTGATTAACAAACATCTTTTTTAAAGCACCTTGTTATGTTGCTTTTTATGATGACATTTAATTTAACGAAATGACTGTATCCTAAAAAATTTCGATTTAAAGCTTTCGTGACTGCAGGGATTCATCTTCTTGGTTCTTTCGGTAAAGTCACGTAGAATGGAAATAAAATAATAAAACATAATAACATTATTTTATTTTACTATGTTTTATTATTATTGTATTTTCCATTCTACGTGACTTTACCGAAAGAACCAAGAAGATGACTGTATCCTGCTTCAGTAATTTATCTTTCTTGCATTTATCTTGAGCTCCACTTCGCATCCCTCTTTGTTAAAGTTTTCATAAATTTTCCGTAGGTACCTGGGTTCTTTCCTCGTGATAACTAAAAGCTGTAAATGAAGCTTTTGGCAGAGGAGGGGGGCGACGACGTCAAATTATATTCGTGTTCAAATAAGCATCGGATATCTCTATTGGTGGCCCTCAGTAGAAGAAATGGCACATTCTTGTGGCCAGCCATACACAGTGCATATAACGTACAGCGTTGCAAGTCTCATCTGTTTGGTAGGAGTTTGATTTATTCGAGTTGACTTATTTTAGTTCACAGCGAGATGTATCCACCTCGTCTCAGTCACGGGGAGACGCGTTGCCCTCTCCTATTAGTCACAAGCGAGGCCGCTTCCTTTGACCGTCACATGTTCAAAAACGGTGTCACTCCTTCCAAACGACAACCCGTGGTGGCCCGGGGCCCGCGTCTCTGCGTCGCAGGAGAACTTCAGCGAGCAGGAGCAGGCGATGCAGGAGGAGTTCGACACGCTCATGAGGGTGCTGTCGGACCGCTACGCCGAGCTGTGCACGCCCCTTGAGGAGGAGAAGAAGGCCAAGCTGGAGGCGCTCTACGAGCAGCTGGTGCAGTGCAGGTGCAGCCTGGAGAGCACGCGCGCTCTCATCGCCGAGGCCCAGGCGCTGGATCCCGTCGCCGACCCCCTGGGCTTCCTCGCGGTGAGCGAAACTCCGTCCTCGTTTTTGGCCCGGCGCTCCCACCATCGTTTCATCGCCGCTGCGGCGTCACGGAGCGACGGTTTCAATTAAACTTAAGAATGCGCGTTTCATAGTCGTGCGTTAGCGTGGTGGGGGGAGAACATCTTAAGCGTCTTCATCGTGAGCGAAAGTTTCCTCGCCGCTTAACAAAAAAATGCGCAGTGAACGTCGAGCTAACGTCAGGATTTCTTTCGCAGAAAAACAGAGAGAGAGAGAGTGGGAACTCGTGACATTGTTAATTACGTTTGGTAAACTAACCATGATACACTGCGATACTAGAGAATTGTGAGAACATTTCCGATTTAAATTACACTTTACATCCTGTGCTTTGCAACGTGATGTTTTGTAAATAAGGCATCGCACGCAGTTTCAGAGCAGGCAAATCCTGTAGCATATGGCATCATATCATTACCATAAAGCGTAGTAATTGTGTTGTTGACAGCATTGTGAGGCACTGAGAGCAGATTTGCCTTCGCCACACGAACGCGATCGTTATAATTTTGCAATAAACTACGTTCGGTTTTCCGTATACAATATTAAAATTCACCAATTTCTTTGTGTCACCTTGTGTATTTGAAACATTTCTGGGTGTCCTAAAGTCTGCAGAAGATCTGAAAGCCAGGTAACAGTATTTATTTTGAAAGTGGCGCATGTGCATGCTATGCATATGTTCAATTATTGTCATCTCGTTAAAACATAGAAACACTGAATAGTACGTTGACAGACCTAAAGAACCCCTGCATGGAGCATGCTAGCGGTTTTCTTTCCGTTTGGTTCCTCGGCTCCTGCGTCACCCTCGCGGACGCTTTGACCGTAAACGCACGCGAGGTGCACGCATCTCCGATCGTATTTGACGCAACCACGGGGAGTTAAATTGGAAATATAAGGCCCTTGTCAGATCCCCCTTCATCCTTTAATTTCATTCAATTTAAAGCGGCAGGACCGACCGTGCATCACGCTTCAAGCCAGTCGTGCTGCATTTATATTAAGTGATTATGAGCGCACAACGAGTCCTGGCAGCAAAGATCCTTTCCTATGTCTGCTTCGTGCATTGCATTTTTAAGTTTACTACATGCCTAGTAACTGGGAAATAGAGCTTGCAATTTAAAAAAAAAGTCTTAAGTGTAACGTTACTTGCCATGCATCCCCGCATGCGATAAATAGGGGTCAAAGTTTCGAGTAAAAGCTCACGGCAACCTGTCCAACGTTGAGGCTGTTCAATGTGCCTGCCGTGAGCTAATCCGAAACATGTGCGTTGATATTAAGGGTGACATAACGAGTGTAAAATGAGTGTGCGCTATTACCATCGTGTTCTAATCAACTTATCCCTATTCCAGAGACACAACCACGATCCCATCTGCTACTAACCAGCGGTTATGCATAGGGCAGTGAGTTGGTTTTGGTGGTTTGCCGACCCCTGATCTCTTTTTGTTACAGCACAAATTGTGTGGGAATTGTTCCGATATTCTATTTATAAATAAAAGAGAAAAGCCTTCTGTTGTGTGGTAAGCAAAGTTAACAAGATTTTAGTTCCTGGCCCATTGACATATAGCATAGAAATAAGTAAGCACGTCATGATTCACCCCAGCACCGAATCATTTGATCCATTCAATTCAAGAATATATTTTTTTCAGCTCATTTTCTCTTTTATTTGTCCTGTTTCTCGTTGTGTCTCATTTGTATAGTTGTGTTTGTATAATGAATATTAATTTAACGTGAACATATAATTAGCAGACAATTTGCGTACATTGTAAATAATCGATTCTTACACGCGTGATTCAATGCATGCATCGTGAGCAAAATAATCCATGCATCATTACACACCTGATAAGTATAAGACTTGATAAATATATTTCATACCATTTTGAAGGATTTGCCAGCAGATTGTATACACGCTTTCACACCTGTGCAAGTGCATGTGTAAATGATTTCTCCATTGCTAGAAATTATGCTGAATAAATGATGATGGTAATTTATGTTCAGGTGCGTTATACCAACTGTACCTCAGGGCTAAAGTCTCTATATCTTCGATATTGTTTTATTGCCCGGAGGATATTGCTTTTGGCACACGGCATAATCAACGCCTACTGATCATTATCACAATTGTAATTATATAAACGGCAATAAATGTGCCAAAAGAGCACACATGGGGATGTTCCTCACGTGACTGGTGACACTGTGTGACCATGGCGGCGGTGGTTGTTTTCAGGCTGGATCTTGCATTAACAGAAGGGCAAGTCGAGCAGTTTCAACCTAGCGCATCAGCGGAGTTCCAGAACGCGATGCCGGACCTATCTCACGAGAAAAGCATTCTGGATGAGAGCCGCTGCCTGAGCGGTGAGGACTCGTGTTCATTACATTCAAGAGGTCCAATCACTGTTTTCACATCCAGACAACCCCGAAATCTTACGTGGGGATATCCATTTCCATCTCCAAGCACGGAGCAAGATGAAATCTTTACTCATGTCAGGATGCTCACAAATGAAAAAAAATCTACAATACTGTATGTCGGTTTCAGTAGAGGGTTTATTGTAAAATTGAGTAACTCATAAGCGTTCTGCTCAGCAATAGTTTGCTCTCTGCAGAGTATGATTGTATAATGAAACAATATTACTGGCTTTAGCGTTCCTCGGAAATGCCGACTTAATTAACGTGGATTTATAGTTGCTGGATGTCGTCACGGTGAGCACACTGGCCTTGCAATTCCAGTGGCCACCAATTCGATCTCTCTGAGTGTAATTTGCAACAATGGGCAAACCTCTTAATTCCCACCTCCCATCTCCGTCCACTCGCCAACTGTGGGAATGCCACTGTCAATGTCAGGTTGCACGTGGTGAGGTTAAGTGTGGGTACTCCCACCTCTTCACGCGTTGAAGAATAGGCCAAAAATACCCGCTATAGAATCCTTTCACCAGCAGTTGTGTGAGCGATTTATTGCCTCGCTGCACTTTTTCCTTTGTTATTATTAGCTTGGAGAAAAATGTTTCAAAATTACAAATACATTATTATATATATTTTTTTAAATATCTGGGATAATAAGGTATGGTGAGCAGCAAACATATGCCCAGGGTTTTTGTGGCGAAATCGAACCAAATTGTAATGGTGATTATCGTGGAGGGAGTCTTTCTATGATTGGCAGAGTGGTGGAGCAGCTTCTGTTTACTTTGCAGTCAGTAAAGGTTAGAAAATGTCAGGTAGCGCACACGAGTGGAGATTTATTTATACGTGGAAGCACCTCCCAGCCGTTTCAGTATTATACATGTACAGAGATGTGTCAGTGACATTTTCAGGCTCAGTATGTCTCTGCAATACCAAGCTTCCACATTGTCGCCTTAAGAACCACAGGTGGTAAACACTTAGTGATACAAATAAATAAACAATGTGTTTTACGAGATGACCTTTGATGTCTCTTGGCATAGAACAGCGGTAAAATTATTCTGTAATTGCTAATGATTACCACGTGCTTTGCACAGAGCAAATGCACTGTGTTTGCTTATGGGCTGCATATTGAAGCATTTGGATTGTAGTAGATCCCAGATGACTGCATACATTATGCAAAATGCAGTGTCACAACCAGGAAAACCTCCACGCTAAAATCAATGACCCTCGATAAATGTCACAAATCTTGAATGTTTATCATTAAATACCTTGCATCATTGAACAGTGGACACAAGTAACATGGTGGTGAATGGGACATATCCATCTGGCCTAGTGCTCCACATATTAATATGTTTTCCATCAGCGACTTTAAAGCTGAGAACTTCCTCAGGAAGAATTGTCCCTTCAACCACCAACAATGCAAATCACAAGTCGAGTCAAAATGCCTCCCTTCTCAAATGCGCAATCGGGCGGCATTCACCTTTGTTGATATCGCTGAATTAATGGTGTAAATTCCACATTATTATGCCAGGATTAGTCTTTGCATAGGACAACCATTGTTGACTTAACGTGCCACTCAATTCATCGAGATGTTAACTACCTCACTCGATATACAGGAGGTCGTAGGTTCGATCCCGACCCTGATGCCTGAATATTTCGAGTTTGCATGTCTCTCTCCTCGTGGTCACGTGGATTTCTCACCGGGTTTTCCAGGTTTTCTCTCCACATTTAGAATCAACATGCGTTTAGAGTATTTGGCTGCTATAGATTTCCACGTGATAAACCACTTTGTTGAGCTATTATTTGCGGTCAGATTGCTTCTGAAAAAGAGCTATATAGCTCAGTGGGCCTTACCTGGTGAAATAAAAATTAAGTAAAAATAAATAAAATCAATGACAAGGCTGATTCAATGTCCTCGGCCGGGAATTGAACCCGTGAGCCTTCCAAATCGCTACCCTGGCCCTCCAAACTGCAATGCCACTAGGCCCAATCTGCCCTCCGCCCCCCCCCAACCCCACGCACCTGCCAAATACGGTGGCCGTTCCTTCCAGTGCCGTCCCCGCCCACGATCCGGCCCCAGGAGCCGTCCGGAACCACCAGCAGCTCCGTGCTGGTGCAGTGGACGGCGGAGCCGGACGACACCGTGGACCACTACAATGTCTTCTACCTGGCGGAGGACGACTTCCAGTGCGAGGACACCGACACGGGTGGGTCGCCCGCGTTGACCTCCCGCGGCGTCTTGGTCCGGCCCTCTCGTTTTTGCGCAACTGGGTAAACCGTGGCGGGGTAAAGTGAGCGTACAGGAGCCACGGTGGCGAGATGTTATCTACCTCGTCTGGTGTGGAGGAAGCCAGGAGCCCGATCCTGACCCTGATGACTGTATATTTGGAATAATAGGGTTTTTCCCCTTTTTTCTGGCAACAAAACTGAAACCTTTTTACAAGGATTCATGTCTGCATTAACCACAATACCTGCAGTCAAAATGTAAACAAAAAACATACTATGATAATATATGCATTGTCCTTGAAACTGATTGGTCCACACCAAGGGACGGCTTTCTTTTGAGCCTCGACCCAATTGGTGCTCGATCAGATGACACCAAAAGGCGTACTAGGTATTGTGGTTAATGCAGACATGAATCCTTGTAAAAAGGTTTCAGTTTTATTTCGATTTAAAGCTTTCGTGACTGCAAGGATTCATCTTCTTTGGTTCTTTCGGTAAAGTCACGTAGAATGAGAATAAAATAATAAATTAATAAAATAAAATAACACAATAAAATTCACACGACGTTTCGGCCACTTGTGTTGTGGCCGAAACGTCGTGAGAATTTTATTGTTATTTTATTTTATTAATTTATTATTTTATTCTCATTCTACGTGACTTTACCGAAAGAACCAAAGAAGAAGGTTTCAGTTTTGTTGCCAGAAAAAAGTGGAAAACCCCTATTATTACATTATTGGTACTGGCAAAGGAGGTCTAATGATGTATATTTGGAGTTTGCATGTTCTGCCGGTGGTCGAGTGGATTTTTGTCCGGGTGCTCCGGTTTTTCCCTCCACATTTAGAATCAACATGAGTATTTGGCTGCTTAAAATTTCCATACGATAAGCCACTTGGTTGAGCTATCATTTGTGGCCAGGTCGCTTATGAAAAAAAGAGCTATATATCTCAATGAGCCTTACATGGTAAAAATTATTATTTTTTTGTTTCAATAGTTTTTTGGGGTACACGTCTCTGCACGCGATCTCGCTGCCGTGTGTGGACTGGGGTTGGCGTGTGCAGTGAACGTGAGGCAGGAGGCACGAGAGGACTTCTGCCTCATCGAGGACCTGGAGCCCAACACCTTCTACGTCTTCTGGGTATCGGCCGTCAACACAGCAGGCGCCAGCCCACCCAGCGACTGCGTCACCTACTGCACCGGTGAGGGCACCTCTACAATTGTGTGTATGGATGTATGTTGAGCTTCTTTCGCACCGTACGTGGCCAACCGTGCTATTCGGAGGTGCAAGGGAAGGACAACAAACTAAACACAAAAAAGCTACTCTAAAGAAAAGTGTTTTCAATCCAGATTTAAAAGTGCATAGCTCCAGTGGCTTCCTAATGTCGGAAGGGAGAGCGTTCCAGACGGCCGCAGAAGCGTGTCTGAAAGCGCTCCATCCGGTGACCATCTTTGTTCGATGCTTAGCCAAAAGCCACTGCGAGGATGACCGTGATGGTTTATGCTCCCTGACGAGGTCAGCAATTACAAAGATCCCCCGTATAGCCATGCAGACTGTTGGGGCAAGTGCTGTTGGCGACCATCTATGAAGACCGGCATGGCACGCGAGCGGGCGGTGTGGCCAGGTGCACGCCCTGCCGCCTGTCTCCCCAGCGCCAATTTATTCTGTTGAGTAATGTTTGCAGTTTCATTTCCTTTGTTTTGTTTTGCCAAATATCACACTAGGTGGCAGCATACACTGCGATGTTACATGTTTCATTTCAAAACATGATTTATTTTACTGTGATGAGGTTTACATGCAGGGGCGGAGCCAGGATTTCAGGCCGGGGTGACATTCAACAAATGTTAATTTCAATAATAATTAGAGAGTCAGGCTGTTGAACTAGACGCCATCGGTTGGCGACACACTCTGACAATGCAGTTGCACGGAGTCCGCCAGACCGAGTGTCGTACACTTATACGCAGAATGTCACCCCTGTCACCCCCCCTGGCTCCGCCCCTGTTTACATGGGTAATTTTTTTATGCAGTATAGTTGTTGTTTTGCTTGGCATCACATGTGAATGGTCATTGAAGGTAAAATGGCACATTTGAGAGGATGGTGTTTTAATGGTTGCATTTGGAACTGTGAATGAATGTCAAATGAGCAGTCTGTTACCCAAATAAAGCAAGGAGTGCTATCATCCATAGCAACACGCAAGTACCAACATGCAAACATGCCCATTAATCTTAACTCGGCACACATTCATTTGTAAACTCACGCACACGCACGCTCACACTCACATCCATTACCCTACATAAACTCTCATGCATGCACATGTGTCCATTCAAACCCATAAACACCCCGTCGAACATCAATGCAGCCGAACTCCGCAACTTATAAATAAACCACTTACGCATTTACACCCCCAAAAAAGAAAGGTCTTCCTTTCAGCCTGCATAGATTACTTTGGCAAGTGCTGTGAGCGAGCACTTAAGACAGCATGGCACCACACAAGGGGGCGTCATAGCCATGAACACTTTAGTTGCCTTTAATTTCTATTCAGGATGTATGTATGTACGTTGAACTTCATCCGCACCGTACGTAGCCAACCGTGATAATCGGAGGCGCGCGTACGTGCGGTTCTCTTTGAGTTCTCGCCCGGTCAAACGATGATCAAATTTAAACTGGAACGTGCGCTCATTTTAGCCCGGATTCCTCCCCACAGTGCCCGAGCCGCCGATCATCCTGGTAGAGGAGTGCACGGCATGCATGGACGCAGCCACGATCCGATGGGACTCGGGCAACTTGACCGCCGTGGAGTCGTACTCGCTGGAGCACTGCATGCAGGCGGAAGGAGACGTAGACGACGACACCTCCGAGAGCCACATCACCAGGTGAGCCGCGGGGACCGCCGCGCCTGTCTGGTAGCTCTCTCCGATTCTGTCTCTCTTCGGGTTAGCACCACGGTGGCAAGGTTAGCACGGCTGGCTACGTACGGTGCGAAAGAAGTTCAACGGACGTACGTGTTGAACCGCCTCGCCGGGTATGGGGGAGGTCGTGGGTTCGATCCTGATCCTGACACCTGTTGTATATTTGGAGTTTGCATGTCTCTCTCTCCCCGTGGTCGCGTGGATTTTTCTCTTGGTCCTTTTGTTTATACCCTTCAAACGATGAGCCACTCCGTTGAGCTCCCATTTGTGGCCAGGTGGCTTCTGAAAAAAGAAGCTATATAGCCCCGTGGGCCTTAACTGGTAAAATAAAATAAACAGGGGGGGAACCAAGGAAGGCAGCGTATCGCTGTAGCCCAGCAGTTGTTGGAGAAGCGTGATGTCCGACATTTGGAGCCTCTTCAGGGACTGAAGTCGTGGAAATGAAGCTTCCAGCACGTGGAGCAAAACGTTGGACACCGGAGAGCTGTACAGAGTGTTCCAGATGTCTTGTGACCCCCCCCCCCCATCCATTTGATTCTCTAAAACTTAACAATCTTGTATACCAATGGGTGTGAAAACAGAAATTAATAAGCCAAGGAATGTCAGGGGTCAATTAATTGGGGGGGGGGGGGTCACAATTCATCTGGACCACCCTGTACAGTGCAGCCGTGAAAACCTTCATAGTTGTGCCCATGTGGGCCTGCGCAGAGTGGCTCGACGCTGCCACACGCTTGGCCACGGTGACATGCTGCTGCTGCTGCTGCTGCTCCCTTTGTTGATTTGTTTTATCTTTAACCAGGAGCGCTTCATGAGCAATCCTTTGGAAATTTCATTTTCAATCCAAAAACAGTTCACACGTCGAACTCAAGTAAAAATGATTTGTTTTTTCAAAGCATTACTCATGATGACTCTGCCTGGATGAAGTTGGTGTTTTATTTAAAACTGGTTCATGGAAAAAAAAAAAGTGGAAGTGAATCTTAAACCCTTTTAGAAGTATGGTTGAACAAACCACCCATGACCCAAAGAAATTGCGTCGGGAGGCCTTCATCCAGGAGTATATTGATAAAGGGATGTAACTTGTAATCATACACATTGTTTCACAGATGGTTAAGGTCCCCGAATTGACAATCATAAGGAAATCCTCTACGGAACAAAGAGTGGGTGATCGGTAATCTGATGATAAAGGCAGGATTCAGACCACGATATTAAAGGAATGGGGATAAGCAGACTCTTGAGAAACGCTCATGTTCTGATTTTCCCAGGATCGTACTCTTTTTGAGTGTGCCATCCTAGTAAATCTGTAATTCTTCCCAGTGCATTAAAAGTCCTGTTTCTCTTCAGTTACATTACAACAATACACCACTGTAGACAATGCATTTACACATAATCATCCCCTCTTCCACTATCGTGGGATATATTCCTCTTCACACGATGTGTTTCCCGTGCCACCTCGTGCTTTCACGCAGGTGCATCTCGGGGATCCGGGACTGCGAGTGGGTCGTGAGGCTGCAGCCGGGTCAGACGTATGCCCTGTACGTACGTGCGGTCAACTCGGCGGGGCCCAGCCAAAGGTCCGACCCAGTCCTCATCCGAACCAAAGGTATGTGACTATTCCATGGCCTCCGCCCCGTGTTGGTGGAAAGGCAGAATCTGCCGATTGTTGGTAAGGGGCATAAACCAATCACCCAAACTCCGGTCATCCTCCCAGCAGGGGCTTTTGTCTAAGCCATTGAACAAAGACGGTCACCGCATCACGCGTTTTCAGATGCACTTCTGCGGCCGTCTGGAACGGCCTTCCGATTTTAAGTAGCCACTGGAGCTATGCGCTTTTAAGGGCCGTCCATAAATGACGGCACGCACCTGGGGAGAGGTCAGACATTTGTGACGATGTGTGACGAGGAGGGGGGGGGGTGAGAAATGTGACGTCACGTAAAAATGCGCAACCTTCAATAAATATGGAATTGTTATAACAACACTAATTGTTATAACAACACTCCTACAACATCAGATTGCAGCGCCACATTAATGACAATAGTTTAAAGCGATTTGAAGCATGTTTTATTTTCAAAATGAAAATATGGTTGGGGGGGGGGGGGGCAGAGCTTTGTGACGTCATATTTGAGGGGGGGGGTCTGACTTGTTGTGACGCCGTGTGACGAGGTGGGGGGTAAAAAATCGTCCAAAATCCCGTGACGTCATTTATGGACGGCCCCTTAAATAATCTAGATTGAAAACTAATTGTGTTAAGTATGTTGTCCTTCCCCTGCACCTACGATTATCACGGTTGGCTATGTACGGTGCGAAAGTTCAACATACGTACATACAGAACAAATTTTACGGTACAGATCACAGATAAATGGCTCTGGAACGTATTTGAAACACAATTTGGAATGGGGTGGAGTGACGGCGCTGTGGTTACCGCACTCTGCTGAGAACCTGTGAAACTTGAGTTCGATTCCCCCGGCCATGGATAACTTCAGTGGTGAGTGATACACAAATAAAAACATCCCCCATATAGCCTAAACAGAGTGTAGGGGCAAGTGCTGTTGGCGAGCACCTATGAAGGCCGGCACGGCACACGAGGGGGTGAGTGGCCAGCACCGCGCCCGGCCGCCTTTGTCTCTCAAGTGGCCATGTCCACACATTGCCTCAGCTACTCAATTTAGGCTGAATCGACCTAGGGGAGGCCCAGGACCGATTCGAATATTAAAAAGCCCTGCATTTTGATGTTTGGCCAGTTATATATGCAGTATTCTACATTTGCGAAGTACCCGAGGTGCTTGGAAAACCCTACATATAATAATGGGATAAACCCTAATAATACCGGATTTGCGGATCGGTAAGCAAACCAACTTGCAGCATCGTCATCTACTGTTCAACTCGTAGGCCGGCAGCTTGGGTGTCACAATAAGATCTCTTATCATTCACAAACCCCGCACAGACAACCACCAAAGTATAGACATGGACCACCGTGGCTGGCAACATGACCCACCATGCGACTCAGTACTCATGCATGGCTCCTTGGATGAATGCTCTTTAAAAATATATTGTTTTAAACCACCCCATGCATACCTGTCAACACATACGGTTTAGCCGTATTCTTGTACAGGGAAATTGAGTTTTCAGGTCCATACGCCGTACAGCCGTTTCAATACGGGCAAAAAAAAATGTCTATTTGTTTGTGTTTCTCCCTCGTGATGCGAATTTGCAGGATTAACTTTGAGATTTATAAGGGCATGGGGTGACCAATAAGGTCTGAATTGGTCTGTAATAAGGTAGGCACTGATAAGGGGTTGACAGATATGCCCATGTGACCCAGTGGAGTCAGAGGCCAGTGGAATCACCCCCAGCTTCTGCAACGGTCTGGAATACTGACCACTACACAAAATTTTTGACACGAGTCTCTTTGAAGTAGCCGAGGCGAATCGAGGCACCGCGTCATCTCTGGATGCGTCTGCGTAATGCAGCGCGATGCTTCGCAGACAGACGTTGAGGGGAGAAATAATAATACATAAAGGGAGTGAAGATGACACCTCAGTGCCGGGCTTGAAGGGCATGCCGACAGCACGCTAGCAGCGGACACTGATGTGTGTGCTTAGGTTCATCCGTGCGTCTCACTCGGGAGCTCCTCTTTTGTTGACCACTGCCATGAAGCGACTTCCACTCCGCTTGATAGATGCGCGCTCAACCTGGCTGTGTCCGATAACGGGATTAGTTGGAAACGTATCGGGCTTAGTCGTCTGCGCTCAAATGTTTTTCTTAACGCTGGCATATCTGGCACTTGAGGTTTATCTGTGTTGTCACGTTTATTCGTGGTGGGTTTTTTTATAGAAAGTGTGCACTGTTGCGTTCCGTGCATTTACAGTCTCGCGCGTTGCAGCAAAGGAGTATTGGTTAACACACACTCTGCAATGATCCCAACAATCTGGGTTTTGATTCCTAACTGGGGGATACGATCAGTTATAAGTGGTGTCTGATCTTGATCTAGGCTTCTGCATTCTGTGTCTCCGCCGTGCACTGTGTTACTTTGGCAGCGTTGACACGAGGCCATGTTATGGGATAGGTTGTCAGGGATGGAAACGAAGAGTCACAGCATTGTCTATTTTGGGATGAGTGCGCGCAGTTGACGGGATGTACCGAACACCGTTATTGGCAGCCTGGTGGCATGTTCCACATTCGGCTATAAACCTACCCCCCCCCGCCCCCCGCATCTTACTGTTGCTGCAGGCGCTTACGCGGCTCACCGACTCCGCCAACACGCAGACACACGTACACAGCCGCCTTTGTGGGTTACGGAGTTGCTCCGAGAGTTAAGATGCCCTTCGAGCACGCAGCACCAACGCCACTCACCCCCACGCTCACTCCGTATGCTCATCCCTACACCGAGCCCCCCCCCCCCCCCCGAGCGCACGGCGTGACAGCCTATCTGCGAGGCCCATCTCCTTCCGACTCTGCGAAACCGATAGATGTTCAGAGCTGCCGCCCCGCGTCACGGTGACTCCTTGGCGAGGGAGAGTGTCTCCGTCCGCTCGCGGGGGTGTTTGCACCTCTGTCTCTGTTGTGGGTAAAGCCCTATTTGGCTGTTACGCCGTGGTTGAAGGTCCGGTATTTTTTTAAGGTTGATGAGTGATGCAAGGTCAGGTCTTCGGCACCGCTTGTCATGATGAGTCCACAGAGCAGATCAAGACGTTTTAGAAAGTGCAGTCTATCGGAGCTCTATTAAACAGACATGTAATCTGGTACATATTGATCCATGGGATTAAGATGGGAGGCTCAGGGAGCTCGTGGTGGATATGCACTGGGCCAGTACTTCTGAGCACATTTATTTGAAGCACACAGCCGCGTGAGATTGTGAAATAAGTTTGCGAGTGCAGTACATTCATGGTCTCAACCCAATCGCCATCATGTGCGTTTGATCCTCCACTCAGTTTGACCCAGCCCAGCTCTGATGGCCACATCTTCTAAAGTATATTATATCATTGGCAAGTGACACAGCACTCTTTTCAGAGGATTAAATAGTTTGGTAAGAGAGGCCTGTTGCAGTGACTCCTGGTTCTGTGGTGTCATCTTTGTAATACCGTTTTCCTGACATGACGCTCTGCTAACTGTGAAAATTCCAGTAGAATGTGTATTTTTTTATCAGTGTGTACTATATGCTATGATAACCTATGGTTCAGAAACATGGGCATTTATAACAAACAAACATAAACTGAAAATTGTGCAAAGCAGCATGGAGAGATGCAACACAGAAAGATGAACAAGTGGACTAGAGAACATATGTAGGTTATGGACATCATCCAAACTATTAAGAAACGTAAGTGAACTTGAGCAGAACACGTCACTAGAGCGGAGTGGCAGTCAAGGCCTGGAGCACGACTGAGAGTAAGTCCACCGGGGAGATGGAGCGATGAAATCAGTCCGTGTGTAGGGGCTCGGTGGATTGTGACATTGAAAGATTGTGAGAGGTGGTGACAGATTATGGAGGCCTTCATCCATGATGATGATGAATATAATTCTGACATCACAACGTGGAAATAATTGGAAACAAAACTCCAAACGGTTCATGTCATGCAATAATCATTATCAATAATGACTTGATCTCCGAGGTGCAGTCTGCCATTAACTGATACCTGACCCACTGACTTGAGCAAACATGATCGTTCGCAAGCTGCTTTAACAGGGACATCCCACTACTTCTGGCCATGCAGGGACCCAATTCCTGCTGAGGAAGGAGTCCGCTCACCCAAGACTAATCATCTCCGAGGATGGAGCTGTCATCGAGTATGACGGGCGAGAGGATGAGTATCTGGACCCCAACCCGAACCGATTCTCCAGGTGAGAAGGCCGCACCCCAACAAGGGCCTCAGCTTGGCCAGGCCTCAGCTTGGCCGGGCCCTCTGTACAGGGACTCTCGGACCCCCTAAGGGTGCAGTTGGGTAGCGTTATCTCTGTGACAATTAGTAAGTATTTAGAAATTGATTGAAACCGATTTATTTCACTCACACATGCATTGGCTTTTGGCTAGCCATTGAACAAGGATGGTAAGACGATCACTGCATCGCACACTTTTAGATGCGCTTCTGCAGTTGTCTGGAACGCTCTTCCTTCCGATATTAGGAAGCCACTGGAGCTATACACTTTTAAATCATCTAGATTGAAAATTCATTTCTTTAGAACTGCTTTATTTGTTCAGTGTATTGTTCTTCCCCTGCACCTCCGATTATCACGGTTGGCTACGTACGGTGTGAAAGAAGTTTAACATACATACTTAAGAATATATTATTGTTAAGTAATGCAATGTTTATGCAAATTATTCCATTTAGACGAATGGGTCAAAATGAATGGAAGAGAATATCAAGAGGGTACAAATAACACGGACACAACCAGACGAGATGGTACAGATGAGATAGACAGTGCCGGCGATTCAATGCAGATGAGAAACACAATACAGGTGAGGCAGTACAGACAGTACAAACTACAATTGAGCACTTGAATTTTGATGAATTGCTACATGCTGAGCCCATTTTAAGAATGCTGAGTTGTAATATGTGGAGTGAAGGGTTACTTGCACAGGCTGTGGTTACCCCCCACATTTTGTTGCAATACGTGGAGCTGTGGTTAGAGCACATGATTAATGGTTGGAAGTGCTTAGGTAAGCGACCACAATTCTTAAAACAATTGTCATAGACTTCCGCTGGGCTAACTTGTTATGCAGAGTGCAGTGCAGCAATGCATGTATGTACGTTGAACTTCTTTCGCACGGTACATAGCCAACAGCGCTAATCGGAGGTGCGGAAGATCCAGTGCGTTACGCCCCAACTCGTATGCATTTCCTGCCTGCACTGACCCATACTGACGAGCTTTGTGAAGCATGGCAATCATGACCTCAGTGGCCTACACAACGTGGAGAGGCCCTCGCCCAGGGAGTGGATTGATGAGAGCAGGGACACAAGATGCGACTGTGGGCCTCCCCCCCTCCTTTCTCCCGACTCACTTTTACTGAAGTAGCTAAGGATGTTTTTGAACCCGCATACAATCAAATTTTAGGCTATAGCTATATATACAAATAATTTTAGTTGCACCGTGTATTGGGTTTCAGAGGAAGACAGTCTCACAGTGACATTATCGATGAAAAAATGTCAAGGTACACGATTAAGTTATCATGCGTCTTGCTTTCATGCGCATGTCAGTGACCAAAGAAACCTGGTGTTCAGTAACAAACACCAGTAGCGTTACTACATTTTACGCTGTGTGTATTTTTCGGAAGTGTAATGAGCGATTTCCGCGACACGCCGTTTAGAGGGTACTCTTTTCTTTATTCACATTCGGGCACACCACAGGCCAACCTTATCATCTTCCTTCTCCGAGTACACACGTAGATATTAGCAGCCCTACAGGCTACACGCGGTCGATCCCACAGCGTGGTTTCCGTCCACCCACTCCCGGCCTCGCCGCTGGTCGACGGCGCGCCGGCGAGGGTGGTGTGACTTCGCGGGAGATCCGCCACATGGCCGAACGACGGAGAGAGATGACGGCGAGCAGCGAGGCAGTCCGGACCCAAAGCTCCTCACACCGACCACGAGTCCTCCTCTGCTTATATTGCCGCAGGCGCGGCTAGGCTCCGCCTCCGCTTATATTGCCACAGGCGCGGCTAGGCTCCGCCTCCGCTTATATTGCCGCAGGCGCGGCTAGGCCTCTGGCCACGCCCTCTCGTGGAACCTTCTAGCCGGTTCCCGGAGTATCTCGGCCAGCCCCGCCCTTTACTTTTGTCCCAGATACCTCTCCCTTTGGGATTGGATGATGTTTATAGTGGTGCCTGTACCCGTGCTTCCCTTTTCCGACCAGTAGATGTCACTATGTCATTACAGAAGTACCATTTGTTTTTCATTTGTAACAATGTTTTTTGGCATTCATGGTAAATTGTTGATTTTTTTATTTGATTATCTTTCTTCACTTTTTTCTACACATTTATCTGTTGATTCTAATTGGCCCCCCTATTATGCGCCGCATAACGCCCCACCCCATAGTTGCACCCCTGGACGAGAGGGCCGTATGTCTACCTACCTACGTACGTGTACCTATCTGCAGGTGCATGGCGGTGCTGGGGGAGCTGACTCCGTCGCGCGGCCGCCACTACTGGGAGGTGAGCGTGGGCGAGTGCGAGGGCTACCGCATCGGTGTGGCGTACCCCGACACGCCGCGCGACGGCCTGCTGGGCCAGAACGACTCCTCCTGGTGCATGCGACTCATCTGCACACCTGCCAGGTGATGCCCCACAAGAGGAATGCAACACATTACATTAAGAAGATGGAGATCCCCCCCCTCCCCCTATAGTTTAACGTGGACTCTCGCGACCATTGCTATTCATAATAAAGTTTGTTTTGGTTTAGATCGCGTAAATTTACGTCGTTCAACCAGCCACCACCCGACACAGCCAATGTTTAAGGTTAGTCACGTTAACAAAATGTGCCAATTAGTTACTAATTCAGCACACCGATGTGTTGGAGAGTAAGCCCGCAACATTTACAATTTGATTGCGACGTTTCGCTGGTGAGTACCACCAGCTTCATCAGGCGATTTGCCACAAATGTGAAGAAGCCTTCCTGTTTCCGGCTTTTGTTTACGTCACAAACCTTATTCATTGGCTGCATCAGGTGGTGGTGGTGGTGGTGGTTCAACGACACCTATATATTTACGCTATCTAACCCAAAAAATCCCAACCCCCCCCCCTGCCCCCCCCCCCCCATAGCCTCGACAGACTGCTGGGACAAGTGCCCGTTAGCGAGCGCCTGTGAAGGCCCAAACGGCGCACGAGGGAGTGGTGGTGTAAGCATTTTTGTTCATTGTTTCTCAAGAAACCCACAATACGGCGGTAACATCAAAAGGAGGGAGAAACAACAGACATAATGCTCCCCTCATGGTTACAGAACGAACGAGGACATTCGCCGCCCTCCCCTGTTAGGGGAAACGATCAGGAACAGCGTCTTTAAGGGGGAGGGAAGAACATGAAAAGGTTGGGGGGGGGTGGGGGGTGGGGGGGACAACAACTGTGATTTGTATAAACACAACACATTAGGATCACAAGTTACATGACTCACTACCACCACCACCACCTCCTTCCACCGCCTCCCCCTCAACATCTACGGATGCCACAGGCACAAGTACGAGTTCCTGCACGCCAGCCGCACGCCCGACATCCGCACGACCCTCGTGCCGGCCCGGATCGGGGTGCTGCTCGACTTTGACGCGGGGCGTCTGGCGTTCTTCGACGCCGAGCGAGGGCAGCTCCTCTTCAGCTTCCGGCAGCGTCTGCAGGGTCTCCTGCAGCCGGCCTTCGCGCTCGATCAACCGGGCATGCTCGTCCTGCACACGGGCCTGGCACCGCCCGCCGGCCTCGCCTACTGCTGAGTTTCTTCGGTGCTTGGGGTGCCGGTGACGCATGTAGGGCTGCCACCTTTTCCCTGGGGTTATATTTTTATTCTGGGATCGTCCCGTTTTTTGAGGGAGCTGTCCAGGCAGGAGGGTAACTGGTGTGTGGTAGGGGGGCGGAGGGGGGGTGCCTTGGCCCACCCCCCCCTCCCCACTGGTGGCCAAAGTTACGAGTTGGGGCCCCATTGACAACCACGATGAGACAACAGTGTTAAAGAACAAAACACGTGTGTGATGACGTCATTAGGCAAGAGGATCCGCGATATATAGCCTAGGTACGACCGTGCGAGACAAATACAATATTGGGGCCCCACCCGACGGACTGCCACACTCCCCTGAGCTGATAATGTAGTTACTTTCGCCACTGTGTCCTGGGAAATCTCTTAAGCCTTCTCAGGACATTGAATGTCGTGGTTTTGTCAGTTGCGTAATGATACACCACTCAAGACAACGCATGTACGTCAAGTTTCTCCCTTTTTTCAGTATTGTGAGATATTCTTCCTCCCGTGATATGTCTCGGTTTGTTTTGTACCTCAGAGGTGACAACCCTGGTGGCACTATACTTTTACAGTTGGCGAGTTTGGGTCATTCAGCCACGCCATCTACAGAGGCCCGGATCAATCTCCAGAAACCAAGTATGGCACATAAACCGGTTAAAGTCTAGCCTTTCCCTTTTGCTGTCCCTGCCAACTCTGCTCCTGCAACCATCATGGTCATTGGCTGTCAAGAATAGCTCCTTGCCTTTGCTGCACGTCCTGTCCCTGGGATGCATTTCATATAACTGCATCCCTGTTGGGGTGGGAAAATAGAATCCGCTATTCTTACTCAGACAGTTTGGCTTTAGAAATACTGTCTTTCAACATGATGTAATCCGACTCTATTCAGACGTTTATCAGCCTCACTCTCCAAATAAAATCTGTTTTCATTACTGGCTGATTTGTGTTATCCAGACTAAAGTCTCTGCTTAGCAACTGTGATATAAAATATGCAGGTGACTCGTTGATAATTGGGAAGTGGAGGCAACATGTAATATTAATATTGCACCAGTGCAGGGAAGAAGCATAGATTTGTTTTTGTATTATTCATCCGGTGGAAGAAGCTCTAATCAAGCCATTGTGTTTGCATTTCATATATTCAATGAATCCATGAGCATGTATTATCCAAGACAATAAAACCCCAAGCTTCTGTTGTTGTTGTCATTAATGCCGCCACCATTTGCCAACAGCAGAATCGTTTATGATGGGAGCCACAGAACTCACTTTGCTGGTAAACACCGGCAATTGTCTACGTTGCCGGTGTGAGCTCACCCGTGATTAATCGCGCAGATATTGCTCACTCTGTAGCATATGGGAACCTAAGAAGCCATTTTGCATGGCTGCGGAGAGCTAGGTGCGTTTTTTTGTTATGACGATTATGATTATTATTGTGAGTGAATGCAACGGTGATCAGGGTTTGGACCCAGAGCCACACGTGCACAGCAGCCATTTTGCATAGCTGCAGAGAGCTAGGTGCGTTTTTTTGTTATGACGATTATTATTATTGTGAGTGAATGCAACGGTGATCAGGGTTTGGACCCAGAGCCACACGTGCACAGCACAGTGCGAGGCATGTCCCCAATTTAGATTTGGATGGACTTGGTGCCGAGGAATTGAGATGCGGTGCTATGACGTGGAGGGTTTTTCTGATCGCGATTGCAGATATGGGGGTTTGCCCTTCTCAAGAGGACTTTTGGAATAAAATGTTGCTGTTTCGCAACCCCCCCCCCCCCCCACTGGTGTGAAGCTGTTGTGGAGTCGCCCACTTCTCCCGAGGACAGAACGCAACACAGAATCTCTGCTCATCGTCTCCGAACTTTATCATTATTAATGTCGTCTAATTAGCCGATCTGTATCCCCCCCCCTCGGGAGGAGAGGGGACAGGCCGACAGGGCGAACTGGCTACATCTATCAACTTTGGTGGGCACAGCCTCCATTCTCCTCCGCTGAAAAACTCCACTTTGCATATGATTTCCACCTTGTCCTGGTTTGCCCAGGATTGTCCTCTGCTAAATCTGTACATTTCTGTTGGACAATTACAAGGCCTGGTTTTGTTGTGTATCAGTACAACACTCAAAACATATATATGTAGTCCCCCCGCCCCTCTTCCTGTATTGTGAATTACTATTCTTTCCATGATATGTTACAGTTTTTTTTTTTGTACTGCAGAGGCGGCAATGCGGAATTCGTTTCGGCAGACCCACGGCCAAACAGAACGGTGCTGCTGGGTACCTTTCAAGAGGCACCCAATCGAGAGCAGTGCAGAGGTCAGAGGGCAGATACCATATAGGGCAGCGTATGCCTTTCCTTTGAGCCCAGCTCTGCAGCTGTGCCACTTTTTTCTATGCACCGTTTTATTTAGGCAGCAAAGCCTCCCTGGGTCTTAAAGATGCAGGTTTTTGCCCGGTTTACGCGGGTTCGGTTGGTGCAATTTTGCGTATACGCGGCTAACCTAAAATTCGCTATATGCGGTTTTACTCCACTGAAATTCGGACATGCGGTCGGACGTGCAACAACATCGCGTGTGTACTGTGTGCGCGACTCGGCAGGCAGCTGTCTTGTGTGGTTTTACATTGTGCGCCCTCTTTTTGGAAAGCATCTACCGCGTAAAGCGAGGGACACCTATGTTTTAACAAGGGCCCCACGTTCGATGTTTTCACACTTCCAGAGTACTCGTTATGCGTGGAATAAAACTGGAGTACCTGGAAAGTGTCACTTATAGGGGTTATTACGTTTAAAAAAAAAGTCTGTACACCCAGGTGAGTAACCTACTTGCATCACTGCCTTGTCGAGGCTAACTCAGATACACTTCAGTTGGGTGGCTAAGGACACGGTGATATTTGTGTGATACATCAACCCAGCCTCTAAATATTGCCATTTGAGGCTTTGGCTACCATTCACCACCACGTCTATCAGCATGAGAATTAGATTACACAGTTGCATAAGCACCAACATTACAAGTGTAGGTTTTTATTTTACCGTTGCGCACAATATGCTGCATTTTTATTTTGAAACAATATTTTTTGCGAGTAGTCGTCTGTGTATTTGCTTTGCATTAATATTGCACAGAAAAGCTTTTGTGGAATTAAAGTACTTTAGCGATCGCATTGCATCAAAAATGCAAGCCACTTTTCTCCCGTGCGTCAGAGCGTATTGGTGGCCACCGTGTCTAATGGCATCGTGTGAGTCGGATAAAATATATTTTTTAAAGAATGCTTTCAAAGTCTATTTTCGGCGATGACGGCAGCGACACGTTTATGGGCTTAGTTTAATGGATCTTGTGTGCCTCTGTCACAGTGACCTGAGTGAGTACTTTGTTCTGTGCTTATGATAAATGTATCGGTGTATAGACATTTTGCCGGTGTAGTTGCTGGACGGGCGCGGCGGGGGGGGGGGTCCAAAGCTTTTTAGAATTCAAGAGTGAATGTTGTACCAACTGATTTGTTGGTCTTGGCTTTAATTCCCAGCTTGACTGCTCATCAACACAACACTCTGAACCAGGGGGTGGCGATGGACGCCTTTCATCCGGTACCGTAGAGCTGGGGTTGGTGTATCACGTGACAAATCACAAGCGTTACCCCACTTGCTGGGCAGCGACGTTGCCTCCAGGAGGCAAGTCCAGCAAGTAGGCTGCTTATCTCTACGTGCTGATTTTGAGTCGTTATCTCCACACATGTGCGGCCTTTCTCGGTGGTACTCCTGTGGGGGGGGGCGGGGGGTTATTTTTTTTTTGCCACGGACAAATATCACTCGATGGTGAATCTCTTACAAACGTAACGAGAAAACCTCCTTAAAAAATGCAACGAGACTCAGTTTGATGCTTCGCCGAGCGAATACACAACCGTTGCTATCGCATTAACAGCGTTGGCCGTATTCAAAAATAAACCTGTACTATTTAGCGAGCTTGCGCGTACCTATGTTATTTCTCTTAACATACATACATACATGGCGAGCTCCGTACATTGGGAGTCTCTCCCTTGCGGGGAAAGGCGACGAGGGTTTTGGTGCTTGGGAGAGTTCGTGGACAGCTCTGGCAGAACGCGATTCCGTGAGAGCCAGCACGAGTCGGCGGTGGAATTTTGTGCTTCGTGCCGAGATTTTCACACTGATGTGCTCCACACCTACAGCCTCGTCGAAGCGTGTCTGGTCTATCGTTCATTACTTTAGGGGGCCGTCCATAAATTACGTCACGCACCTCGGGAGGGGGGGGGTCAGACATTTGTGACGATGTGTGACGAGGGGGGGGGGGGTTCAGAAATGTGACGTCACATCAAAATGCGCAATTTTAAATAAATATAGACAACACGTTCTACTTATTCTTAGCTCTTTCGGTAAAGTCACGTTGAAGGGAAACAATAAAACAATAAAATATATTTCCTGCTGGCTCTCACATTTTATAATTTTATTGTTTCCCTTCAATGTGACTTTACCGAAAGAGCTAAGAATATTAATTACTGCAGTCACGAAAGCTTTAAATCAAAATTTTGCGTTCTACTTAATTAAATTGACTTTTTTTATAAATGTTTTCTCCTACAACATCAGAGTGCAGCGGCACATTGAATACGCACTACAATGATAATAGTTTAAAGCGATTTGAAGCATGTTTTATTTGGGGGGGGGGGGCAGAGCTTTGTGACGTCATATTTGAGGGGGGGTCAAAAATCGTCCAACATCGTGTGACGTCATTTATAGACAGCCCCTTGCCTTGCTACACGTAATGAGTGCCATCTGGGGTTCTGCGATTATGACGTTTGGAAGAAAATCCCACCGTGCCGAGTTGATGAACACAAATTTGTAATTGCAATACTGATCATGATGATGATAATTGTAATGCATACATTGGGCAAGGGTTTCACTCGTGGGTCCGAGGAAGTTCAGGCTCAGAAGCCTTGGCTGACTTGTGTTTTTCTGAGTCTTTTCATTGATTATGTTTTCTTGACACAAGTACCGTACTTACCATATTGAGGGTAACAACCAGGAATTATGTAAGCTTTTTTAAAATAGTGGACTATTAACAAAATTTAGAGTGTGCAAAAATAATTCAAAGTACCTCCTCACTCAAATTGACATTGAGCGACATTCACCTCCGTTGGTAATCCTTAGTCAATAATAAAAAAAAATCCACATCCCAGTGACTGCAGAAAATTTTGCATACAGCAGATAACGACTATGTTGTGTGTACACTGCACATGTGGTTAAAAAAGCTGCGCTGTGATTGTCCACACGCGGTCAAATTACAGAGAGGAATGCAAAGATTCAACAGGATTGTGTAAAGTTGAAATTCAATACTCTATTTTAAATCAGCCTGGCTCCACGTAATGAGCCATTTTCTTTGAGCATTGGCTTTGTATTAGCGTGTAATGTAATATCCAAACTGACCTCTCAAGTATTGTATTGAAGAAAAACCCCGGCTCTAAAAATAGTCATTATAGACAGTGTTGGAAATTATATTTTATTGTTATCAGATTACCAAAGGCGGGCACCCCTGTTCCTGCACTGAGTCTTTCTTCACCATGACGTCTCCTAACTTGCACGTGTTCTCTAATCCATAAGTGGGCTTGGGCAGGAGACATCGCCAGAAGGAACGATGCCTGTTGGTCGAGACTAAGGACGGAGTGGCAGGCAAAGGAGGGAAACAACGCTCCATAGGAAGTTCACTGTGAAGGAGCGATGACGTTAGTTCATCTGTGAAACGACTGGACGTCTGTGAAAAAGAGCTTTATAGCTCATCGGATTCCGCCAGTATAAATAAATATTCTGATTCATATTCAGGCGCCAGATGATTGTTGCATCACAGGACTGTTAGAGATGACAATGGTGTCAGCAGACCTTCATCCAGCAGTGGATTCACGATGGCTCATGATGATTTCTGTTTGGTCAGCGCTCGCTCGGATAACTGCTACTTGGCCTGTACCGGGTTAAATATATGTTCTGCTATTAATTTTACCAACGACACAAAATATTGTTCCCAAAAAAAATAATCATAGTGACGAATTGCTCATGTCATGATCGTGGGCTAATGTGAGAACAGCACCAGTTGGTGCGTTCACGTCACGGATACAGAGCCCACAGTCGCAGCACCGTGCTTATGGCCGCCAAGGTTCAATCAATGTTAATATAAAAGTAATCATAAATGCAATCAATTGGAATATAACTTTAAAATGTTCGGGCTTCAGCAATCAGGCTGAACGCTTTTCAAAGTAGCCCACATATAAACAAACGATACCAACAGCAACACGCATGTGTACTCAAGCCCGCGGTGAAAATATTACCCCGAAGCGCTATCAATCACCCGTCTAACGCCGTACCACTCAGCTAATCCCTAAATCACGATTTTTTTTTACTCTTTGACGCAAATCCAGAAAGGCACTTTGATGAAATTAATCAGATTTGCAGCCCTCCCTAGTCAATGTGCAAAGCTCGTATAATAAACTGGCAATGGAGCCAACGCATTAGTTAATCATTGTGTATCAGAGAAGGTGCCCCCTATCCTTCATTATATAAAATGTTTTAACCTTATGCGGAGACCATCATACGGGCTGGGTGGTGTCCCTTTGCCCCAAGCACAGCTATTGCCACTTCACGAGCCACGGGAGTAGAGAATCCGTGGCCAATCGAGCAAGGATCTTGCGTAACTCCAGACACGAATGTCGTACGCCACGCGTGTGAATATCATGTTTCACGCCGGGTTCGTTCGAGGTGGGAGATTCCTCCAAGAATGGCATTGAATTGCCGCCTAGGTGACTCCCGCAGGATTTGTGATTGGTCTTCAGACGATTCCCCTGTTTATATATACACACACAAAGACAAAGATCCCCCGTATCGCCTTCACAGACTGTAGGGACAAGTGATGTTAGCGAGCACCTATGAAGGTCGGAACGGCACACGAGGGGGTGGGTGGCCAGCACCACGCCCGACCACCTTTGTCTCCCCAGTGGCGCGCTAACCGCTACACTGCCGCTCCACAGTTTCTATAAACACATACACGTACGAGCATCTGTCTGTGTGTATGTGCCTACACGCGTGAGTGAGCACTCAATAATTGGCAGCCCTGATGGTCCAAGTGGTAGTTCTGGCCATCCTCGAGGAATGTCCAGTGGCACCTGTAGAGGAAGTGGTTGGAGCGGTGGTTATATAGGGTAGTTGCGGTGGTACCAGTGGTGGTTGCTATGGTCTTGACCAGGGGTCACCAAAGTACGGCCCGCGAGCCGCATCCGGCCCGCGACGTCAGTCCATCAGGCCCGCCGACGGTACTTGAATTTGGTTGATAAAACGTATGGAACACGAGACGTTGTGATACAATTAAAATATGTTTAGAATACTAGGAGATCTTCACGCGTGCGGAGACCTCCTGACTGCTATGTTCCTTAAATTTACTATTTAAAATTTTAAATTATTGTATCTAGATTTTCTTGTTTATTGTAACGTTTGCTTATTTCGCGCCATCCCAAGTCCTTCCCCGGCTCGTGGTAGCTCCGCCTACGCTCTGACGTTACCATGGTTTCCGTGGCAACGTCATGGCAACACGTTACCATGGTTTCCATGGCAACACACACAAACACGCATCTTTCCCGCTCCAAGATTTTCCAGCTGTCAACACAGGTCCGACGCTCCAGAAATATTTATTTATTATGCGACCCGCGCTCGTCATTCTTTCAGTTATCCGGCCCACTGTGAAAAAAGTTTGGTGACCCCTGGTCTTGACGGACTCAGTGGTCATCCCCGTGTGTTCCCAGGGGTAGTCCCAGTGATCTCGGTGGTATCATTGTTCATTTTGACAGTCACCCTGGACCCAATGGTTACAGTCGTCCAAGTAGTCATTCTAATGGTTCCAGTGGTAGTTCTGATGGGTTGAGTGTAGCCTCAGAGGTCTTGTTGGCAGACTCATTGGTCCATGTGGTCTGAGTGGAAGTAGTTGTGGCGCCCGTAGTCTTAGCAGTAGTCCAGGAGGTCCCAGTGGTAGTCCTGGCGGTGGCTCTGGTGGTAACGCAAGTGGCTGACTTAAATACGAACCAGCCGCCATCGATCAGAATCGCCATTGAAACGTATTTCATCTGCATACGCCATACGTTCAAACGGCATATCCGCGAGTCCGGTCAGACCTGACGATCCCTGCCATATTGCTTGAAAACTTTCAATCGGGGTAGACTCTGTCCAATTTCGCATTGCTGTATCGGCCATACGCTTCAGTGGTTATTTTGGTTCATACCAGCTGGCTAGAATCGGGGTCAACTACAAGGGATTACCACTAGAACTACCGAGGGACCTCCTAGACGACCACTTAGACTTGGAGAGACCACTAGGACCACCACTCGGAACATCGGGATTAATGCTGGAATCTCTAGAATTCGAAGGCGATACCAGCCAGCTGGTATCGCGATTAAAACATGATAGATTACATAAGACAACTTCCTTCTTACCTGAATACTTTTCAGCCCAGGCCCACCCACGACACCATGATCCTGCAGTTGTCGTGATCCCGATAGGAATCTATTAATTTCCAAAAACGGAATCCTAATTCTCGGAAAAATTCGCAAGAATCACGCATTTATAGCAGCGATGCATGTTCGTTTAGTTCCATTAAAAACAGTGTGATGTTTAGTTAAAACTGTTCAGTAAATGTTATGATTTATAGTAGGTGATGTTGCAATAACATACACTAACAATTTACAAAGAGAAATTCATGGGAGACATGCTTCGCTTACATCCGCACACTTTTGATTTTATTATCTTAATGGTGCTTCTTAGCAAAATTAATTCCGGGCTGAAACATTTGTAATACAAACAGATCTACTGTATATATGAGAATCATTCAAAACATTTAAACACGTTTTACTAAAAGTAAACACAGACTCATGCTAATATTTGTTTTCTTTTTTGCAAAACAGTTACCTCTAACATAAATGCAATCTTTGACACATTTCATACATGAGAAATTTTTTTTTTAAAAAGCCAACTCACTGTTGACAACCTTCCAGAGGTTTTAAAACTGTGACCGGTAACCGCGATAGATTAATGTCACGCTTGCCTCTGCTGTTCATTCAAACCAGCAGCCAAACACAACACGAGTGTGTTGTGTTTGGCTGCTACGACCAATCCCACCGGGAAGACTCGTCGAGGCTGCAAGAGAGCTTGGGGAAAATCGCACTGCAAAAGCAACGGTCACGTATGTGTGACAGCCTCAAAATAAACGGTTAAAGGGCTCGCATAGAAGTAAATTAACAGCAGTGGTCTTTATACAATTACCCAGTCGAGCCTTCAATTACACACAACCATCATACGAGCCATGCACATTTAGAAACGTCAAACGATTTATTGAAAGTAATTGAGATGCACAATAGGCGACTGTGATTACGGGTTTTTTTTTATAAATTGCGTTTTGTTCCATTCTTAAAAGAATGCATTATTTAAACAGACAATTCCCGTCCCTAATCCGTGTTTCTCTAATTTAATGCTAAAATAAAACCATAGCTTGTCTAGAAACATTGCCTCGCGGATTAACAACAAAAAACATTACCGTATAAAAAGTACTGCAGGGAGAGGTGGGGGGGGATTGATTGGTCTGTCAATCCACATCACATTATACTGCACCCTAATGGACTCTACACAATTATCTTGATTACAACCACTAATCAAGCCTAACACTTCAGGTACGGCATATGTACAATGCGTATAAATTAAAACAGAAATCATGTATTCTCTATTCGCTCTATTCAGACGGACGACGGGTGGATTGTCAAAGAGTGTCTATCACGACTGACGAGGGTTGCCCAGTCCCCACTGCATCGTCATATCCCTTTGCTTGCTGATACAGCAACAATGTGCTCACTGTGGCGTTGAGCCGATCTAAGGGGATACCAATACCGGGCACAGATGCCACTCACCATCAGATGCTACTCACCATCGATGTGGCCTACTCTTGTCTTGAAACGTTTTTTTTTAATATGAATTGGTAAATTGGTAATGATACACACTCTTACGTGTTATAACACAATCTCAGCTTAGGTACAGAGTCTTTAGACCAAAACATGTCGCAGTGTTTCAGGGAACACTGAGCCAACGAAATATTGAAAGTGCTTTTCCTAAGAAAACATTAAAAATGTACACCCATATTTTGTCAGATTTTTTGTTTTTTTACACGACAGACCTTTACAAAAACAGCCTCTGTAAACATGTTTTAATTCTCAAATGTCCGTTCCTACAAACCCACTCGTTGTCAATCTTCCTTCATCAACATTATTTGATGTAATTCTTCCAACCGTGGTCTGGCTCATGAAGGTTCGTTGGGTCATCTACAAAACAAAAGTCACGCAGCAGGCAGAAAAACATAAAAGAAACGAAAATTGATGGGCACAACATCTGTTCAAATGGTCAGCTTTCAATGGGTGCTTAAACTATACAGTGATGTTATTCTGATGTCACCTATCTTCACTCGGTCGAAGTCAAGATTATAGTCCTAATTTTCTCTGTGCTTATCACAGGAGTGTCAGGAGCACGTGGGACCGCAGTGTAAATGGATGGAATATTACTCTCCGTCTTTGCATTGCCACCCACTCATCGCCTACGTCACCGAGATAGGTTACCGTATTTGGTTAAAGCAGGGCAGGAAAGAGCGAATTTTATTTAGCCGTAGGCAAAGAGCCAGCTTTACGCACGCACCAGGTACTTTACGTAAATAACTGAATCCTCGTTGAATTGAAAATGCAAATGGGAAAAACTGCCAAGCAACATTGTTATTTGCTTCGTGAGTAGAGATTGCATGAAGATCAATGCTTGTATCCCAATCACTAATAACAATCAAAAGCATGTCCAATTTTACTTTTGTGGTCATTGACAAATTACACGAGCACCTTAGGATGTGTGTCTGCAAGTTTCTAAGTCGTAAATCTGTGCCGTGAGGGAAGCTTTGGGTGCTTTCTTCGCGTCGCATTAAAGGTCAGTGCAACATGCAGTGCATGATGCTCGTCAGTGCTGTGTCTCTGGTGCTCCATCATCTCGGGAGCTGGTGGTGCCATCACCAGTCCCGCTTTGTGCGCGCAACGCGTCCCATCACAGCTGCTTGCCAGCGGCACCCAGCAGAATTGAAGGCAATCCGAGAGACGCGAAATAATTTGCGACGAGCAAGACGGTCCGAACTCACCATCGCACGGACCCTTCTGGATGGTGATGTCGTCCAGCGAGATGTCACCACTCGCGCTCGGCCCGGAGATTGCCGTGAACACAATCTGCAAGAGAAAGGCGATGCAATCGGCGGGGAGGGGCGCTGTTTGACCCACCGCCAAAATACGTGACGGGGCCGACGGCGGCCGAGCAGCGCTAGCGCACCTGGTGGTCGAAGGCGCTGCTGTACTCCACGAGGGCCCGCCGCCAAACGTCGCCGTGCTCCCCCCACCGGGCCCAGAGCGCCGCGTCGCGCCGTGCCGGGTCCTGCCCCTCGCGGAGGCTCACGCTCAGCTCCCCGACCCCGGCGCCGTGCAGGTGGCAGAAGAACGAGAGGCAGCGAGCGCCCGGAACGCCGCGCAGCTTGGGCGACAGCAGGCTGGCGCGCCGGCCCGGCGGCATGCCGCTCGCCTCGATGTACACGTAGTGGCCTGCTCCGGTAACACGCAACGGGCGGGTTGTTGTTGAGCGGTCGGGGGAGCGCTGGCGGTGAGCGCCCGTGAGGGCAGGCAGGCTGGCGTGGAACACGACGGGACCAGCACCAACTACAAACTAAAATATATATTTTTTCTTTTACCAGGTAAGGCCCACTATGTGAATGTATGTTGAACTTCTTTCGCACCGTACGCAGCGAATCGTGCTAACTGGAGGTGCGGGCTATATAGGTATTTTTCAGAAGTGACCTGGCCACAAATGATAGCTCAACGAAGTGACTTATCATTTGGAAATTTAGAGCAGCCAAATACTCTGAACACATGTTGATTCTACATGTGGAGGGTAAAACCAGAGGACTCGCATAAAAAATCCACGTGACCATGGGGAAAGAGACGCGCAAACTCTAAATTCTACATGTGGGGGGTAAAACCGGAGGACCCGCAGAAAAATATCCACGTGACCATGGGGAAAGAGAGAGACGAGCAAACTCTAAATATACAGGTGTCAGGGTCGGGATCGAACCCACTACCTCCTGCATACTAGGCGAGGTAGTTAACATCTCACCGCCGTGGTGCCCCTGTGAGCAAACCAAACTCCTCAGAATCGGAATCTTTATTTATCCTTGAGAAATCCTTGTTGTATTTGCACTACTGATGTCCACTGAGTATCGCATAAGGTCGTGTTGATCTCGAGGAGGCCCAGAGCGGGTTAAAATATAAGTTGCCGCTGGTGCCATGCTTGGCGATGGTGCTTATACTCATGTCAGATCACTGAGCCAGCACAAACCGAGTTCTCAATTGTAGCGAGTTGATGCTCTCATCTTATTCACCAAAATGACTGCAGCAAAAAAATAAACTCGTTGAAAAAAGAAAATATCACCTAATTTGGCGATTCCCACCGTGAGAATTTAACATTTTTTTTCCCTTTGTGAATGTAACACCATTTTAAAAGTAAGAGTGCTATTGAAGGGATGAGAATTTACGTGAAGTTGTTCTCTGACAGAAGAAGATTTCCTGTTTGCCATGAAACGTGGAAACATCAATGTCTTCATCACGTGATGCGGTGTCAACTTCTTCTTCTCCCTGTCAGTTCTAAATTGGCGTTGGTGCCAAATTTTTGTTTCTGTGGTCTGGTATACAGCAAGTGTTTGACCAAAACTCCTCGCGGGATGCCGTCTTGACACACATTCATTTCACCCAGGCAGCCTTTTGCCATGTCAGACTCAGCGACTGACATCTGCCACATCAACAAAGCGGGTGCAATGACACGGTGCCAGTAGCTCGATTAAATGATGAACAGCAAAGGAAGCGAGATAAAAAAAAAATACGCGTAAATAAGAAAAATATCTGGCACTATTTCGACACATACGTAGGATGGACAACAAAAGGAAAATTAAAAGTGTGTTGTTTGGAAAAATGGAAGGAGCCGGAAAGAGAGGAAGACCGGAACAGAGAATGGTTTGACGACGACATAAGATTATATTAAATGCTTACCCCGAGCTCTCAATACTCTGATAGTGCGCTGTTTTTGAGTTGTACGCCTTTTGGTGTCATCTGGTCCAACACCAATGGAGACTAAGCTCTAAGAAAAGCCGTCTCGGGTGTGGACCAATCAATTTCAAGGACAGTGCATATCATTATCAGAGTTGTCTCTTTTGTTTGCATTTTGACTGCTTGTGTTGTGGTTATTGCAAACATGATCCCTTGTATAAAGGTGTCAGTTTTGGTGCCAGATAATAGGGTAAAAACCTATTACTACTACGACGACGTAAGAGATTGGTGCCAGAAAGATGTGGTATTACTTGAGAAAATTGGCACAAGACTAGAGGAAATGGGAAACAAATGAGAAACTGTGCAGTAGACACCTACGGCCTATCTGTCCACGGATCGCGATGATGATGATGATGATAAAATATGAGAACAGGGGGAGGGGAGAGGAGGAGGGAGTACGGCAGAGCCGGGCACCGTGTCCGGTGGTGTGGTCGCCCTGGGGGCCCGTCGAGGACGTGGGCGTATTGCCGCTCCGCCTCAGCCACTTGAACGTCTCCCGCACATCGTGTCTGTAGCCGCACAGGCCCTCGTCGAAGTCGCAGTTGGCCAAGCTCCGGGGTGCTGCAACAGCGGCGGCAGCGGCAGCGGAGGTGGCAGTCACGACGAGGCCTGTTCGCAAGCCTGCAGCCTCTGTCCGGTCTAGTTTCAGGTTTGTTTTTAACCAGGTGAGATGTTACGTACGTAGCCAACGGTGTGAGATCCCAAGGGACTAGGATAGGTGACCTGGGTCACCAAAATGGCAAGAGTAAATCAACCAAATAGAAATCGGAGCAAAATCAACTCTGTCGCCATGAGAAAATTGAAATTATTGCCCGAACGCAAATGAATATTAAGAATTCGTTTCATGTCACGGAAGTCGGCTCGGGCAGATTCCTGTTTTTGACTGACCATGGTACAATTACAATTAAGTTGCAGAGCCACTGAATGCATATCGGCTGACCGTTGCAAACCCATTGTAAACAGACAATGATAGTTATTCTCCAAGCCGGCACCTCTCCTGCCATTAACACTGTCTTGTATATTAAAAACGAGTGATAAAATAAGGCCGGCTGAAAAGAGCACTGTGTTCATTTCAATTGTCGGTGCAAACAAAAACGAATCATGTAAATATACAGCAATTAATCTATTGTAATCGATACGTATGCTCGCGACACACGCATTGAATAATGCATGCAGAGGTGATTTATGATTTATGCCCATAACATGATAACGTGAGTTTTAAGTTATTGTACAAGTCGGCTCGGGCAGATTCCTGTTTTTGACTGACCATGGTACAATTACAATTAAGTTGCAGAGCCACTGAATGCATATCGGGTGACCGTTGCAAACCCATTGTAAACAGACAATGATAGTTATTCTCCAAGCCGGCACCTCTCCTGCCATTAACACTGTCTTGTATATTAAAAACGAGTGATAAAATAAGGCCGGCTGAAAAGAGCACTGTGTTCATTTCAATTGTCGGTGCAAACAAAAACGAATCATGTAAATATACAGCAATTAATCTATTGTAATCGATACGTATGCTCGCGACACACGCATTGAATAATGCATGCAGAGGTGATTTATGATTTATGCCCATGACATGATAACGTGAGTTTTAAGTTATTGTACAAATGCATAAGGAACAGTGAAAAATGCACACGCCAAAATAGTTGGGGAAAAAATGAGACGAAAATATATTTAAAAAAAAGACTTCATCCAAAACGTGCACACTGGCTAACGCTTCCTTAACATGGCTATACAGCCCGGTCCATGAGTTCTCCGCGATTCAAGCTTTGCGTTAGTAAATATCGCTGAAGCTCTCCAGAAGTTTAACCAGATGCAGTTGCAATCGCAACCTCTGCTTGACTTACATCGTTCGAGTGGAACAGCGTGACACGCCTCCGCACGGCAACGCCACGTTGATGCGGGTGCTGAGTCAGTCGCTATGAAACGTCGGTGGGGACATTCGGAGACTGGCGGGTGCTCGCCCTGCGCTTTGTTCGCAAAAAGTTGGTTCTGAACCAACTACACGTGGCAGTGATGGGTGAAGGAGCTCTCAAGTGCATTGAGCACAATATCCTCATTGTGTAAACACGAGGTTAGTGAGTTTAAAACGTAGGCTTTCGCGACCAATATCAGCCATAAGAGGGTTTTTTTGGGGTTAATCGCATAAATGTGTCGTCAAACCCGCCGCCACCCGACACAGCCAATTAGTAAGGTTTGTCACGTAAACAAAACGTGCCAATTCATTACTAGTTCATCACACACCGACGTTGGAGAGTAAACCCACAACATTTGCAATTCGAGTATTGTGACGTTTCACCGGTAACTACAACCAGCCTCATCAGTCGACAGCCAGAAGTTGTGGAGAAATATTCCCTTTTCGGTCAAAAATGTCGCACGGACATGATTTATTTCATGAAGCGTTATGCCGTAAAATACCCTCGAAAGTTAGCTTCAGTGAAGGACCGTCACGCCAGCAGTGGCGTGAGCAAGCAACTTGCAGGGCGGCACCTATATCGATTGCTCAGCGGGCTGCTGATGCGCTAAGCATTCATCCTCCGCGAGTCACTCTGGCGGATGAGACCATTAAACGCCAGCCGGAGATTGAGTCTGGAGAACAAAGTGTCCCATTGCAGGGAGTGACGAGACGTAAACTCTGCCATAAACACACCCGCAATCAGCGTAGCTGGGCAGTGGAGAGTCATAGGCGGGCGCATTTAGCAATTAACAAAAACGTATACTCCTCTGTGCTGTGCGTGCCTTGAAGAATCACATAGCAAAGCTGTACATTTAAATAACATAAACCACGTGGCTTATCGGCATTTTATGTCGAACAAGTATTTAAAATATCTTTGCAACTTTTATTGCGTTATGCAGCTGGACGTGTATCATGATTCCAATGGCACTTTACTCCGAAAAAAATAAACACCTCCCCTTGTTGTGCAATGTCCATACTTTGGAAACATTATGAGGACCTCTGGATTCGAGGAATCGGTCTTCGCTTGGGAATGGAGAAGGTAGCAGGGGCAGAGGTCCACCTCGGAGGAGGTGGATGGATGACATCAAGAACACCGCTGCCTTACACACTAACCCAGCTACGAGAGGCAGCGAGAGACAGGTGGTGTGGCTGGTGGAGTCTGGTGATGGATGTCACCAGAGGTCGTACTCGACCTGACGGCACAAGGTGACAAGGTGATGCGCATGTCCCAGCTTTCTCTGCAGTGCAGCGCTGTAAGATGCAGCAGCAGTTGGACACCATATGAATCCAAATTTCATTGTTTTATGGAGATGCACTGTATTCCATTTTAGTGTATTGGGGAGTTTGGGTTTGTGGGTGTCAGTCGAAAATATTAAACATCTGTAGATTGTTTCTTAGGTGGCCCTGAGCAGAGGTGGAAATCTCACTTTCCTGTGATGAGATGAGGTCTCCTTGTAGGACAACCACCGTTAATTTCCCGTAATTTGATACTGATTTCATCTACCCCGGAATGGATGACTGGCTAAGTTGACCCTGGCCAGGACTTGACCTTAAACGTTTCTGATTGGGAGTCGAGTTAACTTACCACGGCACCACTCAGCCCAAAGGTAAAGAAAACGCTAGCCATGCCATGAGCAGAAAAAAATAAATTTGGAATGTTAAAATCAACTCCTATGCTAAGGAAACATTATTTTAATAATTGACTTTGATTTATGCAAAGTATATGCCAAATGAACTGTAAACGAGACACTTAGGCAAAGTAAACAAATACTAATCTACAAAGGAACAAGAAATACAGAGACATGCAAATAGAATGGTGAAAATGAGCAGCTAAAATCAGCTCTGAAATATAATTGTGACAATTGATTGCATTGTTTTTGGAATGAACTCATAATCTATATGATCTAGATAAAATGTAAAATCAAACTGAAATGCGAAGTATAACAGTGTGATGTAGAGCTTTGATTGCGTACCTTTACTTTGCATGCAGTTGCCATGGGTAAGAGTGATGTCATCCAGAGATATCTTTCCACAAAGCAATGGGCTGAAGCAGTGAACCACAAACATGATCTGCAATAAGAGCACAGGAAGACATTAAATAACTGCACTGAATTGCACGTGACATAATTTCTGTATGTGAACTGACAGCCATCTCAATCCGAAGGTGCTTAATGATAGAGCGAAAACACCTCATCTGTAAATGAGTTGGTGCCCGAAGCGGCCAAATGGCCACACGTCCAGTTCTCTTTGAGCTGGTGATCTGGAGACGTTTTTTTCAGTGGGGGTGGCGATGTTTCTACGTGTAATCCCAATTGAGTAATTCGCAGATACATTTGCACCATCGACAGGTTTGGGCCAATGCCAGTTACATTGTACGGCTATGTTTTGGCTCTCGGAGGAAACAAGAGAACCCGGAGAAAACCCAATGCCGAGCACGGGGAGAATAAACAAATTCCAGGGAAAGGCACCCGACTCAGGAATTGAACCAAGGCCCTTCTTGCTATGAGGCACAAGTGTCACCGCTGTGCCAATTTGTCGCACCCAATGGCAACAATGCTGCTACCGATGACGATCACAATGACAATGGCCATGATTATCTTTAATCCTAGTGATGACCCTGGCCAGGTCGTTTTTGAAAAAAATCTATATAGCTCAGTGGGCCTTAGCGAGTAAAATAAAAAAGAGTAAATAGTCCCTGCTCGGTGTGTATGGTATTTTTTACAGGCTACAGTTTATCTTTTAAAAAAAAAGCACACCAATCAACCATCACATTGCAGCAATCCCCATGAACTGTTTGGTTGTAAAAATAGCTGAAGCATGAAACACTTTATACAAGATGATGAGTGATTATGTGTTTTTTTTCTTGCTGCAGTAGTGTCATGTGAAGAATTGCAGAAGTCCTGTCAAATATAACCACGTCATGCTACCAAAAGCAGCACACAGATATAACTTAGTAAACATAACTCGGCTTGTAACAAAGCATCGACTCTCCAATAAATATAAATTCTTAAATTCATGATGCATGTATTAAATCACGTGCGCAAAAACCTACATTTTATTTTATTTAAATACGTTGTACGTTGCATGTGACCGGCACACGTGACCACCGCAGCTACTTAAAGGCAGTACCATTCACTGCAGTGTCAAAAATTGAACGCGACTTGAATTGAATCGCCGGTGACAGTGGTGAATCATTACACCTCTAACATATGTGGATGTCAAATTCTTACACTGTCAGTATCGGTGTTCGTCATAGGGGTTTTGGGTGATGATTTCGGTATGGAAGCTGAGACGGAGCGATGAGACCGGCTCGTGCACAACAGTCAGATGGATCGTGGCATTTCAGGGCCATGTGGGATTGTCAGAGTGTGGGGTGGGGTTTCACTCATAGGCGGGTCGAACACGACCGTTGATAATGATGATGAAGAGCTAGCTGAGAGGAGGCACCATACGGACGTGGATTGAAGACCCTTCTACAAGGGATGATCACCGATGGACAAGCACAGGTGGACGACAGTGTGGGAAACAGACCTACAAACTTGCAGAACGTACGCCAGTCACATTGAATGCAACTAAAGCGGCAAACCGCTCTTAACAGAGAATACACAAGTGGCAGTATATTAAACAAATACGAGGGTATGGGCTCTACATACCATATTTTAATAATAAATCCATATTTTGTCCAGCAGGTTATGGGCCTTCTGTTCCAGTATTTTTCAGCAGCGTTTGTTAAGCGGGAAAATGTTTTATTGGTTTTGACTTAGTAAGCTTCACCAGCAGCGTGTGGCCCAACAAATAATGCTGGGTTGTCCTGTGTCGCAGGCAAGAGCCCTCCAGAGAAATAAAACTCTACATTAGAAATTGTTGATGAAGTAATATGATCGAGTAAGCTATGAACGTTTTTAACCCAAGTGTTTCATCTGTTGTTGGGTACAGGGCACAGAATGAAGAGATTGCGGAAATTAATTCAGTGGCGTTTTTTACTGCACGGTTGCTTCCCTGTTTTAATTTGGGTTAGGGTTGGGGGGAGTAAACTATCGATGTTTTCAGAGGGACAATTCTTCATGGGTTGGTTGACACAACTCTTGATGGCAAAGCAATTGTGATAAAAGAGGTGATCAGGTGGTGCAGGAGTAGCCAACCGCAATTAAACTGGGTTCTCAAGTTGATTATCCCAGCCAGACCACCAATAACTGCACACAAAAAATCCTGAACAACATTTTTGTTTCCACTTGAATTGGCTTAATTCCAGCTCTAAGATTTACAAAACACCCGTTTGATTGTCACGTGATGAACGTGTGTAGCTAGCAATGCGATCGCTTGAAGGGATCTCACAAGAAGTTCTGTGAAATCCGCTTCAGCAGGCCATTTCCCCTAGCACGCGGGGGAGGAGGGGGGGGAGGGCGTGACATAAAAAGCCACCCCGGTGCAAGGCTTTTGGAACGGACGCGTCAACCCGTGGACGTGGCGGCCGAGAGCACGACACGTCCCGTTGCTACGACGCGAGATCGGCCCGACGACCGACGCGCACCCGGTGCGGATGCGACCGCCGGACGTTGATCTCCGCCTGCAGCCAGCCGTGGTCCGGGCGTCTCGCCGAGCTCCACAGCGTCTCCTCGGCCGCCGGCGCCCCCGGCGCCGCCGGCTCGGGCCGCCCCCGCGTGGAGCGCAGCGCGGGGACGTCCCGCGCTCGCACGTGCAGGCGCGCGGCGGCGGCGCCCGTCGTTGCGCGGAAGAAGCGCAGGCAGTACTCGCGCTCGGGCGGCAGCTCCGGAGAGACGAGGCGCGCGATCGGCTCCCGTGACAGCGCCCGTCCGCTCGCCGCCGCGAAGTGACCTGCGCACGGTCCCGCGCGTGCGCGGTCGCAGACGACGACGATAAAGATTCCCCCGTGAAGCCTCGACAGACCGTTGGGGGCAAGTGCTGCTAGCGAGGGGGGTGGGTGGCCAGCACCACGTGGTGGCAATGGTTATTGAATGCTCCAGGTATTCATTTGAGGCTCAGTCGACCTTGGGGAGGGCCAGGACTTGGGTCTCACGAGTGCACTCACGCGCACGCGCGCAGCCAGCATTCTCAAAAATCAAAGTGATGTTCGGCTCAAATCCGCATTAGGTCGCCGCTCGTCTCTTGTCTACAGCCCTCAGCCAGTTGCGGAAATTCTACATTCCTATGACGGTGGGAGAGTCTCTCCATTTGACAACCTCTGTTGACGTCCCCCCACAAAGTGGTACTCGTTGACCGACCCTGGAAAAATCATAAGGCTGAGTCAACCCCCAACCAGGATTTGAACTCGCAACCTTGTGACCACGAGCTCTACAGCTGAGCCACCTGGCCACAGTGAGTTATACGAGCCGTGGCGCTGCTGATTAAAAACACGGAAATGAGGTGTAAGGGGGGGGGGGAGTGTACTCGAGATTCTGTGGTTCGTGCAAATGCAGTATTAGTGGTTGTGTTAGGCCAACTACACCAAGTGGTACCTACACAGAGTATGAGCAGGCCAGGCAGGTCACTGAGCCAACATCACTGAGTTCCTAGGTTGGAATCCAGACAGCCACTCACGATTAAACCAGGTTCTCTGGTGTTAAAAACCCAGCCAACCAATGACATCTTTACAAGGCATAATGGTGCACTGTCTGGTCGTGGCCAATTGAAATGCTGCCAGAAGTACTTGCATAACATCGTCATCATCAGTCCTGATTTAATGCACCGTTCCCTATGAGCGTTCACGACGGAAGGGGTAAAGATTAATCATCCCGTTACATGAAAGTCGGTATCACCACTGCCACCCATAGGGAAGATGACAGGGAAAATGTACAATATAATTTGAATGTATTTAATTTTTCTAGGGATGGAGACAGTCTATCATGAGCAGAGGCACGGAGGAAGGTCTTGGGCCTGGAATTTAAGAGAATCACGAAGTCGACAGCACGGAATGGCTGGGTGGGGGAGGGCAGTACAACAGGGCAAGAATCACGTGTTTTTTTATATTTCACATGCGGCACGATGGTTTCACCATAGCCCGTCGTGTGGTCTCCCTGTGGCGTGGTGTAAGGCGAGCCCGAGCTGAACTTCCAGCGAGAGTTCCCCGGCTGTTGCTTCCAGTAGCAGAAGCCGTTCTCGAAATCGCAGTCCGTCATCTGCTTCAGGAAGCCTGTGCAGCCGTCAGCAGAGCAGAGGCGTGGACAGAGGGCAGCACCACAACGCTAAACGGTCCCGGTTCCACGCGCACCACCCGGTCTGGAGTGAAAATAGTCGAGCATGAAAATAAGGGCCAATCAGACAAGATGTATATTAATGCGGACAGCTGAGAAAAATGTCCAGTTCCTACATTAGCTTCTGGGAAGAAAATTAGTTCAATACGTTAACAATAAATCATGATCTCTGTACTGTACTGTTAAACGAAATTGCACCAGAATACAATGCAAGCAATTCGATCGATATTGCCACTACATTTGCATTCAAATAAATCGCGAGCGACTTCAAAGCAAAATGTTTCCAAATGCAGAATAGATTTCGTGCATGAGACTGGCTTGATTTGTTAGAAAGCACTAACGCAGATGAACTTGAATGCATTACATTTTTTTGTGTAATTTTAAAATCACCTCCATGTGCAGTTCACAAGGCGGCTAACTGAAAGGGCCGTCCTTGGCCACGGCATGGAAAAAGTCCTCAGTTGCTGGTGGAGCCGGATTGACAACGACGATCAGCTCATGTTGGAGACCCATGACCGAAAGGATGGCCTCTAATGACGAGCCAATACTAACGTGCAGATGGCTATAGAAGCCTTGCTAAACCATCTGACATACAACCATTCGTGAATGCGATATAGGATGAAAGCCTCTGCATGCCGTGTCAGTCGTGGGGGTTGTTTGACCATACTTCACCGAGGTGGTCAACGCAGATGCCTATCTCCTCGGGATCCTCATTGGTAAAGCTCTTACTAAACTACGCTGTGCACAATGGTCCCCTTCTAAGCCTTAATCCAGCACCAGAGTGTATTTTGCTCAGCAAAGAAAGGTCGTGGTCTTGCCTTGCTTCTCTTCTTCGCAGGGACCCGGATGGAAGGACACGTCGTCCAGAGCGACGAAGCCTTTGGACGTGCCCAGGACGGTCCCCTCGAACACGACCTGTGGCAAAGCAGGGCCCGAGTTAGCGAGCAATAAGCGCGTGAATGCACTGAGAGGAGTATTCTTCAGCCTCTCCCCCTCGCACGAAAGAAGGGCCCCCTGCCAGAAATGTTTGCCCGGTACGTAAATGTTCTTCATCTGTAGGGCAGTGTATTGAGAAATGTGTTGAGTTTTTGTCATAAATTAAGGAACGCTTCACAGGGAGGTTAACAACTCGTCCCGCCACAAGAAATTAGGAATTTCCACACCGGCAGTGACATGGCCCATCTGTAGCACATTCGACGCTTGTTGCAGAGGTTCTGGTTACCCACAAACATACGCGGCCATCTACTTCACACTGGACGTATGCCGGCGTCATGGTCAAAATTTGCCTGGCAGGACCGTCCTGAAAAAAGTAGTCATGAGGCTCGGCGAGGCTTTCCTGGGTAAACAGGCGTGATAACAAAACAAATCAGGGCCTCTAGGGGCATTGGGTACCAGCCCATTGCATGTTGAACGGGGAGATGTTTAGATGTGTTTGCCTTTGACGACATTATACTCAATTTAAAACAAACACAAAGTTAAGCAATGAAAAGCACGCATTGTTTTTCCGTATCAATTTCAACGGTGGAAGAGCCGTGCGTTTTCCATCTGTAATTCACCGCAGTACCTGCCCCGTCTTCAACAGAGAGACTGGGTAGAATTTATATTTTTAAATATTACTCTACCCCAAGATGAAAGTTGATGTCCCCAAAAAGTTTTGACATTGTGGCTCTCCTTTAAAGATGCTGCCTCAGAAGCACCAAAAACAACAACAACAAAAATCCACGAGCCAGGGCCAAGCAGTGAAGAAAAACTCCTACCAGGTGAGAGCTGGCAGCCCTGAGCCCACGTGAGATGAGCTCTCGATAACAGTGGTTCTGTTCCTAAGCGACACAGCACTTTCTGACATCATCTTTGAGGAATGTCAGGGACATTTACGTAGCATTACTACGATCCACGGTGCGTGAGATGTTTAATACCTTGCCCGGTATGCAGGAGGTCGTGGGTTCGATTCCGACCCTGACGTCTGCATATTTGGAGTTTGCGTGTCTCTCTCCCCGTGGTTGTGTGGATTTTTCTCCGTATCCCCCGGGTTTATCCCTCCACGTTTAGAAACATGCGTTTAGTGTATTTGGTTGCCATAAATTTCCACATGATGAGCCCCTTCGTTGAGCTATCATTTGTGGCCAGTTTGCTTCTGAAAAAGATCTATATAGCTCAGCGGGCATTACCTGTTAAAATAAATAAAAACATAGTTTAGCTTAGTTTTCATGGCCAATCATTGAAAATAATGGAAAGACCACCCCCCTTCCACAATAGGAATGTGGAATTTCCTCTAATGACTCTGGGTCTCAAACAGGAGTGGGTGCAGCTCCGTTCCTTGTGTGTGCATGGAGGCGTTTGGATCGGTTTGACTTTGACAATGTTCTGTTCAATTTATAAACAAACTAAATTAGCAAAAGCTAAACAATAAAAAATAAAATATTTGCACGTCATTTTTCTGGATCAACAAACCCTGGCAAGGACAAGACGGTTAAATGAACGTGAACAAAAAAAACTCAACACATTCGGCAATAACATCGCCTTAAAAATGAAACACATGTGAAAGGTGACGTCGTTACGGCTAAGAAAAAGGACCGTTACCCGATATGTCACCTGTGATATAAATATATATTTGTTTACTGTTTAGATCACAGTGTCATTGACGAATGTGTTGTGTTTTATCGTTAATGGTGCTTGAGCCAACGCAGCATCACCAAACAATTTGTCGAACGAGGGTTAAATAGTTTAACCTTGCAGGAACCCAATTAGAATATAAACCTGTGGGGTCGTGGGGACGGAGTGGAAGGGATGCATTGTGGAAAGGGTTGCCAACCAGAGGTGTGCAACGATCGGAAATTGTAACGAAGATCAGAGAGCAACTGCGCCAATAAAGCCATGGCGTCGGCTTCCAGCCAGGGCTTGGTGACTCATGTGGATATATTACACTCCTGTGTCTGCTGGGCTGTAAGGTGGCCAAGAGAGAGCGGTGTAATAAACGGAGCAATGAACCAATCTGTGCGGACCTTGTGACTGCTATCCCCTCAAATGCAAAACATCTTTCTCCAGATACACTTTTTGTTGTTAATGAAATGTAAAAAAAAAATCAATCCTTGAAAAGCAATTGGCAAAATGGCCCAATGTAATAGCCTCCTGTAAAAATAAGTATCGAATCTAATTGAGGCATTTCTTGATAAATAATGATCACTCGATATTGATAACCTCATAAGGTTGCAACATCATAAACATAGCACGGACTAATAATTGCACGTAATAATTATAATTAGATTTGTCAACAATTTTTTTGAACATCAGCCTCAATTTCCAGTCCAGCCGAAAAGCCTCAAATTGAGACTTTGAATAACCTTCTACGTGACTTTACCGAAAGAACCAAGAATATGTACTCACATGTGTCAAGAGTGTTTCTCTCAAACTTCATTAACCTGCTGGGATTATGGCTCACAATATTCAACCCGTGCCAGTCGGTGACGGCGGTTGGGAGAGAGAGAGAGGGAGGGAGGGGTGAGGAGGCCCGAGAAGGCGAGGAATTTGCCTGTGCTGGAATGCAGGCCCAATCCATCATCCTGGCACAGCCCATTGCCTCCAGGTGGTCTGAGGAGCATGGCAACCACACATGTGGCAGGGCTAGGCAGGTAGACAATGACGTGAGGGCTAGGTGCAGGCACCAACAAGTTGATTGTCCCAAGGAATGTAAGGTTACTCGAATAATGTCTGGTATGGGGCGAAGTTGGAAGTCACGAGTTAAAATCTCAGCCGAGGGATGACTAAGCCTACCGTATCCGTGGGGTCAATGAAAACAAGTACAACGTTGTGCCAGGGTCAACAGAGATCGTTCAATGGATAAAGTTCCTCAAACCGCGTCCGATTGAAGTTTGGCAGATGCGGCTATTTCCAATCACAAACGGATAAGAACGGGTCACACTGTGGTGTGAATGCGATCTGTTCATCAGAACATACACTTCGCTATCAACCCGGCGACCAGAGCTTGACTCCCGGTCACTGTCGAACGTCAATGGCGAGTGATATCTCAAATGGTCCTGAGTCCCCCCCCATCCCCACTCTAAACTTCACCAACCTGCACTGGCCAGAGTCGTGAAATTTGGCCCAACAAGCCCAGGCCTGACTGACAGTATGGGGGAGTCCTTCGCCAAGTAGATTGACACTTATATATATGTTCTGAAGATTCAATTATAAATGGTAATGCGCCAAGAGAACAGGCATTCATTCTAGATTTGAAGTTTTCGTGACTGGAAGGATCCATACTCTTTGGTTCTTTCGGTAAAGTCACATAGGTAAAAAATAAATAAAAATTTAAATAAAATAAAACAAAAATGAAAACAACTAAATTAAATCACGACGTTTCGGAGGCAACACAAGCTTCCTTCATCAGGTGTAAAAAGCACAGCAAAATTAGTGTAGAGAGAGCTATTTGTGATGAGAGATTAATGATATAGGGTAAGAGGATGGGGGAGGAGCCAGGGAGGACGGACGCAGGGTGGGGGGGGGGGGAGCCAGGATGGTAAAGCTGCTCCTGCTATTGCTCCTGTACCACGGATGGGGAGGGGGGGACGCGTGGTACAGGAGCAATAGCAGGAGCAGCTTTACCATCCTGGCTCCCCCCCCCCCCCCTCCCTGGCTCCTCCCCCCTCCTCTTACCCTATATAATTAATCTCTCATCACAAATAGCTCTCTCTACAGTCATTTTGCTGTGCTTTTTACACCTGATGAAGGAAGCTCGTGTTGCCTCCGAAACGTCGTGATTTAATTTAGTTTTAATTTTGTTTCATTTTATTAAGTAATTAATTAATTTAGTTTTACCTATGTGACTTTACCGAAAGAACCAAAGAACAGGCATTCAATTGCGTAAAGACTTTCACATTGCCCTTCAATTAGCCAGGGAAGCCTCAACTGAATCTCAAGACTTTATTCAGGTTTCCTGCATGGGACACTCAGCCAATTCTGTCTTAAATTGTTATAAGCATCGACAATAACAGGACTGCTCAGATAAAGACACACAACCAGTGCATAGGAATAGCGCTCAAATCTGCACAGACTGCCCAGTAATCTGCTTGCTGTGCTATGACTTACTTACCACCTTACAGCCATGCAGACAGGTTTCTAGTACATATCCCAATGTCTGAACGATGATACAATCCGCCCTCCAGAGCAGTGGTTGCAGGTGCCCAAATAATTTCTGAGATACGTTGGCTGCGTTACAGAGAACGCAGCTAGAAAATACGTTACCACCACTGGCTTACATCCCAGGGATGTGAAGAATTGAAATGTTGACTCTCGGAGAAGGGGCATTTATCGTTACAAATGAGGCGTTACTCCTCTTCCCTCGATCGTACGGCCTCGAACGCTTTGCTCGCGAATAAACGTTGACAATCCCGAAGCGATCGCCGATCCCTTGCCCCGGCCCAACGGCCAGATTGATTGAGCGACGGGCGACCGCTGGCGACCGTCGCGAAGGCGCGAGTTGCCTGGAAGGGGTGCGTCATCTCCAGATGCGTCGACGCCGCCTCCCAGCTGCCCAGGGTCGAACCGGCCCAGCGCCACAGCTCGTGGACGTAGCCGCCAGCTTCTTGCGCCCGCACCATGAGGCCATCCTCACCGCCGCCCTCCACCTGCACGGGACGTCAACACGAGTTCTGGGCTGGCCCCCTGGGAGCGTTTCAGATGTCGGTCGCCACCGACGTTAGCCGTGGCCGTAAATAAAAATCAGGTCCCCTGGGTTCGGAGGGTAATTGGCAAACTACTGCGCCAATGCTAAACATTTTTTGTTAAATTATTACCAATTCTAAAAGGGAATTACGACACTGATACAATTTGTCGAATCGCTGGGAAGGGAATAATTGTTCTCTCTCTACAATAAACGCTGACTTGGCTGGTACTCGCCGGGTGGCACCATGGAGCTTGCACACAACAGCAGGGGTGAGCGGAGTGAAGTGCCGCCACCCTCCCCCCCACTGTGTGGAACAAAGGTTACATCTTGACTTAAAGCTTTAGTGACTGCAGGAATTCATATTCTTTGAGTCTTTCGGTAAAGTCACGAAGATAGGTTCAAAGAAATAATTTTTACAAAAACTACGACGTTGCGTGACTTTACCGAGAGACCCAAAGAATATGAATTCCTGCAGTCACGAAAGCTTGGAAGTCAAAATTTATCCTTGATTGTCAAGTCAGGTGATGACGATCGCTTGTGTTGCGATCGAAACGTTGTAGTTTTTATAAAAAAAATTTACCTACCCACGTGACTTTACCAAAAGACCCAAAGATTAATCAGGATAACATTGGGGAGGGGGGAGTCGGGGGGAAGCGGGGGGGGGGGGTTTACAGCAGCGCTGTAGTATCAGAGGGGCTGGGGGGGATGAGGCCCCCTGCTGAAGGCTCAGCCACCCGAAACATTCCCACGGTCAAATCAAAATGTGTCGGTGCAATAACTAACACCAGTGGCAGCCTATCGTCACATACACAGAGCTAGCGGAATGCACGATGTACAAAAAGGAGATCATACCTGTACTCATTCTATGAAGCGTTTAACATTTGTTAAAGCTTAACATTGACTGTGTCGTGGCCCCCTTAAGTTTGCATAAACCCCCCCCCCGGCCCCCTCCCCCATTTAAACAAAAGGTCACGCTACACGTGGCTGGCTAACTGTGACCCTCATGGCCCTTGCCTGGTAGTGAAAGCGAAGGCAGCCCGGTAGAGGGTCGGTCACCATCGGGGAAGCGAGGCGCGCCGTGCCTCCGAGCCCTCGCGTGCCGTGCCAATTCACGAGCAGGTAGTGGTGACCTGCACAAAAAAGACATGGACGAAGTTTTCTCCGCATAGCCAGAACAGGCCGTTGGGGTCAAGTGCTGTTGGCGAGCGCCTACAAGAGGCCCGCCACGGCAACACGAGGGGGCCGGTGGCCAGCTCTCCCCTGTGGCGACGTTTACAAACCGCACTAGGGGAGGCCGAGGATCGGTTTAGATAATCGTCACTGGTGTTGGTGGTAGCCGTGAGCGGGAATTGAACCGGGGTCGCTGGGGTTCGTCGCACAGCGCGCTAATGACAGTGCCACACACACACACATCCCACACGCTCAAGTCACTCCGATTGCCCTCCGTTCTAGTGCAGGCACAAATGCTACAACAACAACAACAACCGCGCTTGTCCTGTACAAAATAACAGCTGCGACTGCGTCGGCCGCATGACCTCATCCCTGAATGTGCAGAAATCCACTGCTACATCCCAGGCAATGAGTCACTCCATATAATTTGTGATATGAAAAAAAGGAAATGTGTGTAATCTGAGACACAATATCAAATAATGCATGACGAGATATTAAAACAGGCAAGCGTGGCATTGTGGGTAAACCCATAACATCCTGCACGTTCTTTCGAACCTGATAGCCAACGGCGTGTTTTGTGTTTCAAATTTTCAGTGTTTTTTCGTTTCCCACTTGCTACATCAAAAAAAACTACATAAGCAACAAACGAAAATTATTTGTTGCACAATGCAACATCTCACGATGCAGGTTTATACATGAAACTATAATTAGAATTTTTCCTATGTCTGCAGCACAACAATAACTGGTTTGTTTCCTATTAAATTGTGTTTTGTTTAACTTAACTTACATAAGACTCGGCAAAAAATGTAAAATAAAGTAAATTTACAGCCAAATAAAATTCCCGCTGTAAAAATGTTCTTTGTCAAAGTCATATTCCAAGTGCAGCCTCTGGAACTAGTTGGCAATTGGACAAATAAGGTAATATATCGTAAACAGCTCAATGTGATCAGTCTCCTTAATCTTAATGAAATCTGGAAGGGACTTTGCTGACAACCGTGATAAATTTGATGTCACTCCGATTTAAAATGCCAAATTACACATGGGAAAAAACACACACACACACATACAATAACCAACAACAGCAAAAACACGCACGAAAGATCGCCGTACAACCCACAAAGACTGCTAGGGCAAAGTGCTGTTGGTGAGCACCTATTAAATCCGGCACGGCATACAAGGGGATGTGGACAACCAGCAGCGTGGTTGGCCACCTACGTATCTCTCCCCGGTGCTAGTGAGGCCAAGTAGCAGTTCAGATATCACTCATCACTTCTGTGAGCAACTGGCAGTGAGTCAAACTCAAGCCGCCAAGTATGAAGCGCATTGCACGAAGCACTGCACCGCCAATCCCCGTGTATGCAACTAAAAAAATGTAAGCACCCATTTAACGTTACAGACTGTTGGGGCAAATTTCTATGAGTTAGCGCTGATCAAAGGCGGCACAGCGAGCAAGATACCATGTGCACACAATTACCCCATCACGTTTCCCTCCCTACCACCCATCAGGTACTCATGTTATACTGGTTGGTCTAGAGAAGGCTATGTTCGTATTCATATTTTCAGAGTCCAGTTTCTAATCATAGACAAGTAGGGGGCAGGAGGTGATGCCCCCCCCCCCTCTGTTTTGAGATTTCTAAAATTGCTACGTTATTGGTGTTAGAAGAGAAAATACATTAAATGTTTTTTTTTTATTATTAATGTAGGGCTCCATGTTAAAATCTTGAAATTTTCGGACTGCCTTTCCCCCTGGAAAGTGTCGAGATCCGCTTACGTTTCCACTTGGTGTTGTGGTGCAGTGCACGGGCAACTAAACCGGCACTCACCGTCACAACCACTCACGCAAACCGATCATGAAGTGACAATGCTTTCTGTTTACCAAGCCACAGTGCTGTCGGTGATGAGGCACAGCCAACATCAAACGGCCGTCAGTTGAAAACACAGAGAAAAATCACATCAAGTAGATAAGGCGCCGAGGCGCCTGCGAAGAGTGTTTATAAATCAGCGTGATGATGGGGTGAGCGGCGTGAGACTGAGGCTCCACTCTCAGCTCGGAGGGACAGACGACGATAACGAATCATCGCGTGGGCAGGCAGACGGCTCTGCAGGTCACCGTGTCAAAGCTCCGGCCCCCGAGTCGCGGGCAACTCCGGGAGGCGAATCCTGTGTGGTAATCATGCCCAGCCGTGAAAGCAGTTTAAAAATAACTCGAAACTTCTCCCCCCCACCCCCGACCCCCCAAATGATATAACCGTTGTTAGATTGAAAGGCTCTGCGTCTCGGATAGTATTATTTTTTGTCCAGATTCAGGATGTTTTGCTCATCAGAAATGAGTGCTGCAGGTAAGTGATGCATTTGACGGGGGCGTATTTTTTTGACGTTGAACCTTTGCCTGCTTCACGTTGCCCCCGGTGCTTGTTTTTCATTCGCTTACTGACGACGCCAGATAACTCTGATATTAAAATGGTTTAAAATCCCATCGCTGAAAGGGGGGGGGGGGGGGGAAGAAGCACTTGTGAGAGCAGCTCACCATGTTGTTACCCGCGGTCTCAAGAACAGATCCTTGCACTGGCTCCTACTTACCTCTCCCTTCTCATCTCACGCCAACCCCCCCCAACCACCCCTGCCATGTGTCCATGTGTCCTCCACACCAGCAAACCAACCAAGGCCTTCTGTTGAAACCTCGAGAAAACCTCCGCTCAATGGGAGGTCAGTAGATTCCCTCTACTGCTCCCTTCGTCCAGAATGTCCTCTCTGGCCACACCACAGGCTCTCGCTTGATGCTCTCCTCTGCCTATGATGGACTCATTCTCTCCATGATGGACCCGTTCTCTACATGATGGACTCATTCTCTACATGATGGACTCGTTCTCTACATGATGGACTCATTCTCTCCATGATGGACTCGTTCTCTACATGATGGACTCATTCTCTCCATGCTGGACTCATTCTCTCCATGATGGACTCGTTCTCTACATGATGGACTCATTCTCTCCATGCTGGACTCATTCTCTCCATGCTGGACTTATTCTCTCCATGCTGGACTCATTCTCATCTGCACTGCATCGGAGTTCGTTTCTCTCCTGCCTCTCACAACCTCCATAGAACCCCCCCCCCCTCTTCCCCCAGCCTGCCAAAAGAGTGTTGCTGATACTGTGAAACACTGCTGTAGCAACCACAACCCTGCAGACGAGACTCGAGAAGGTGAAACGAGTCCACGGTTTGCCTGCTGGTAACATATGCTGGGAGGAAAATTATTTTCCCGTGCGGCAATTGGCCAATGGACTTAACGTAGCAAAACGCTTTGATTTGGAATAATTCGCATAACTAAGTGTCTAGACGCCCTATGACCAGACTTTTGGAAAGCTGAGCAGGATTGAGCATGGATAGTGCTCGGATGGGTGAACCCCAACGTATAAAACAGGTGTTATAGGCTGCAGCAGAATCCATCATTTTACTGTACCAAGCTGCATCGTCTATGCTTCCCTTGTTTTCACCAAGCCACACGCCGACCGGCGATATGACGCATGGTCAAAGTAACCTCCACGACCCCGCGCAGCAGGGAGAGAGTTGGTACCTAATAGCTGATTAAAAACAACAAAAACAGGGCTGTGCACGTCCGTGTCTCTAGAGGAATTGCGAACCCGAATTGTATTGTGCGGTGGTATCGGTGACGTGCACTGACGGAGCGGATGGCCCGCGTCCATGGAGGACGGATCGACAGGGAATGTCGATCCGACGGCCGTGGCGGCAGGGCAGGCCGCCCGGTCAGCTTTTCTCCCGGGATCGCCCCCCCCCTGTCTTGGCGGTAGCTTTTACGTTCGTGACTTGCGGTCCGAGTGAGCCGCTCACCCTGCTGGCTCAGGAAGCTGTCGTGGTCCAGGGGTCGGTTGTAAGGCGCCGGGTAGCGTCGCCCGCCCCCTCGCATGGCCCACGACGCCTCCTCCTCCGCCTCGTTCTCATAGCCGCACAGGTGCTCCTCCTCGAAGCCGCACGCTGCACTCGCACGGTGGAGGCGGTGGACAGCGACGCGCGACAATTACCGCTGACGGGCCTCAAGCACGCCGATCGTACGGCACGTCGAGTGTGGAGACGTATAAAACGCAACTATTTATATTTTACCCGGTAAGGCCCACTGAGCTATGTGGCTCTGTTACAGAAGAGACCCTGGCCACAAATGATAGCTCAACGAAGTGGCCTGTCATGTGGAAATGTACAGCAAGCCAAATAGTCTAAACGCACGTTGATTCTAAATGTGAAGGGGATTAACCGGAGGACCCGGAGAAAAAATCCACACGACTACAGGGAGAGAGACATGCAAACTCCAATTATAGAGGAGTCAGAGTTGGGATCGAATCCACAACCTCCTGTATACCAGGTGAGGTAGTAGACATCTGGCCACCGTGGCACCATATACGTGAGCACAAAGAAATGCATGGGAAGTGCAAATATGTAAACAAAAAATACATATACAGCTGAAAATGTGTATTACAAAACACTTTATACCTAAATCTTGACTTAAAGCTTTCGTGACTGCAGGAATTCATACTCTTTGGGTCTTTTGGTAAAGTCACGTAGATGGCATTTTTTTTTTTAAATCACAACGTTGTGATCGCAGCAGTTCGCCTGCTGTATTTTTGACCTGAAGACGATTGCTTGTGTTGCGATTGAAACGTCGTGACTTTATTAAAAATGTACCGAAAGACCCAAAGTGCACTCTATACCTACCTGAATAAGAGATACATACAAATATATGTACGCATAAATAGGTAGGTGTCATACATGCTAACGACTCACAAGGATTTCTCCGTGTAGCCTATAATATACTGTTGGGGCAAGTGCTGTTAGTGAGCACATCATAGGGTAAACACGGTGCTCAGAAATCACAATCGGGTCCTCGAGTTTGCAGCGCAGCGTGCTAACCACTGCGCCACCACTCCCCAGACATAACGACAACGATGCCCTGCATGGCCCAACAACAGACTTAGTTTGGGCCAGTGCTGTACGTGAGAGCGCACACTTGCACAAACGACAACACCACCCTCCACAGGCTACTCGAACCGGCGATCAAGAACAGAATGGCCCCGTGACATCACGGCAATATCACCCCTGCCATTTTTGACTACGCTCAAGAAAATGCCGTGTCAGAAGTAAACGTCTCGGTGTGCGAAAGCCAGGAGCTATGGGGGGTAGAGAGGAAGCAGCACAAACGAGACTTGGGGGGTAGGGGAGGGCACAGGAAAGCTGGGTCACTCATGGATAGGGTGAAGGGGCGGGGGGGGGGGGGTAAACTGCAGCACTTATACAGAACACGACAGGAGACACGGACAATCACAACCACATGTGTGGCCAGAAGCGCTGGTGGGGGGTGGAGGGGGTGCTGTGTAAAGCGAGCAGCAGGGGCGAGTCTCACCCAGGCAGAACCTGTCCGAGAGGCTGATCTCCTCTATCGCCACCACCACAGCTCCCTCGCTCAGCGTAGCCTCGAACACCAGCTGTGGGAGCAAGGAGGCGGTGAAGGAGACGGCGCGTGTCACGTGGCGTGCTGCACCGCCTGTCAGCCGGTGACACGGAGGCGAGGTTGGTGGACCACGGGAGAGACATGGCCATTGTTTTAAAGCACATGTGCACCAGGACGGCCGGAGGTTTGCTATTTATTAGCGGTAGTAAGGCAAGTAGGTTCTTCACCATTTTTTTAAAACCCATTCAAAAACTAAATGTTAAAGTACCTCTCTGCTCCGGTGGGGGGGGGGGGGGGGAGTAGTGGTGCTTTGTAAACCCAGTGACTTGCGTTCGATTCCCAGTCACGGTTTAACATTAGCAACGAGTGATATCCGACCCGGTCCCTGGGCGAACACTTTGCAAGGGCTGGTATGGAACAAGAGAAGTTCAACGTACGTACATACAAGCCAGCAGTCGATTAACAAAGTGGTGGAATTTCTTTTTTTAATGAACCTCCACGCTCAAACAATTGTGGAGCTTCATCACCACTCGCGGTCCTGAGCCACTGGTGGAAATCCTAAATCTCCTCTTTTGCAGACCCATATCTCAATAGGTCAACCACTGCCGAGTTCCCATCACGTGCAGTCTGAGGTATGTGAATGTTTTATTGGTTCTTTCGGTAAAGTCACGTAGATAGAAAACAAAATAAAAATAACAGAAATAAAATAAAATAAAAAATAATGAGCAAAAAATCCACGACGTTTCGATCGCAACACAAGCGGTCTTCATTTTTATTTAATTTAATTATCTGTTATTTTAATTTTATTTTCTATCTACGTGACTTTACCGAAAGAACCAAGAATATGAATTCCTGCAGTCACGAAAGATTAAAAGTATGTAAATGTGCTATTAAAATTCATCCTGGAGGGACGGTGGACTGAGCTGGACATCAAATCATAATCTCACAAGCGGCGACATTGTTGCTCAACCAGTAATTACAAAGTGCCCTTGTGCGCACACAATCGTTTGCCTTTGATTATCTCCACCCCTACGAAGGACGGAAATGCCACATTCCTACGGCAGTGCTTGGTCACTCCGTAGGACGCCCACTGCTGACGATGCGGTTATTGCCAGCTGAGCAGTCTTGACTGAAACCGACGTAGAAAAAACACGTCTCACTGTCCCCAGACGATTAAAAAAAAACACAGAAACGTGCATTGAAACACAACGCTAATGCGCACGCACTTCAGCGGAGTGTTACGCGGATTTCAGTGTTATGTCTTCAGTCGGCATGGGACACGTTGGCAGCCTTCCACGGCGCTACCAATGTCTGCAGGCTCCCGTGCCACTGCCGAACCAGCGCAGACAGCGGCGACATCTGCAGCGGCGGTAACTCCACGTGGAGCCCGGCCAGCCCGGTGCCTTAAATCACCCTTTCGATCAATAACCGCCAAAATGGCAGACAGACGTTCTGCTCTATCCCACCCCCGTGTAGCCTATAGAGATTGTTGAAGCTGCTTTTTGTGCTAAGTTTGTTGCCCTTCCCCCGCACCTCCGATTAGCACGGTTGGCTACGTACGTTGCGAAAGAAGTTCAGCTCATACCCGTTCTGCTCCTCTTACCGTCACTGCACCGGCCCACTGGGCAAACGGGAATTCGTCCGTCGAGTTCGTCCTAGCTGCCGGCCGATTGAAATTGAGTTGAGATTTCGAGTTGATCAGAGACTGTGATGGCTCAATGGTGAAGGCAAATCGCTGAGTTGTCCCGGTCAATGCCTGCTGCTTGCCTCACCCACAGCTCCTACATTGACAGGGGCTTGGGTCTGCCAACCTGGATGGAAACGTTGTTTAAGCGCATTGCTGAAATCGGTGACAGCTGCCCACTGTGCTGGTGTCGAATTGCGGCGGTGGTTGGAGTTGGTGAGAAGCCTCAAGCCAACACAATTATGAACTTATAACAAGAGTCATGCTATTCTTGTTTTTATTTTGGGGGGGGGGGGGGGGGTGGGTGAGAGTACTTGCTGAATTCACAAACCCAATCTTTGGAGACTGACACGGTGACGCATGCTGTAAATAAAAGACAAAGATCCCCCGTGTAGCCTTCACAGACTGTTGGGGCAAGTGCTGTTAGCGAGCAGCTATGAACGCTGGCTCGGCACCACCGCCTTTGTCTCCCCAGTGGCGATGTTTACTCCACACCAGGTACTCATTTGCGGCTGAGTCGACCTAGGGGAGGCCCAGGACCGCTTCAGATAATCGTCACCGGTGTTGGCTAACCGCAACACTGCCGCTCCCCACAAAGTGATAACCACTGGTACACATCTCCACACACAACCACGCATTCACACACACACACACTGAATCAGTTCTAGTATTTGGCTGTAGTTAAAGAATTTAGCTAAATTGCAGAAGGGTGAAATAAACAACAGCTGTACCTTGTTAAACATGTTAACTACATGCCTGCATGTACGGTACAATGCAACATTTTTCCCGACAAAAAAAAATCTGTGGGAGTCAGTTTCCAGACACTCATTGTGTGATCCGGCCAGAAGTCACTGAGCTGGGTGACTACACTGAGGATACCAGTGAAACTCGAGACGATGAATGTGTGCAAATGTGACAGCTGACACTTTCCTGGGCTCATAGAATGCATGCTATGGTTTCACTGCTTTGCACATGACATCCGATGACAGCATCTGAGAAACGTTTGAATAAACATGCAGTTTTCCTCGTAAAAAAAATGTATTTCTTTAAAAAATTGTATGAGCTACCAACATAGAAAGAAAGAAAGAGAAAAAAAGGCTAGACACGCAGGGACATAATGTACATACAAAAGACTAGGATCCCCCATGTAGCCTAGATAGATTGTTGAGACAGGTGTTGTTAGTGAGCGCCTATTAAGGGCTGACACGGTGCACAAGGGAGTGGTTTTGCCAACTCCATGCCCGGCCGCCTTTGTCTCCCCAGTGGCGATGTTTACACACCGCACCGAGTACTCATTTAAGGCTGAGTCTACCTCGAGGAGGCCCAGCAGTGCGCTAACCGCTGAGCTGCCGATTTGAATGATCTTTTCACAATTCGCATTTTTATTCCAGTTCAGCACAGCGTCTTGTGAGGCGATCCCATTGGGATAAATCCTCGAATTGGAATTGTATCGCAATCGAATGATTCACAACACACGTGGCCGTTCAAAGTCGGGCCTCTACGATGCAAGTGTTCATAATCCTGGGGGTGGTGGTGGGAGTGCCTGGAGACGCGATGCCCACTGTTAATTCATTGAGAATGCAGTGCAGGTATGTTGCGAGTGAGCATTCATGGAGTTTCCATGCACATGTATTACAGGAAATTGCTATAAATACGACATATGCTTGTTATTTTTTTTAAATACTCTACGCTGGTGTACATGCAATGCATAATGTGCAGCATGTGGAAGGGGAATATGCTTCAGGGCGTACATACATCCATGATAGAGGTTTTTTTGGGTTAGATCGCGTATAAATATATAAATGTGTCGTTAAAACCCTCCACCACCCGACACAGCCAACTAGTAAGGGTTGTCATGTAAACAGAACGTGGCCAATTCGTCACTAGTACAGCACACCGGTGTGTTGGAGAGCCAAGCCACAACATTTACAATCTGAGTACGACGTTTCGCCAGTAATTACAACTAGCTTCATCAGGCGACAGCCAGATTTGGTCGCGAAAGCCTACGTGTTAAACGTACGTACATACAACTAGTACATATGCACAGCCCTTTTGTCAATCCACTGCTGGATGAGGGCTGCCCCACGCCATGCCAGCCAAGGGGGTAAGCTCACGATAACGTCACCACACTGGTAAGCCCGAGTTGGTGATGGCTGGGGACATGGACGCTGGAGCATAGAAGAACCGTACAACAGTGGATCCTGGTGCGCTCGCTCCTTTGCTCTCCCACAGGTATCTGGCTGTGCTTGGTGGCTGCCCAAACACGCCCTATCCCAGGCCCAACCTGCTTAGCTTCTGAGATCCGAAGACATTGTGCACATGTGGTCATTGGCATATACGTGCATAAGTTTGACGCGTATATATATTTTATTTTTTCGAACCAGACCACAGTCCAATACGTTCATGCATCTGGGGAATAAATAAAGAACGATGATGGATAGCGCTTGCTTGGTACAGCCAGACAAGCGTTCCAGCGCTCTTGACACTGCTGAAACCTTCGGTCGTCACGGAAGATCCAGAAAAACAACGACATTCATGCCAGAGAGAGTTCAATTTGCTGCATTACCCACGCTGAGGATTCAACGGGCGGAAAGAGCTGTGGCGCCGTGGTTAGCGCACGGCGCGGTGAAACGGCGACCCGAGTTCGAATCCCTGGCTTAGGGTTGGCATCAGTGGCAGCTGATATCTGACCCGGTTCTGACCAGCCCTTCTTCGTTAACCCGCACTGACCAGCGTGAAGCATGGTCAAATAACCCCGATGATTGACACTTGTGTCGGCGGTGGGGGGGGGGGACACTTCATACCAGCAGTGGGCAAAAGGGTCATGCATGAAAACACGGACCCTGTCTCAACAAATACACGCAACTATTTTTATTTTTAGCAACTTCTATCATCCGGTAGGTGCCCAGGCTCTTACACTAAGGGTATAGAACTAGTAGGCGGTGCTCACTAAATTTAGCGAGACTAAACCACGCCAATGCGGACGCAAGTGCACGTGTTTACGTTTTTCTCATTGCCGGCGTTATTAATCACACGCAGCAGGAGCCGGTCATCGCTTGCGTCTCGAGTGTCTGGCGTGGAAATTGCATGGGCCGCGGCGTCGCAAATCTGAAGGCTTGCTCCTTCGGAGAGGTTTCCTGAGCATCTGTTCTTGCTTAAACGTGAAAGGGGCGACTGACTGGCGCTGCCGTGAGCGTTCATCGCAAGGGGAAGTTGCCCGAGCCGTCATGCACAGCCCTGGCCGGGACCTCTCGAGCCACAAGGCTCTGGGGCTGAGCGGCAAGAAGTAAGTTGTTTTTCTGGGTTAGATCGCATAAATATATAAACCCGCAAACACCCAACACAGCCAATTAGTAAGGTTTGTCACGTAAACAGAACGTGGCCAATTCGTTACTAGTACAGCACACCGGTGTGTTGTAGACCAAAGCCACAACATTTACAATCTGAGTACAACGTTTCGCCAGTAATTACAACCAGCATCATCAATCGGCAGCCAGATTTGTTGATGATATTGGTCGCGAAAGCCAACGTGTTAAACTGAGGAAGAACGGTGTTGGGTTTTCCCTGTTCCAATCTCCATTGTACCCCCTGCCCCCCTCTCACCCGAAGACCTCTACCGTGCGGTAACTTCTGTACCATCAAAGACTTCCCAAGAAATCGAGCCTAACGGCTTATCGGGCCCTTTCTGCTGAAATAAATAAACACAATTACAAAAAAATAAACACATTTGCAAATACATAATCGCATTTTATACACTCACATACCATTCACACCATAGCATACTGATATTCTATACACTCACATACCATTCACACCATAGCATACTGGTATTCTATATACTCACATACCATTCACACCATAGCATACTGGTATTCTATACACTCACATACCATTCACACCATAGCATACTGGCATTCGTGAAAGAAAGAATCACGGTCATGAAGAGTGTAAACCAGACAAACACCTAAACTGTTGTTTACTTCATTGCATATCATCAGTAGAGAGTGGCCTTGGCATTGTGTGATTCCTAAGCCAACTGCACAGTGTCAGCTTGCAAGGTCAAATCGCTTCCCATCGTCTGCATGCTGAGTAATACACTCGTCACGTCGTGTCCACGATCATCATTCATGCATGTGTTGGACTGGATGAACTCCTGTTAGGAATCATCAGCATAGCAGGAGGACAGCGCCGTTCTCTTTCAGACAGTGCCGCTGTCTTTCACTGCACTCGTTTTTTCGGTTGTGCCGAACAACTCTCCAATGCGTTTTCGGATTTTGCAAAGTGCTGCTCATCGTGATGTCTGAAGTTTAGCTGCACATGCTGGGAGCTTCTTCAAGAGCCCATGTCCTGAACAAGTTCCTGGCGCATGAATTCGGTTTCAGAAGAAACTCTCAGGACACGGAGCGAACCGTCGGACATAATTTGACGATTCACTCTAGATTGAAAACTCATTTCTTTAGAACTGCTTTTGTGTTTATTTTGTTGTCCTTCCCCCGCACCTCCGATCAGTATGGTTGGCTACATACGGTGCAAAAAAGTTCAACATGAATACATACATCTTGCGCATATAAAAGTTTAGCCAATAAACAAGGTTACATAATGTTATGCTATAAACTTTTGTGTGCCTGCCAATAGTGAGTTTTTTTTACATGCATTTTAAGTCGTTTTGGCCCACTGTTGCTTACTGTGAAGTCCAATGCCTTCCCCGCACCTTCAATTTGCACGGTGGGCTACATACGGCGCAACAGAAGTTCGACACAACAGCATACGTACACTTTGAGCATCACGCAGCACGACCTGAAAACGCATCGGAGAGCAGCACGCGCCGACGCTGTGCCGAAGCCGCCCGGCTCGCCGACTCTTACCTGGAAGGGCTCATCAAAGGGGCCCACGTCGAACGCCCCGAAGCGCCAGCCCTCGTCGTTCCCGTCCCCCCGGGCGGCGCTCGTCCACACGACGGCGGCGGCGGCACCGTCGCCCGCGACGAGGGCACCGCGGGCGAGGGCTCGCGCCGCCAGGCCCGCACGGGGACCGCCGCTCACGCGGTAAACCAGCTCCACGCACGCACGCCTGCCCGCCGCCAGCGGCGGGCTCAACAGGCGCGACGCGGGAGCCTCCGTCGGCACGGACTTGCCCACCGACATGACGCCGTCTATGGGGGGGGGGGGGGGGGGGGGCACGCACCGAGAGAGCTTGCGGGAGGAGACGTCAGGCTGCCACCCGTCCCAGGTGGGTTTTTTTGTTCGAGGATTGAACTCGCTTTTGGAAGGAGCTGTCCTGGAAAAATCTGTGAAGTCTTCCCAGGACGTTCAATAATCCCGGTTTGTTGTCAGTTGCGTAATGATACGCCGCGCTCACAACGATTCACGCACATGCCGTCTCCACTCTTCATAGCTCATCGGATTCCTCCAGCGTACATATTCTGATTCTGTAATTGTGAGATATTCCTTTCCAATGATATGTCCTGGTTTTTTTTGTGCCTCAGAAGTGGCACGCTCAGTGGAACTGTCAGATAAAAAAAAAGTAAAGACAGTGTACCCCTCTGTCAAGAGAGAGAGAGAGGAAAAAATGGCAGTGCCTGAATCTGCACACCTGAATCGGCAGCCCTGAGTCAGCGGTGGAAATTGCACATTCTCATGGCAGGGACGAAGCTCTGATGACCTCCACAAACGGCATGCTCATTCCATAGGCTAGAGAGGGATAATGGGCGACGCCAACCTCTGGCCAAGAGTTTGAATCTCTATCCTTCCGATGGCGAATTGAGGCACCTAACCACGGTGCCACTGGGCTGGGCAACAAGCCCTGTCAGTCTGAGGCGTATGCAGGCTTAGGACTGGGCCACCAAATTCCCGGGCATTCGGCTAGAAATCAACGACACCTGTGCTCATGCATGGTGGTCGCCCAGTAGCTCAATGAGAGTGGGGGCATGGGGGGTGCCTTCCCCCCCCCCCCCCCCACTGGTGGCCAAAGCTACGAGTTGGGGCCCCCTTGACAACCACCAAGAGATACGGTTTCAACAACAACAGTGTAAAATAACTTATTAACTTATTTAAAACGCGGTTTACAGTGACATTTTATCAGAATGCTTATCATTTACGTTCCACGTTTTGTTTTAATTTAATTAGAGCAGTTTTGGGGGCCCATCTGACCGATTGTTGCACCCACTGAGCTGATAATATAGTTACGACGCAACTTTGGTCGCCCATACAAGAGATATGCAGGTTTCACCCTGGCGAGATCCGGGTGAATTGGTCATATTTGGTAAAGTGGTGTGTGCGCTTTTATTCCCGGAAGTTTTGCGTGAGCATAATGTGGGCTTACAAAATGTCTATACGCACGTACTAAACTAAAACTAAACTTTGTATTCGACCAGGTAAGGCGCACTAAGCTATGTACAGTCGCTCTTGTTCAGAATGGACCTGGGCCCAAATGATAGGCTCAACGAAGTGGCTCATCATCATCGTTTGGAAATTTATAGGCACAGCCAAATACTCTAAACACGTGTTTCTAAATGTGGAGGGGAAAAACCGGCGGACCCAGAGAATGTTTATTTTAAGCAATTAAACAGCCTTTGCAGATGCTGTTGGGTGTGTGTATGTATGAACATGTGTGTAAACATCGCCACTGGGGAGACAAAGGCGGCCGGGCGTGGTGCTGGCCACCCACCCCCTCATGTACCGTTCCCGGCCTTCATAGGTGCTCGCTAACAGCACTTGCCCCTACAGCCTGTTAAGGCTATACGGGGGATATTTGTATTTGTATGAACATGTGCGCGTTCTTTTCTGTACGCGTGTGCGCGTGTCCAAACCAGGCATTGCAGAGTTGTGCTGGCACACACAAGCAGAGGCAATCGCATGCATTGACACACAGAAACAGATGTCCATACGGCCCCGCAGACTGCTGAAGCAAGTGCTGTTAAGTAGGCATCTAAATCAGCTGAGCATGGCACATAACACAGTGGTATGGCGAACACGTATGGGGCCGTCAGTCCATAAATGACGTCACGCGATTTTGGAAGATTTTTGACCCCCCCCCCCCTCGTCACACGGCGTCACAAAAAGTCAGACCCCCCCTCAAATATGACGTCACAAAGCTCTGCCCCCCCCCCTTCCAAAACCATATTTCCATTTTTAAAATAAAACATGCTTAAAATCGCTTTAAACTATTGTCATTGTAGTGCGCATTTAATGTGGCGTTGCATTCTGATGTTGTAGGAGTGTTGTTATAACAATTCTATATTTATTTAAAGTTGCGCATTTTGATGCGACGTCACATTTCTCACCCCCCCCCCTCCTCGTCACACATCGTCACAAATGTCTGACCCCCCCCTCCCCCAGGTGCGTGACGTCATTTATGGACTGCCCCAAATCTTTATCCGATTCTGAAGATTCATGAATACTCAATAACGAATTGGACATAGGGGCGATGCATAACGATGCAGGGAATAAACCTGAGACTGGCAACAAAGCCGCGCTTACCAAGGAGGAGGTCCGCTCAAATATTAATGCAGATCCAGAAACCTGATTTGTGTGCTGCCCTCTATTGGCCACCTTGGATCTCTACAGGAAGTGGCATTGGACGTTTTAGTCATACGATGTCCGTCAATGCGTGATCCACCAACCCCATTTTTTGTTAAAGTAGCCGGTTTGCACGCATGTGCCACCACGACCATCAACGTTAAAAACAATTTGAACCGTGACAAAATAATGAATTACCATCGCTTTGTCAATCCAATGCTTGAACGGCACCCCATTCCGTGTTGGTCACATGGGTTCCGTGACGACACTTCACCGTGTTGGTCTGGTGGTCACGAGGGGTTGTTGAAGGGGGCTCCTAGGAACGTTTCAAATATCCCTCACCGCTGATGTTAGCCGTGGCTGGGAATTGAACTCAGGCCACCAGGTTCAGAGTGCGGGGTATTATCGCCTTCACTTCTGCTCAAGGCCCCCCCCCCGCCCCCATTGCTGAGGGACTACTTTTTTATTGTGGGTTTTTTTGCTTTTATTATTTTCAATTTATTATTTTTTTATTTCTCATTATTTTAATTGTATTATGATTTAATTTTTTTGTTTTCTATTTACGTGACTTTATCGAAAGAACCAAGAATAGGGCTACTCTGCGTTAGCTTGGTATGGCCTGGGACTGTTTTGTTTTTTGCTGCCTTGCCCAATCTTGATCAATCAGACTTATATAATGAATGAATTAACGTATTATTTAGTGACTTGCCTACCGTGTTCTCCATTGTGCACTCCTATCGTTTTGTGTTTGTGTTGTTTGCTGTTGTAACTCGCTGAACCGTCCATACTGGACATCTCTGAAAAAAGAGCTTCATAGCTCATCGGATTCCTCCAGCAGTCTAAATAAAATAGACTGACAATGAAAAGAACATAAATGGAATTCCCTGTCAAGCGAGCGTTCGTTGTCTTTTTCCCACTGGCGAGCGAGAGGTGAATTTACTTACTCACTATGTGTCAGAATAAACAAGGCGTTTTAATTGACGTACACGTTCAGCGTTCAGAGTGGCGGCTGAATTTGACCGCTTTGGCAAATGCGCTTGGAGATGCGTCGAATGTTTATTAATCGTATCGAAAATGTATAATGAAAGTCCACGGAATTCTCTTGCGCCGCTCTCTCCAGAAAGAGACGCTATATCATTCGTTTTCACTGGGCCATTCTGCACCAACGCAACAATGAGTGCAGCATTAAATCAATTCGACAAGTTACAATTATTTACCGGGGAAATCCTCTCTGAGTCATAATACTTTTTCACGAGGATCCCGCGTTGGGGATGTTTTTGCCATCCCATGAATGAGTGTTCGACATGTGGGAGGAAACTGGAAAACCCAGATAAAACCCATGCATACTGGGGGATAACACTCAACACTGCCATCTCCTGGCCACCTTGCAGCTCCACGCATACACCACCTTGCGAGGAGCCCTGGTGAGTTACTGATCAACCCGATCATGCTTAATTTCTCTTTGTGTCTGTTTCACTTGGTCGGTCGAGGCAAACGGGCAAAAACGCCAAACACTCATCGGTGGAATCGGCCGAGGATCCCAATGCAATGACCCCTTCGCACAAAATCCTTGAGACTCAGGTGAGGTCGCTCCCCCAGGTGAAGAAATAGAACAAATCCGCTGCCAGTCGACTCACCGCTCCAAACCCACTGGAACTCCCCGGATCTGTCGTTTGTGAATCCGCAGGTGCCGCGCTTGAAGCGGCAGGACGGGGATTCTCTCCAGGAGCGAGTGCCGTTGTCTGCCGGCCGCGTCCCGGTTCCGGCCTGTCTGCCCTTGTGCCGTCTCCTGGCAGCAGCGCCCGCGGGGTGCCCGACCCTCTCGCGCCGGCCGCCTCCCGGGGCGCTTCTCTCAACCGCGAGGCCGCCCTCCGTGCCGGAGCCGGGCTCTCGGTCCGACCCCGCCATGCCGGGCTGAGCGTGGCCGGATCCCGTGTCCGCATGGAGCTGTTCGGCGGGCCCTCGGTTCAGCAGAAGACGAGGGCGCCACGTGACGCTGACGCTGCTGCGTCGCCGAGGGCCCGGCCCGGCCGCATCTGTCAACGGGGGGTGGTGGGGGGGTTGAAACAAGAGACGGATTTAGAAAGTGGATTTAGAAACCTGATCGAGGTTTGGGTGGTAGGGTGGTCTTGAAATTGCAAGGGTTTTTTTTGTTTTATAGGGCCATATATTAATAGTGACGAATGTACATTCTGGAGAAAAAAATACGAATATTATGTTAATATTTGGGGTTTCAAGGGGAGAGGGGGGTGGGGGAGGGGCGGTTCGGGATGATTGCTACCATCGCCCTTCCAGTAGGTCCCGCCACTGGGATGAAAAGCCACACAGCAACATCGCCCCCGACTGGCATAATATATTTATTAATTACGAAGGTGTTGGTAAGTGGCTTTTTGCGAGTTCTGCATACATTTACTGACACTTTAAACGCGCACCGTGGACTTATAGATGCTTAATAAGAAGCGGGAATTCGGTGTCTAATTTATTTAAACCAAATCTGAGTCCACTGAGATTCACGGGAATGAATTACCCCTTGTATTATGTTGGTATGTTGAACTTTAATAAAGAATTAAAGCTTTCGTGACTGCATAAATTACTCATTGTTTTTTTTCGGTAAAGTCACGTATGTAAAAATACCATAAAATCACATTAAAACAAATCAATCACTATGTGATTTTATGGTATTTCTACATACGTGACTTTACCGAAAAAACCAATGAGTATGTTGAACTTTATTTTGCACCGTACGAAGCCAACCGTGCTAATCGGAGGTGCGGGGGAAGGACAACAAACTGAACACAAAAAAGCATATTACAGATACTCAAATGATGGACTTTACATTGCACTATAAACTCTGTGACCTGAGTTTGATTCCTGGCCATGGCAAACCATCAGTGGTGAATGTTTTCCAAACTAAGGCTGTGCCCACGCCCACTTGACCAAACTGCACTGACCAATGTGATGAAGTATCACCGACATCGCGTGGAGAAGGCTTCATCAGCAATGTATTGACAAAGGGCTGTGGACTATTGATGTATAACTCTTCCGAAGAATCTGCCACCACCAACAAAGATGCTGCTCAATGTTTACTCGAGGGCATTGGGCCGCTTCCATTCGTTTTAGGCTTTTAGCATCACACTCTTTAAAAAGTACCCATAAAATTGAGTTTTGAACATATTATATGGTATTTAATTTCAGGTGCATTAAGAAAAACCTCTGGATGCAAAACGTTGTCGGCCAACACTTAAAAATAATCTCAACAATGTGGTCCTCCAATTTTGGGACGGCCAAAGAAATGTACATTTTTCAGTTTACATTTTTAATAGACTTTAATATATTTATAGCTAATTTGATCTCTCCAGACCTTCTAGAACATCGTCATAATTCACATCACTCTGTAACTCACAACCGCCTAGAAATGTCAAGATATTTCAAGATCTCATGAAGCATTTGTTGATAATGATGATGAATGTGGTAAAGTATTGTCAGGCTGGGCTTCCACGGTTTTGCCAATAAAGTTCCTGACAAGTTGAATCAAGATGTCGCATGTGGTTGCGATACATTTTCTAAAAACGCAGGATTCGAGTGACAACGCAGCTGTTTTTGAAACTAACATCGTGGGGTCTTTAACATCCGCCTCACAAAAGGAAATGAACTCTGGCTAATTTACCACTGGAACGGTTGGCAGCTTTAAGAATAAAACCCGGAAGCCTATGCCCGCACAACATTGACCAAGGAGCGAATGCATTGACCATCGCTAATCGGCCAACAGTTGCTCGTGCGGGTCACCTTAATTCAATTCACGCGCAGCGCACACGCGAAAGAGCCGCTCGCTTGACGTTGGAGCATCGTTTACAAAACGTACTCACGTGACACACAGAAGCAGCAGCAACAGCCCAGCAACAGGAGCAGCAGGGGGATGCTCATGATGCCACGTGTCGAGCTGCCCTCCTGCTGCCCCCTCTCGCCCCCACACGGCTCCGACCTAGGTTCACCTCCTGCTACTGCAGCGCGAAGCTCCCAACAACACCCAAACGCAGCCTCGGGGCTAACGCGGTGGCCCCGCTTGAGAGAGAGAGACCGCCTTGCTGAAGTGGGAGTGTTTCAAACAGACACTTCTCACGCACTCTCGGACACAACACCGTTCTGTTTGCGATCCCTCCTCTCTGCAGCTGCTGAACGTTAAAGTCCCAGTGGGGCTCCTCTTGCCAAGCCTCGGGTGTGCAAAGCGACGCTGGAGGTACGAATGGAGTGGAAGTCAAACGGAGTGCATAGCTCTCTCCCTCTCTCTCTCTCGGTGAGACTCACACTCTGTGTGTGTCTCTGCAACTCAGCTGGTTCTTAAAAATGAAGCTGCAGAGACGGGGGTCCCTCCCCACCCCCCTCGCCCCACCCCCCTCACCCCCCTCGCCCCCACCCCCCTCACCCCCCTCGCCCCCACCCCCCTCACCCCCCTCGCCCCCACCCCCCTCACCCCCCTCGCCCCGCCTTTTCAGCAAAAATCCCACAGCCCCCTCCCACCTCCACTTGCCTCCGGCGCGGGCTAAGTCAGAGGTGGCAAACACCAACCAGAATGCGTGAAATAAAAGTCAGCACGTTAATCGATGAACGCCGTGGCTTTAAAAGGGGAACCAAAGTATACAATAGGCCGACGTTTCAGGGAAATGGCCCCTTCTTCGTAGCAGGCTGCCAATGCAGTATAGCCAGATAAGTTGGTGATTATATATTTATGGGGGGGGGGGTCTAGCTCAGGAACAGGGGGGGGGGCTCTAGCTCAGGAACAGGGGGGGGCTCTAGCTCAGGAACAGGGGGGGGGCTCTAGCTCAGGAACAGGGGGGGGGCTCTAGCTCAGGAACAGGGGGGGGCTCTAGCTCAGGAACAGGGGGGGGGGCTCTAGCTCAGGAACAGGGGGGGGCTCTAGCTCAGGAACAGGGGGGGGGCTCTAGCTCAGGAACAGGGGGGGGCTCTAGCTCAGGAACAGGGGGGGGCTCTAGCTCAGGAACAGGGGGGGGCTCTAGCTCAGGAACAGGGGGGGCTCTAGCTCAGGAACAGGGGGGGGCTCTAGCTCAGGAACAGGGGGGGGCTCTAGCTCAGGAACAGGGGGGGGGGCTCTAGCTCAGGAACAGGGGGGGGCTCTAGCTCAGGAACAGGGGGGGTCTAGCTCAGGAGCAGGGGGGGGGCTCTAGCTCAGGAACAGGGGGGGGCTCTAGCTCAGGAACAGGGGGGGGCTCTAGCTCAGGAACAGGGGGGGGCTCTAGCTCAGGAACAGGGAGGGCTCTAGCTCAGGAACAGGGGGGGGCTCTAGCTCAGGAACAGGGGGGGCTCTAGCTCAGGAACAGGGGGGGGCTCTAGCTCAGGAACAGGGGGGGGCTCTAGCTCAGGAACAGGGGGGGGCTCTAGCTCAGGAACAGGGGGGGCTCTAGCTCAGGAACAGGGGGGGGGCTCTAGCTCAGGAACAGGGGGGGCTCTAGCTCAGGAACAGGGGGGGGGCTCTAGCTCAGGAACAGGGGGGGCTCTAGCTCAGGAACGGGGGGGGGTCTAGCTCAGGAGCAGGGGGGGGGTCTAGCTCAGGAACAGGGGGGGGGGCTCTAGCTCAGGAACAGGGGGGGGCTCTAGCTCAGGAACAGGGGGGGGCTCTAGCTCAGGAACGGGGGGGGGGTCTAGCTCAGGAACAGGGGGGGGGGCTCTAGCTCAGGAACGGGGGGGGGGGGCAAGGGGGACACTGCCACCTTGTAACTGGCGTGAGCTTAAATTTTGATTTTAAGCTTTCGTGACTGCAGGGATTCATATTCTTGGTTCTTTCGGTAAAAATATAAAACATTTTTATTATTTTATTGTTTCCCTTCTACGTGACTTTACCGAAAGAACCGAGAACATGGCGTGAGCTTCCCTGGCCGACCACGCCTCTGCTAAGTGAAACAAATGAGTCGCGCAGTGGAGGCACGGGTCGGGCCCGCAGGGATTCAGTTTGGGGGTCGATTGCTGTAGGGACTGCGAGGCCTCCTGGGGTAGGAGGAGGGGGAGGGGAAAACACACAGAGCCACACCCGTTTTGACATGCGAATTTTCCATGGTATGGAGTGTGTGGCACTGACAGCTTTATGCCTGTAAATCCAGCAGTATGGCAGTGCTTGGGGTTTGGTGTATCGCACGGACATGAAATCGTCATGGGCACCAAACAGTCCTCTGGGTACAAGGTTGGTGGCAGTAACAAAAGCAAGAAGGTTGAACAACTGTTTGTGCATTTTTCTGAGAGGGTTCTAAAAAATAATAATTTCTTCCAGGTCCTTCCATACACGCCTGGGACAAAAAATAAAATTCACGTGGAATGTGCCCGATCTGATGAGATCTCAGAAGCTAGGATGGGTTGAGCCTTGATGGTGCTTGGTCGTGCGGCCACTATGTATAACATATGTCATATACTGTGATTGTGCATGGCCGAGAGCAGAGGGCCATGCAGAACAAAATGCATTGTTGCACCGTACTTCTATGCTCCCGCATTTATGCTCCCCCACCTGACCAGTATGCTGAGATAGGGGTCAAATCACCCATCATGGCCCGCACAGAGTGGGGGAGGCCTTGATCCAACACATGGACTGTACATACAGTAATTGCACACACAAAATAAAAAAAATACTCATGATGGAACTGGCCAAAGATCGCAAGCACCAACTCCCTCTTTAAAAAAAAGAAAGACTCTCGAGACTCCTTGGTAAATTAATGGATTAATATTATAATTACCACCCTCATTTATATGCAAAGTAGGCGGCTTGGTGAAGACTGACCGAATTCTCCCAGTGGCACGATGTAAATTAAATCTTGGACGTGCACCAGTGAGGCCTGGAACAGAAGGCCGAGTGCATTAATGCATTAATCATGTAGCAACTCAACCGCCGCTCCCCCCCCGACATATCCCCCATACAATCTTATGTTTCTATTCTCTTACATTTGACCTATGACCTCTGCATGCAATGTGGCTCCTGCAAGAGCTAAACGAGCATTTGCAGCTCCGTCACGGGGGGCTCCCTGCTCCTCTAGGATGTGTTCTCCACTCGAGAGAGCTCCCCGTAATGACCAGATGTTACGAGTTACGGTCGAGTGGCTTCACTGCGGAGGAGGAGGGGGCTGCCTCAGCCTTGAGCGAGCGCCCTTTGATGCAGGTATGAGTGCCACACAGAAATCAATGCCAAACCGGTGATTATAATCAAGACAACTTGAACGACTCCGATCTGGGAGCTGTGCACGACAACAAGTCAACTTTTGATGAGCACGTTCGGCTCGGTACGGTGCAAAAGAAGTTCAACATACGTATATGCAAGTCAGGTGTGATTCTCATTTAAATTCAATAGAGTCTGAGAGCCGTGCTCTGCCTAAACGTTGCAGCAGCATGAGAGTGCCTCCTAGATCTGGATACCTCTTTCTCCCATCCTGTGCATTATTCCAATTGTGCTATCAGCTTCACGTCTTGAGATGAAGACATTTATGTCGTGAGCAGCGTCCCTCCCTCCCTATCCATAATAGAGGTTTTTGGGCTATATCGTGTAAATATATAAATGTGTCATTAAACTCGCCACCACTCGACGCAGCCAATTAGTAAGGTTTGTCACGTAAACAAAACGTGCCAATTCGTTACTAGTTCAGCACACCGGTGGGTTTAAGAGTTACACCTGAGGATCCAGTTTTAATTAGGGCGACTGCCCAGATTTGAACCCAAAATTTGTGCAGTGCTGATTCAGTAGTCTGACCCTTAAGCCATCCGGCTACCTCAGAAAATATATTTTTTGAGGATTGGATTACATTAAGCGCATCAGAGATATGTCGATAATACACCCCTGGACCAAACAGGGAAATTCAAATAGTGTTCAAAATATAATGCATATTGCAAGCTGTAATTTATCGCAGTCGTATTTGGAAACGACTTTGCTTGCAGCGTTGGCATTAATACAATTCAAATCCCACAGGACTGTGATTGATCTATTGTGTTGCTTACTCGATGTACTAAGTAGGTATTATTATTTGTCTTCAATGCAAAGCTGTATTCATTTTGAAGGCGACTTAATCACAGCGGTAATTACGTTGTTGCTCGCATGGAATATCAAGCAAAGAAATAGCTCCCTTTAGACACTGATTGTATTGACACATGGCTTAAGTGCTCAACAAACACGGGTAAGAAACCGCACTTCCATCACCCAACAAAGCACGACTCCAACCCTCCAAGCCCTTGCATGCAGCAAATGCAAGCACCACTTTCAATCTGCAGCTGAAAGGGGCAGCACTTTAAATCTCAAACCGAACGCGCGGGTGGTCATTCCCTCAATCAAAATAACCCCTCGTGCCCACTTGTAAACGAAGTGATCAGCGCCAACCACACAGATCCAACGATCAGCTCGTGGTTGATTATTGACGGTTTAAGACGAGGCTGGGTGCCTTATACACGCAGTTTGGTGATGTCACGTGACATGCAAGGCCTGGATGCAAAGCATGATGGGAGGACAGACAGTCACACCTTTAGCCGCATAAAAATCACTATCTGCGCGAATCATTCGTCCTTATTTCTTTCCGTCCCGTGCTCACTTTTCTGTTCGATGAGTTACTCATCATGCACATCACCGTTTAGGATTGGTTTAACGATCAGCTGCGTCTGACTCATCGGGTCTGAAGTTATCGCTTCCACTCGGCCACGTTTGGTAATTAATCACGTGGCACAGTGACTAATGAGCCGTATCTGAGTACACTTTGATCTCACGGATGCATAGATGGATCACGTGTGTTGTTGGTGCAATGAGAGCGTATGCATATCACGTGGAAATGGAACACTAGAATTTGTATTCATGAATAGTGTAAATGTGATTGTATATCATGATCATGATTAAGAAAGGGCATTCGGTTGTGAATGGGGTTGCATAAAATTTGGGGGTCCGTAATTTATAGATTGGGAAAGGGTCGATGAACAAGGGAACCACGTTGCATTAAATAAAAATCAAGTTCAGGATGAAGGGAAAATGCAGTTGTAAGCAGAGGAGAGGAATAACGCATCAAGGTTGTACTTGAACAGTTCAACGCAGTGTCCAGCACTTTAGCAATCACTGCATTATTTTATATTTGAAGTCAATCGAAAGTCAAATGCCCTCCTGCTCAAAGCGGCAATGGGGCAACGTTCATCTCCATTAGCGGCTGTGAGTCGGTGGTGGATACCTCACATGGTATTGCTGGTGGATATATTTTTCCATCGCACAATCACTATTGATACATTTTAATTCGTTTTTGTTTGAACGTCATATATATTTTACAATGATAAGGCACATTATTTCCATTATGAATTCAATCTGCATGGCATTGACTTTCATTTCGACGCTTTTAGCCACCAGTTTCAATTACAGCGCGTGATAAAAAAAAAACACAAGGATGAAGACAAATCCGAAAAGATGGAAAAACACTGCGGGTGAGTGCGGTGGGGAGGAGGGAGGTGGGGGGTAATGCCACCTACTAAAGCAAAAAAAATTATCAAAATGTCATGAGCTGATTTCAACGCGGAGAACCTGGGAGATGGGATTGGCGCGCACAAAAAGGGGTTAATGTTTATTTGCTGTGTGTCCCGCAGTGGGCCGGCCCAGCGTGCACGGTACGCAACGCAGCGCGTGGGGCTGCATGTGAAATCAATCGATACTCGGCGACCATCCCAGCCCAGCGGCAGGCGAGCGGCGTGCACGCACCAGGCAGCAGGCAAGGCGGGCAGGCTCAGGGTAAAGTGCCGTCGCTGGTGGAGTTGGGGAGAGAGCAAGTGGCGCAGGGTTGCAGCTCTGAGTTGCACCGCAGCCGCCTCCCACCACCACCTCCACCACCTTCCTGCTCCTCGTCGTGCTGCGTGAGCCGGCGCGTATTTGACCGGCACACCGGCCGGCCGGCCTGCCAGGGACCGCGAGGGGGGCTCCAGGAACCAGGGGGGGGGGGAGCTCCGACTGCTTGAAGCGGTGGTGGCAATCGTGAGATCGAGAGAGCTTCCCGAGACAGGTGAGTCAAAGCTTCACCCTGGGAAGCACGGAGACACGAACTGCTCTTGTCCAACGGTAAGCAGAGTCTGTCTGCTCTTGATGTACGGCCATCCCTTAGCCGCATACAGTGCAGCGCAGTGGGATAGCGAAAATAATCTGCAGAGGGGCTCGGGAATACTTAGTGAGCGGAGGATCTAACTTCATCGCAGAAGAACGCAGGGGATAGCCCTGCGCCGTAGTGCAGCATTATTGTACTGCATTGTAAATTTGATGGGTGATGACAACTTATATTTTAAGTTAGTGTGTTTTTTTTGTTTAATCTGGTTCTAGAGCTAAACAAATATTGTGAAGTAAGATGTATGTGTGTGTATATATGTGTGTTAAAGCTGCATGTAACTTGCGCGTTATTTTGTGCATGACCATGTCTTACACGCTTTCTCGTTTCTACAAAAGCCACACAATGGGACCACACAATGCTGCGATCTGCAGCACAATGCATTTTATGATGAATGGATGAGTGCCAGTATTGATTTTTTTGCAAACAAGTGCAGACACACGCGTCCACACACACACACAATGCACACACACAGCACCACATTTAACCTCTCAGCAGGGGGTCAGGGCTAAAGGCCAGAGATTTAAAAAATATACAAGATGAATCGAGGTGAGGAGTGGCATTAGGAGAGTTGATATTTTTTTCCAGACACTAGGATTGCTCAGCACAAGAGATCGCACGATAGATTTTAAATAAAAGACCGATAACCGATTTGGTAATGGTATGAGCCATCCATGCCCATTGTTTGAAATAAAACAAGCTTGGTTATTTTGGTGAGATGAAATATTAGAGAAAACTGATGGATTTAAAGGCATACAACTTAATTTAACCTGGTCAGAGCCGTTTGAGGTACATATACATATATTTTACGAGGTAGGCCGGATTAAATGTTTTTTTAAGGAAAATGAAGTGAAGGACCATCATTTGCAGAGTATGCAATAATTTGCAAATAACCAATTACTATTTCAAACTTGCCACGTTATATAATGTAAGCAATCCGTGCATTCACAATGTATAACACATTAACGGGGTGTTTTTTTTTTAAGGGGACTTCGCAATTACAATTTGTTGTTAACGGTTTAGATTAAAAGAAAAAAAAACATTCTTGTAAAACAGCGGTGTCCATTAGCGGACACAAACGATGAATACGTGCGACGCAAATATTCAGATGTCGATAAGAGGCAAAGGCAAATGGTGTATCAGCACGTGGTTCGCGAAACCAGCGATGTGCGTTGTGACCGTGCCACATTGGACACCGCTGGTGGTGGGGAGGGGTGGTGGTGGTGGGGAGCCGATGCCAAAACCATCTCCCGGTGCTCGCCCGCCCAGGGGCTTGGCTCAATGTCTGCACCGCAACAACAATAAATAACTCTCTACGTGCAACAATAAAAAAAACCGCTCGCAGCCTTGCGTTAACCATCCGCTGCGCACTCTGGCATCTTCCTGCCCGCCGTCAGCGATCGCGAATTAACAGACGGCCCCCTCGGACGCGGCCGCGACGTCTACCGTGGCGAGTCGCGCGCGGTTGTGAACAGGGGGCGTGGGGTGGGGGGCTTGCGTCGACGTCAATTTGGCTGCCATCGGCGGAGTGCGATTCGCCTCGACCTCGCCCCGTATGGCTAAGCCGGGCGCGTGTTGCTGCGACGTTGCAAACGCGTTCAGCTTGGTCACACGGGGCCCCGCGTGCGTGCGTGCGGGCGTGCGTGCGGGCGTGCGGGATATTCGCGTAAAGGTTCGGCAATGACACGTATCGCTCGCGAGCGGTCAACAAAGTTTTAAGATCGACGCATTAAGATTATTAACTGATGGGGGTGGGGGGGGGGGATTTTGTTTTGTTTTTTAATACAGCTGTGTTGAATGTTTAACACATTTAGTTTGTGTAACGATCAGCACAAAAGGTGTCAATGCATCAGTTCTAACGCCGTATCGTTACGTCAGAGGCGAGTAATATCCATGCCAGGCTTGAGCCACCCCTTGACCAATATGATGAAGTATGGTAAAAAAAAACCTCGTGACCTTAAGGGCTGTGGAGGGGTTTTCATGCAGCAGTTGTTTGACAAAGGGCTGCACATAATAATTACTGCTATCACTACATAAACATGGGTGCGATTACATAATGAACATAACATTATGTTGGAGCGATTCCGTTTCAAAGCATCACATGTCAAAAAGTTTGACCTCCCTTCAAATGCCAAACGAAAAGAGGGGTTATTTTAAAACATATTTTTTAAAACCCAACATACATCTGACTTATTTTCCACAATGCACGCATACTCGTAGACAAACGGCGCATTCAATTTCCAACCATGCAGTCTCCATATTCGCTCACTCTACCAAACAGCCGCGCGTTTTCTCCCATTGCGCGTGGCCCTTCTGGGAGTGGTGGCTGCGGCGATGGCGTTAGGTGGCTCTGCAGTGGAAAAACGGGAGGCAAGAGAACGTGGTTGGAAGCCCCCCCAGTCCCCCCCCCGCCTCCTTAGTCTCCTCCGCCACCCCCTCAGCAGTTCACTACCCCAGCCCCCCCCCCACCCCCATGACTGCAATGCCCATCGATAACATCTTGGTCGTGACGCTATTTCGAGAATTTTCTCCCAAAAAAACTCCCCACCAAAGCAGAAATTTACACCGAGCTTAATTAAAAGTGGTTATAGGTTGGGCCAGAGGTTGTCCCTGTTTGTGCGACTGCGGGTTTTTTTACGCTGAACCCGCGCTCGTTACATAAACGTGTGTACTCGCGTGGTCCCGGTGAGTCATCGCTGTGAGTTTATTCGGTGCACCATGAAATGCACTTGTTCTACCGTGCACTATATGCGCAAATCTGTGCCTTTGATGGTCGCACAGACGTTGGCTGCATTTCACATTTTCCGAATGCGAATGGACGCAGGTATTAAGACAGATAATTGACAGAAATGTGATGTTGACTAATGATGCCGTTTTTTTGGCATTTTCTTGCAAAAAAATAAAACATTCATATTCGGTTGCGTTCCTTGGTCAAATAAGCCGAATGTGCCCCAATGTGCTTTGCGTATAGCAATTCCCTCTGTGCTTCTCTCTTGGTGGCCCTGTGCCAGTGATGAAAATTCCACATGCGTATGGAAAAGGGAAGTATGTCCACCGGGCCAAGCCACGGTGGCTACCTACCAAATAATGCGGCGCTTTACTTGGTAGGTAGCAATGAAGAGCTGTGTCAATCGTTGCCAGGATTTGAACCCATAGTTGTCACAGCTTCTCCGCCAACTGAGATGTATCGCGGCCCCGTCCACAGTGAACGACGATGAATAACTTGTGTTGGGCATTGCAACAAGAGTGACAACTCTAATCATCTCCACAAACGGTCACGTTTGGAAGTGGCGATGAGTTTTAAGAATCGGTCGACTTGTGATTTCGTTTTTACCGCCTCGTTCGCGTTCTCTTTCTTTCTTTCTTTTCTCGTTCTTATCGTGAGAAGGGCTTATAGCCATTTCGTTCGCCGAAAAGGGTTTAATTTGCGCGAATCGTGCGTGCGATTTTATGCAGATGTTAGTGTTAATACTTAACGCGATCCGGGGGTATAAATTAGCCAAAGGGATCCCAGGTTCATCTTCTTTGGTTCTTTCGGTAAAGTCACGTAGAATGAGAATAAAATAATGAAATAAAGTAAGACAATAAAATTCTCACGACGTTTCGGCCACAACACAAGTAGCCTTCATCAGGTGAAAGAACAGAACTGTCGGGACGACAGTGCTTCAATGTCGGGACGACATTGAAGCACTGTCAATTGAAGCTCTGTCGTCCCGACAGTTCTGTTCTTTCACCTGATGAAGGCTACTTGTGTTGTGGCCGAAACGTCGTGAGAATTTTATTGTGTTATTTTATTTTATCAATTTATTATTTTATTCTCATTCTACGTGACTTTACCGAAAGAACCAAAGAAGATGAATCCTTGCAGTCACGAAAGCTTTAAATCGAAAAGGATCCCAGAGGTTATTGCGAAAGGAGACGTCACGGGCGATAGGAAAGAGAAGGCGGGGCGTGAGCGAGAGGAAACGCCCAGGAGGGGCAGCGGTGACGTCACCGGATGAGGCGGGGCGATCGGGGAGGCTTCCCGGTGGGAGTTTTGAGTGGAGTGGTGACACGCAGCGTGAGCTCGTGTGGAGAATAAAGATGAGTTGTGTCGTCTCAACCTTCGTGTGGTGGACTCATTTACGCGTGTGTCGAGGGGCGTAGGAATCAAATGCCCAACGTGCGCTCTGCTCTGTGCCATACGCGACGAGATACAAATGTTATCCTTGAGTAAGGAACGAAACAGGAGGATTTCTCAACAAATCTGGCCGTCGCCTGATGAAGCTCGTTGTAATTACTGGCGAAACGTCGTACTCAGATTGTGAATGTTGTGGCTTTGCTCTCCAACACACCGGTGTGCTGTACTAGTAACGAATTAGCACGTTCTGTTTACGTGACAAACCTTACTAATTGGCTTTTTCGGGTGGTTGCCGGGTTTAACGACATGTATATATTTACGCCATAACACAAAAGAAAACTATTATGGATGATATTGGTTACGAAAGCCTACGTGTTAAACATACAAATTTTAATTTGCGTCAGTAATAGTGCAATCGTTATACGATGGTTTATATTCAATATTTTCTGTATATAACTGATGAAAGCCACCACGTGATGGGAAACGTCAGCTCTGATGAAAACCAAATGGTTAATGAAGAAGCAATCTTAATCCAAGCAATTACTAAAAATGGCAACAGTCGGAGAAGAGAAATCTTGATGCTAATCATTGAAATGGGTTAACGCAATGCCATTTTTATGAAAACATTTTTTGGGGTTTCTTAAAGTTATAGAGTTGACCAATTAAAAAACAAAATCATTGTCTTATAACCTTCAAACATCCATTATGTCTGCAAAGAGACCACATTTCTGATAATGTGACCATCTTTGAAGGCATTAAAGCGTGCAAAGAGACACGCATTTCA